TGTTCGCGCGATGCTGTGGCCGTGTTGACGGTCGCATGGGAAAAGAGGTTCACAAAGCCTGCCGTCCTGACAGGTCACAGCCACTGGCCTGTGGTCACGAGGCGTCAATGTGGTTTCCTGCTCAATCGAGAATATTTACTGTTCGAGCCAGTGGCTTCCCATATAGCTGCTGCTCGTTTTATTGACCCAGGAGAGACGTGAAGGGCCGAGACTACCCTTGGCTAGGATTTGAATCGGCCACCTTTCAATCGCGAGCTGCACACTCAGAATCATAACATTTGTTTATACTGGAAGAATCCGATGAGCTATAAAGCTCTTTCACAGATGGCTACTCGAACCACTACTGGCACTCACCTGGCTGGATTATAAATAGTAAAAAATACACGTCCCTGTTCGCATTTTTGCCCTTACTTTTGTTTAATTAAATCTTATTGACGTGCACGAATTTGTGCACGTGATATCTATTGTTTGTACCAAACTCTGCATATTTCACTGTAAATGTAAATTTTCACTGAAGCGTTACACCTCCTTGCCACAAAGCTGGCTCTAGAACTAGACAGGAATCAGAAAATATCCCCCAAGTTTTAGTTTTATAAAACAACAAAGCTGTTTTCAATAAATTTCTACCCCTTGTTTCAGGACGGCGAGCTGCCATTTTTGCAAGACTTTAGAAATGGCGTTAAACCCGTGTGACCTCGATGACTCGCTCATAACATCTGCAACATGTTCGCATGTATGCTTGATTGCTCTTTTTAGGTAGGGGTGGAACGATGCATAGATACATTTTAATTATTCTGCTCCTGATTAAGGTGCCCTGCAGGATGCATCTGGAAAGCAAAGTTTTGGTGTTCTTCCTCCCTCCCCTCCATTTGTTACTTTTTTGAGTAAAAGTCAACAGCTGGGACTCTCATTCTATTTGGTTCATATTTACAAATTGCTTAGGATCTTGTCCGATTCTTCTCTGCATCTGCCTCAATGACTCTGTATTTACTCTAATGCATTGTTCACCTCTGAGCAACCAGTATATGTTGATTGTCTTTAAACAGGCTGTGTTTCAGCGTAACAGGCAAATGAATAAAGCCAGGAGGCACGACCTGAGGCACGACCTTGAACACGACAAACTTGAGTGGCATCCTACGCCTGATTCGTGCATTAAATTGCGTGTAAGAATCTGTGTGGTTTTCATGATCAAGTTGTATATCATGGGTTTTCAGTACTCCTGCAGCCACTTGGGGGGCACTACAATTCACTGCAGAGAATTACAATGTTTCGCCCTTTGTCAATCCACGTCTGAACTGAAACCGTCTGATACTCGTCGCGGCTTCATCTATCATACTTTTGCAACGGTGGTCTTTTTATGCATGTATGTTGGACTTCTTTCGCCACCGTACACAGCCAACCAAGTTAATCGGAGCTGCTGTGAGAGGACAACAAACTAAAGAAAGTATTTTAAATTTAGTAGAGGTTCGTAGAGGTTGGTGAAGAGATGATGTCCAGAATTGTTTCAGATATCACTAGCCATGTTTGCTGGCTGTATGCGGGAACCGGACTCTGTTCGCCGGGTTTTTTGAGTCCAGTGTGTTAACCAGTGTGTCGCCACTCCATTGTTCTCAATTATACCATGGTATTGTAATTTTTGTTTACATTGGTACAGTGTTATTGTTTGTAATGCTGTAACGAGAGTATAGGTTAGCTGGTAACTTCTTGCAGTTATGAGATTGTTGTATGATATTCCAGCCTGGGTTGATCTCCTGTCTGGCTTATGAAAATTGAGTACCGATTGTTCCACTTTCTCACTGGTTGCCATTCTCGGAGATTGTTCCCCTTCCGCCAGAGTGGAAATGCGACGTTCTTCTAACTACGACGTAAATGCATTGTTAGGTTGTTTATTTTGCGTCGGCTTTATTAAAGTATAACTGTTATTGACAATTTCGGTATTCGGTATTTTCATAATTTCTCCTTTTGCCGAGTTGCTCATGCTCTAGCAAGCGGGTTTGCTGACTCCCCCCTCCACCCCCCCACTGAAATCACTTAAATTGAATTAGAATGGCATTTCCTTGCTTCCTTGCCTTGTATGGCTCGCGCGGGCTGGAAGGCCCTGGGTCTTGTGTCCTCACGCGTGACGGGGGAAAAAAGAGTATGGGGGCTGCATGGCGGTCGTAATGATTGCAGTTGATTGGTGCATTCTATACGAGTGAGTGTTTTAAGTGTTTCTAAAGCATGTACGTGGCCGAGCGGTGGCGCGTTCGCCCGCTTGTTGCAGGGGTTCATGGTTCGAATCTAGTGGTGCGGTTTTTACCGCACGAGTACCGTGAGGTCGTTTGCAAGGGTGGGCTGTTGCGGGCTGTTGTCATGGTCCAAGTTACAAAAAATAAATATTACTGCAAATTCATCGATTGAAATGTACAAAGCAATCACCGAGCCCTTACTGCAAAAAAAATTTTGGCAGGACCCTCCTAAAAGAATCTTGAGAGTCGGTGAGGCTTTTTTGGTTAAACAAACATATTGAATTAAACTATTTAGTCAATTGCTCTTAAGTTCTGTCTCCATGAAATTTGTGTAAAAGAAATAGTGTACATTGATTTATAAGGTCACATGCATTACACCAAACTGCTTGGCACAAATGAAGGGTAGTACCTTGCTGATTTCGTCAAGGAGCATAAACCATCACACGAACTCTGGTCATCCTCGTGGCAGTAGCAGCTTTTGGCTCGCCATCAAACAAAGACGGTCATCGCATTGCGCACTTTTCAAATGTGTCCGGAATGCTCTTTTGTCCGATATTAGGAAGCTATTAACTTTTGAATCATCTAGATTGAAAACTCATTTCTTTAGAACTGCTTTTTGTGTTTGGTTTAGTTTGGTGGCCTCCTCCCTCCCTTACCTTGCTCCAGAGGTGGGACAAAGTCATTGTTATGCAAGTCCAAGTCGAGTCTGAAGTCATCAAATTCATGACTCGAGTCTGACTCGAGTCCAAGTCACATGACTCGAGTCCACACCTCTGCCTTGCTCAGCTCCTCCCGCTCCTCGTTTATTTTCCAGTATCACGGTCAGGGTTTTCAGAGAAGTATATTTAACTTGAGTTTCACTCATTATACCGAATTTCTTGCCAGTCCTAATGTATTTTTCGATTTAAAGCTTTCGTGACTGCAGAGATTCATCTTCTTGGTTCTTTCGGTAAAGTCACGTAGAAGGGAAGTAATAAAATAATAAAAATAAAACATAATAAAATAATTCTCACGACGTTTCGGCCACAACGCAAGCAGCCGTCCTCAGGTGAAGACCAGGTCTGTCGAGGCGACAGCCTCGTGAGAATTATTTTATTATGTTTTATTTTTATTATTTTATTACTTTCCTTCTACGTGAATTTACCGAAAGAACCAAGAAGATGAGTCCTAATGTATGTTTACGTTAGACCTCCGATTTATCATGGTTGGCTACGTACGGTGCAAAAGAAGTTCAACATACATAAAATACTCTAACGGTAGGCGTACGCAGACGGTTGATAGGTGTGGTTGGGTCTGCACGACAAGCAATGAGTTTGGAGCCACTGCCACAAGTGGAAAACTCTCTGCTCGGGCCATTTTCCGGCACGCGACATACGAGGAAAAGTTTACAGTGCCCACGGCCTCGAGTTTCTTCTTTCCACGTCGGGTTCGTGGAAATTTGACGAGGATAGAAATCTGCTTTTTCTAGTGAACATCAAAGTAATGCATTTTGTGGTAAGAATGTTTGCTCCCTGGCTAGAGAGCGCGAGAGGGGTGGAGGGGAGGCTGGAAAATGACGCAGCCAATGCCTGTAACTCGCGTGGTGGGCCCGCAGAGTGGTAAATTGCGCTGGCCACGAGCTCAATAGAGGGGAATGTTCTCTTCTAAAGGGTCCCTGATAATGTCTCTAGCTTGTAATGAGGAATTGTAGCATGCATGTTGAACTTCTTTCGCACCGTACGCATCCAACCTGTGCTGTTAAAGCTGATGTGGGATTTTACGGATTTAGTCAATCAATTTGAACAATTTTAAGTTGAATAATTAATTCGGAGACACAGCTAGCGCCTCCGCATTCTGGCCATCACTGCAGGTGGTGGGCATGTCCCCCCTGGGTGAAGACTGCCCAGGGGGCCAGATGTTCAGGGCAGTGTAGGTGGAGTCAAACGCAATCAGTGGAGGGCTAAATCTTGTCAGAGGAATGCTAACTGTGGGTGAACATTTCAAAGCAGTGTTGGCACTTTTGGTGACAACTCGTTTCACCCATGTGATGGCATGAGGTGCCTTATCAGGGGTTTTGTCATGTGCAATTACGATGCACTGCAATGCGCTGTCTTTCAGATATTGATTAAGATCACCTATTGGATTGCACCTTAACTATTGTGCAACAACAGCTGTTGGTTTATTTACCCAATTTGAGGTCGACAAATATCGATAACTGTATATTAGTTGTGCTCTCACAATGTTAATTCAGTCATGTGCAATTGCCCTTGGTTTACTGGGCCTGCCTGTTGTCATAGATGGTGTGTTCCGTAGTGTAACATTTACATTATACGTTTTTAAATGGTACATAGTGTCATTCATGCAAATAAAATCTCACAATGTTGAGAAACCACATAATCTGTAAGATAGCCAGGCAGTTAGTCAGTGCCAACAATTGCCTAAGCTCTGTGATCCTTATATATTAAGATGTTTTCAGCCACTTAATGAGTGTTTTATATACATGGTGGTGGAGATTGGAGCACCTGGAGATTAGCTACACGTGTGAGGGGATACGTATATTCCATATAGAAGGAACGGATTACATTAACTAAGCCTGATTTTTGCTGTACCACATCCCCTGGCAAGCCAGGGTACGGTTCCTCAACGCCCATGAAAGGGACGTTCACAACATGTGTGTAATCCACCAACCCTCGTTTGTCTCCAGCGCTGGATTACCGATGTACATAGCCACGACCGCCCGCATGCTATGTGTTCTATATATTATACTGTACTCATTGTTGCGCGTGCGTGCAGGTGGATGTAACGTGAATGGGAAGATGTACTCTGTGGCCGAGCGTTGGGAGCGGGTCTACCTGGGCCGCATGCTCACCTGTACCTGCTTTGGCGGTGATCGTGGATGGACCTGTGAAGGCAAACCTGAACGTAATTATTCGCAATGCACCCAGTCGCCAAAGTCCTTTTCGTTGCGGCTGTTTGTCACAATTGAGTTGGCAGCTGAGATATTTGGTCTTCTAAACTTGGTTCCCACCGGTTGTGCAGGTTGTACCGCTTGTTGTTCGGCACGATGTCCGACGGTTTTTTTTTACACCACGTCCTGAATCGGGCACATGACCTCACAGAAAATTAAATGTCATTCCCGAAGAAGCTCTGTTGGCATCCGTCAGGCCTAACTCCGACACGCGGCATCGGATAACTTTTGTTTCCAGCCAACATGGAAAAACCAGGTTGTCATATCTAGCCTGTTCAATGGCCTTAACCACATTACTATTAAGAATACAATGTCACGGAAACTTTAAATTAAATGATTGTCTCACTTGAGCCTGGTTAATATGCACGGAGCAAACATTCTCCCCTCCCCCTTGTGCACAGATGCTGAGTTGCCAGGATAAACCGCAATAATTTATAGTACTATCCAGGTTTAAATCTTGTCAAAATCGGCATTGAACTTTGTGTACTCTGCGAGTAAACTTGCATTGTACGCGTTTCCTATTTTTATTCCTTTGGTTTTTTTCTGCATTACTCCAATGATGGATTTAGTAGGCACAATGAGTGCAACGAGTGAAAAATACATCCCTGCCAAAGCACCTGCCCTTGCGCATAAACCAATCCCACTGTGGACCTTATGCACACAATACTGAGTGCTACCAAGCGTGTTCTTAAGCTCAAGTGTGCCATTGCAGCCTTCGCATAACAGCCTTGACGTTTAATAATCCTTCCGCAGAAGTGTGCTGCCATAAATATCACTTGCAGAGGTGAAGGCTATTTAAAGAAGAACGTCTTATGATTACTCCGAAGGGAATTTTGTTTTGACTAATGTCTAAATTATGATTGTGGTGAATTATTTATATTCCGACACATTTATTTTGGGATGTCTTATTAATGTAATAACCATAAGCTGTACCATTCGCCTTGTTTTATTTTTCCTGGAATGCGTAAACCATGTGAGGACCCAAACCTTAGGAGGTTTAAGTAAAAACTGAGACCATTTCCAAACATGCAAAGACAAAGATCCCCCTTACAGCCTTAACAGACTGTTGGGACAAGTGCTGTTATTGAAAACCTATGAAGGCCAGCACTGCATATGAAAGGGTGGGTGGCCAGCACCACGCCCGGCTGCCTTTTGTCTCTCGAGCTGCGATGTTTACACATCACACAAGGTCCTCATTTAGACTCGGAATCAGAATATTTATTTTTACTGGGGGAATCCGTTGAGCTATGAAGCTCTTTCACAAATGCCCAGTCGGGGCGGGTCAGAACGTTACAACAATAGACAATACACAAACACCATAGGAGTGCAAAATATTAGAAAGGAAAACAAATCACTTGAAAGATGTATACAGATAAAACTGACCCATGGGAGGCCCATTACTGGTTGAGATATTCACCACTGTTACCCGTTATTGGTCGTCGGCGGGAATCGAACTCGGGACGCCAGGTTCGTAGCTCGGCGTGCTAACCGCTGCGCCACCACTCCCCAAACCAAGAAAAAGATCGGCCGTATAGCCTTAACAAACTGTTGGGGCAAGTGCTGTTAGCGAGCACCTAATGAAGGCCGGCAAAGCACACGCAGGGGTGGGTGGCCAGCACCACACCCGTCCGCCTTTGTCTCCCTTGTGGCGATGTTTAAACACCGCACTAGGTACTCATTCTATGGGAGGTGCACGATCGGTTCAGATAATCGTCCCTGAGCAGGAATTGAACTCGGGTCGCCGGGTTCATAGCGCAGCACGCTCACCACTGCACTACCGCTCCCCGCTAACCACTACACTACCGCTCCCCACACGCACGCACGGTTTTTGACACGACGCTTTTGTTGCTCGCTTGTGCCCTGGTTAGCCGAATCGTGCTTCGACCAGTACACGGGGGGACGCTACCGTGCCGGCGAGACGTGGGAGCGCCCCAAGGGGGGCCTCGTGTGGGACTGCACCTGCCTGGGCGCCAGCGTCAGCCGCATCAGCTGCACCACTGCCAGTGAGAGACCCCCCCCCCCCCTCGCCCCCCCACTGCACGGACGCACACGCCAGTCACCCCGCACGCGCTGTCCTGCGGAGCAATCCCAGTGGCACGCGAGCGGAGGGGAATTAGAAGGAGATGGGATGGGGAGAGTCTACAGAATGTTTTTTTTTCATGCTTGCCATGTTATTTTTAAAGTGTATTTACATATTTCCTAATGCATTTATCGTCAAACTCAATATAGGTGTGGAAACGTTGAAATGCCTCCTTCCTGCTTTGAAGCTTTGACCATTTAAATGTGTTGTGTGTTCGTTGTAGGTTTAATGGGGTATTTAATAGGATATTCAATCTGCAGTTGGAAGACTTGTGGTATTATTCGTGTTCACTCTGTTTCAGTCACTCGGCTCTGTGCATTTCACTTCACGGAACTGCGTATTTTGGCGAATGCGCGTAATGTGCACGGTGGGACAGCGATCCGTCAGCGTCTTTCAAAGCTCGCAGCATTTCAGTACAACAGGGCAACTGTGCTCGGCAAACATAGTTTCAAGTCCCTTGGGAAAGATAAGCTTTCAGTGCAAGACCACGCTCGAGAGCAAAAGAAGTTGCCAATGATAACACAGGTTTTATGGATTCAGATCGCCGAGTTGTGTTTCTAGTCGTGACTACAGTGTTTTTATTGTAAATATTTACGTAGTTTAGACATTTATTTAGGTAAAATTACCGCACCTTTACATTGTTCACAGTCTCGAGTGCAAGCTCGCTCGTACAAAGGAGGTCTGTGTCTCGTGTGGAGTTTTGTCTCCTGCCTCTGCGGCGGCCAAGTCTCTCCTCGCTGAGTTGACAATAGTTGAGTGTTTCGTGCCGTGCATGCTACAGCCGCCCAAATAGCCGAACATTGCAACACCTGAGACGGTCCTGACATGGTGAACTGCCGGGTTTTTTAAATCCATCCACAGCTACCCAATCAGACTTGACTTTCCCTCGCGCACAAACATTATATCGCAGGGATGGAAAAATGCGTTTAAAAACACCGACTAAACCCATTACCTCCGTCTTTCATGACAGATCTTTCACAAACTATGGTCTCGCAAATATACATTTATATTTTGCGATTAATGTTTGCGATAAAGCCCATTAGATTCGAGTAGAGGGCTGTGTCTGTAAAACTTCATGATCCTTATTCATATAGGAGGCTTTTTGAAGAGAGCTTTTAAGGATTGTATCATACGATATTCGAAAAAAAGTTTTGCTGGATGGATTCATGACCGCCTGGCCGGATTCCTGGCGTGCGATCACGCAAGGACCTGTGCGCGGTGGTGACGTCACCGCGCACCCCTGTGTGATGACTTCATGCGCATGCCAGTGTCGAGCCAGGTTCATGCGTCGTGCCGACGTCATGCCTCCCCCCCACCCCAACCACCTTCCACCCCGGTCGTGGATCTCGCGCACACGCAAATGTACGAGATAGGCTACCATCCTATCATATTGTACTAGATTAGAAAAAAGTTTGGCTCACTGGAGGGAGGGAGTGATGGTAGAACGGACAGACGGCCGTTCACATCCAAAGGATGTGTGGACTGCTGGTTTTTCCATCCAAATGCCTGGTTCTCAAAGCAAGTCGTGTAATCTGAGATGTATCTTAATCTGAGATGCAACCAATCTCGGACTTTACAAAATGAGGTGGAGCGGAGCAAGATGGAGTGCTGTTGAGAGTATTTAACGGATAACGATCAAGCAATGCGTGAATACTTCCCTGGTAAAGAAAATGAGCAGAATGTGGCTGAAAAGTGTTGAGAGAGGGCACATATTTGCAATTACACGGAGATGGGAAGATTATTATGATCAATTGCGCTTATTTTACTCGTTAAAGCCTCACCAATCCTGACATTTTTTTCAGGAGGCAATGATTGCCCTACATAGATTTAAATTGAGTCATTTCATGGGACAAATGCAATTTGAGGTAATTGGGGTGGACGGAGATGATTATAAATTATTCACTGTTGAGGAACGTAAAGCTGACTTGGATGGGGTATGTCGCTATGATATTAGAAAAAGGTTTTGCTGGATGGGTTCCTGACTGCCTGGCTGGATTCCTGGCGTGTGGCCACGTAAGCGCATGTGTGTGGCGGTGATGTCATGATGTCATCCGCATGCCACAGTGTCGAGCCGGGTTTGTGGGTCGTGATGATATCACGCCCCCCCCCCGGTCCCCAACCACCTACCACCCCGGTCGTGTTTCCCACGCAAATTCACGCGATACGCTACCATGCTATCGTTATACTATGTTATAAACAAGTTTTGCTGGCAGTTGAGGAACGTAAAATGGGCTTGGATGGTGGTACGTCGCTAACAAAGGGACGATAGTCGATGGGGGAGACTGGTGACAAAATGGCAGCATAAGGGAAAAAAAAAAGTCCGGGGGGACGATTGCCACAGAGATGGAGTGGTGAGAAGCTGCGTGCGCAGGGTAGCAGCGAGACGGAGGGTGCCATTGTGGGGCCACGTGGGGTGGCAATGGCGTCGGGGGTGGGAGACCCTTTGTCCAGTGGTGGATAGAACATGGCCGACGATTTTGATGCCTGTGTTGACCGGATGATACATAGGCTGTGCGTGTGTCTGTGTGTTGGGAAGAGGTTAACAAAATAAGCCGAGGGTAGTGTAGATTAGGGAGGCAAGTTGTTGAAAAGGAGTGGGGATGACCTGAGCAAGGAATTATTTGGTGCAGCTTTGGCATTGGTGCAAAAGCTCGTTGAACAAAAACAACTCGACATATTCACCAACAACCCTGCCTTGAAGAAGACTTCTAATAGAGGACAATGCAGGCACTGGCACTTCTTCTTGAGAACAAGGGGAGCGTTCCAATGTATTTTTCACTGGGTCCTCCGGTTTTTCCCTCCACATTTAGAAACATGCGTTTTAGAGTATTTGGCTGCTATACATTTCCAGGCGATGATAAGCCACTTGGTTGAGCTATCATTTGTGGCCAGGTAGCTTCTGAAAGTGCTATATAGCTCTATAAAATACAATAAAAATAAATGTCCAGTAGTGTGCATAGGCGTAGCACTCACGACTGTTAATTCAGCGGAGCCAGTACTGCTTTTTCGGCAAACGATAATTACGTGAATTTTCTACCCAAGGGGAATTGTGGGTAGCTGCAAAGTAATTATGGGTAATGAATTTTTCTGCCGCTGCTCGTTTTGCTTCCCATAGCGTTGGGGCACGTCTCTTGCCCCTAATCGCTGGTTTCCGGTTGGTGTTTGTTGAAGAGGCCACACCCTGCCCGTGAGACAAAATATATACGAAACAGCGATCATACGTTGATTCGGAAGGCCCCTGTGTTGGTTGACGTCATAAATGTGGGGCATGCATTAAGAGTATTTGGCTGTTATAAATGTCCACATGGTAAGCCACTTTGTTGAACTATTATTTGTGATAGCCAAGTAGCTTCTGAAAAAGAGCTATATCGCTTTATGTGCCTTACCTGGCAAAATAAAAAAATAGTTTAGTTTTTTTGGCCTCTTGATCAAAAATATAATCCTGTTACAATACCGAATACATTGAGACATTTACAATCATCCTCCTAACACATAGGCTTTCGCAAACAATATCATCCATTATAGAGGTTTTTGGGTTAGATCGCGTAAGTATATAAATGTGTCGTTAAAACCCGCCACCCCCCGACACAGCCAACTAGCAAGGGTTGTCACGTGGTGGGAGTAATGCACACATAAAACTGACACTGTTGATTAAAAATTGCTGTAAACTTCCAACTTGTGCTTCCATCATTATAATTGTTGCAAGAATATTTTTTAAATCCTAGAGAATATATAAAAAAAACCTCAATACATACTATCTTGGCATTATGTTATTATACAAAAAACAAATTACTTTTAGTGCTTTCGAGTAACAGGATTTTGAGAATAATAACAGCTGTCTATTTTTCTACACACTAATACCATAATATTGTTCGTTATCGTGGTGCTGGGATTGGCCACCGCTATGTTGACCAGTGTGAAGGATGGCCAATTAACCCCGATGACCCACACGGCGTGGGCAGGTCTTAATCCAGAAGGGGATTGCTTAGGAATGTTTGGCAAAATTATTGCGAAGTGGTTTGCGAGCGGATACCGAATGGCCTAGGCGAAAGAAAACCCTAACTCTTTGAGGGGTTTATGCCTTTAAAAGCCAATGCAGAAGCATGCTCCCCTCTCCAGGCCACTTCGGCCCAGTATGTGAAAAGTCTCATGCACACGATGAAATGTGTATTAACTACCAAACGCTGCCTCCAGGGCGTGGGATTACAGGCATGTGCCACCACCTCACTCCATGTGACTGCATTTTAAACATTTGACAAACTCGACTTCAGCACTTGCACTTCATTGAAAATGCAATTTGAGCTGCTGGACATTCCATAATGAACCAAATTTAGAATGATTTGTTAACGTTTCAGGGGTTATGGTACATTTCTATTGATAGGAATTGCCACTTGTGGTTATGTAATTATTCGTGTGAATTCCTGCCCATTGGTGTAAACACGGCCATGGGTGGACTGTGCGAAGGTAAACGGTCGGAAGCCTCAAATCCAGCCACGGTTTCCTCGCATACACACCAGCAGTGAATGGCATGGGACTTCCTCGTCTCGTCTCTATGCCAGGGTATGTCATAGAGACGAGACGAGCCCGAGAAGGGACATTCGCATCGGTGTCTGCATGCTGTAGACTGGTCATGTTTCTTTTTAGTTAGATATGTTCACAATACGGTTGAGGCAAGTTAAAGCATTTAACAAAATATGTGCATATATGTACACGTGAAAACGTGTTTCCTATCGTAACTTTCACTGAATCTGCTTTCACACAATTGGGCGTGACCTGTGTCTTTCATAAAGTGAAATTACATTTTTTAAATCAGTTATATTGATGTTTACGGCTCCTATATATATGCTTTGTATGCTGGGTAGTTGGTGGGGAGTGGCAGTGTGGTGGTTGGCACGCTGCGATGTGGACCCAGTGAAGCCCACATTCGATTCCCGCTCACAACCAATATCTGAACCAGTCCTGGTCCTCCCCTAGGGTGAGTCGGCCTTTAAAATGAGTATCGTGGGATGTTGCATCAACATCAACCCTGCAGGTGGGCGGGGGAGACACAAAGGTGGCTGGGCGGAATGAAAACCACCCCCCACCTCCCTTGTGTGTGCCGCATTAGCCTTCAGAGGCGCTTGCCAACAGCACTGGCACCCAACAGTCTGTTAAGGCCCTGAGGGGAGGGAGAGGTGAGGGTGGGTGGCCTTGGTTGTTGTGTATTTGACAAGTGCTCTACTATGTACGTATGTATGTTGAACATCTTCCGCACCATACGTAGCCAACTATGCTCGTGGTAGGTGCGGGGCGGAAGGCCCAACAAACTAAATGCAAAAAGCAGTTCTACAGAAATGAGCGTGAGAGTGATTGCTGGTGTGCGTGTGCCCCGTAGGTCGCTGCCACGAAGGCGGCAGCTCGTACAAGATCGGAGACAAGTGGCGGCGGGTGCACGAGTCGGGCGGCTACATGATGGATTGTGTGTGTCTGGGGAACGGCAAGGGGGAGTGGATTTGCAACCCAGTGTGTGAGTCTCGCCATCCCACCGCACCACCGGCACCGACACACTCGCCACCGCACTCGTGCCAGACTCGTGTTAAACTCGCGTTACACTCGCCCCCACACTCGCCCCCACACTCGCCCCCACTCTCGCCCCCACTCTCGCCCCCACACTCGCCCCCGCACTCGCCGCCACACTCGCCCCCGCACTCGCGCCACTCGTCACACTTGCCATACTCAACCCTGAGGGGCCACATTCAGGGCTGCCCATTTGTTACCCCAGCAAGCCCCCCCCCCCACCACATCTTGTATTTAACATTGTGTGACGAATTCCAAGTTAACGTGTCGCGCAGTGTGCTTGTTTGTTAAGGTTACGTTGTAGGCTGCCACGATTCTCTGGTGCAGTTGTGTTGCTGCAAAGGGTGGGTCTGGCAAGGAGGTTATATTGGCCCTGACGGCTCACAGTGGGGAGATGTTAACTACCTCACCAGGTATGCAGGAGGTCGTGTGTTCGATCCTGACGCCTGTGCATTTGGAGTTTGCATGTTTTCTCCATGGTCACATGGGATTTTTTCTGGGTCCTCTGGTTTTGTCCCTTCCACATTTAGAAACATGCCTTTAGAGTATTTGGCTACTATAAATTTCCAAATGATAAGCCACTTTTGTTGAGCTATCATTTGTGGCCGAGTCACTTCTGGAAAATAGCTGTACAGCTCAGTGGGGCTTTACCTGGTAAAATAAAAATAGTAGTAAAGTGAGTGGATATTGTCAGTTTTTTAAAGTTTTTTTCGCGATGGACCGTAGGATGTTTCCAAAACACTCCTCTGCCATTCCACCTCCCTCCTCCTCCCCCTTCACGTTTACCTTCCATCTTGTTCGATCTGTCCCCATCCCCCTATGCCTCAAGCTTCTTCCTGCGTGTCACAGCTCTTCCATTGTTAGCCGAGGTTCTTGTAGTTTCCACTGCAGAGAGAAGACATGAGGGCTTTGAAAGAACAATCCCGCTTGATTTGTTGACAACAATTTTAAATGGCGAATGGGGAATTGACAAACAATAGCTCGTCTCCTGAAAAATAACTAGGTTCAGTCCCTGATCCAGCTTTAATAGACAAGATCATGAACAACAATGCTGAAACCCTCACATTATGTACGTATGTTGAACTTCTTTCGCACCGTGCGTAGCCAACCATGCTAATCGGAGGTGTGGGATATAAATCCGGTTTTTTTTAATGCCATATAAATTGTTGTTAATTTATAGACTGCACATTAAATGTATATATATTTTTTGTCTACGCTGGAAAGAACACGGACAACATAACACGTTTTGGCACACTAGGGGGTGGAATGCTACATCAGGGCTTGATGGATAGTTGTGTTGAAGCCCATGAACACTTGCAGATGTGTATCGGTGAGTCATTCTTCGAGATTGAGTGCTAGTACCCCAATGCAGAGAGAATGTTTAAAACGTGCTGTGAAACCGATTCGCTTTCCCCAGGGAAAACAACGTGCGTGTGCATTATTATAATATCACTGTGTGTGATTTGTTTTCCATGTATTCACACGGTTGGTCTATATGGTGTTGTGCAAACGTATACACTCAGGTTGTCCTTTTTTAATGATTATTTTTTATTGTTGTTGAGTGTGCCCCTGACTGGACTTGCCAGTGGTCTCGGAGCTCTCACTCCATGTTGCAGGTGAAGCTGCTGTCTCCTGCCTCTGCAAGATTATCTGACGATAATAATAATATTCTAAACGAGCGGTTTGTGTGTGTGTGTTTATATATATATATATATCTAGCTTGGTGTGTCTTCATTTATTGTGATGGTATATGTTCACAAGGTACAAGATGTCATACAGGATGAGGCGAATGGCATCTTTCCAGTGCCATGTGTTTTGATGCCCGGTTGTAACTGATGATCGATGGGTTGTTTAGCCGGCTCTCAGGAGCGCTGCTACGACAACACGCTGGGCTCGGCGCACTTGGTGGGTGATACCTGGGAGCGGCCGTACCAGGGCTGGATGGTGGTGGACTGCACCTGCCTGGGAGAGGGCCAGGGTCGCATCGCCTGCACGTCCCGCAGTGAGTGTGGGCGCACCCCGCCACCCCCCACCCCCCACCCCCCACCCCCCACCCCCCTGCACTCGCCGATGGGAAGCCCCCATCGGCCGCTTCCATCGGCCCTCCCTCCAGCTCCGAGTTCAAATCGCTCCCAGCTCGGAACGCGGCGACGGCGGTGGACCCGTTTGACGTCGCTTTACCCCATCCCCTATCAACTGGTGAGGGCTGTCTTCGGAGAAAGCATTTTTTGCTGTCCTTCCACCACACCTCCGATTAGCATGGATGTTCATGTACGGTGCGGAGTAAGTTCAACATCCAGCCAGCCATGCTTTTCACCGCGGAGGGTTGCTTGTTCTATTCCTTTGATCGCGTTCCCTTCATCTTGCCTCGTGCTCACCTCCTCTCTGATCGTTCATCACCTCGCCCCCTTGGCTTTGGTGCAAGTGCGCCTGTTGTTTGTTATGTTAGTATTGTACAATTTTGTTCTACAATCACTACTGCTTGCCAGTGCCTCCTTGAAGCGCTCTGTTGCATTGTTGCCTGCCCCTCCTCCGTATGCGTCGCTCTGACGACGTTGTTGTCCTTGTTCTGTGCTGAAGCACCACGGATTTCTCTTGCACCACTGGCTGGGTGACTGACTACACGGGACTTTCCGTGGAACAAATTAACATTAATTTATTGCAATTACGATTACGCTCGTTTAGCCAGGAAAAATAAACCTCGCCCAGTCGGTCGCTCCAATGTGCCGGGAGCATCATTCCTGCCTGAAAATAGCGGTGTACAATCCGAGATCAAATCGACATAGCATAACCATGAATGGCCTCAACAGTAGAATAACATGTCGTGCTCGATGTAGTATGGATACCGTGTTACTGCGAATGCACAATTTTACAAACAAAAATCTCCGCAATAGATGGCTCTCACTCTCTCCTCGTGCACCGCTGGGAGTTTCGCTATGGTGTAGATGACGCTGTGGTGCGTACATTTCGCGTAAATATTTTTTTAAATGCTCGCCCTAGGGAGGAGAGGGATACGCATGGCGCAGTTGCGTAACACGTGTGCCCCGCAGCAAGAAGTTACCTGGGTTTGATCCCCGACTCGGGCGCCTTTCCGCGTGGAACTTTAAATGTTCTTTCCCTCGTTCGGTTTGGGGTTTCCTCCCGTAGCTGAAATTAAAATCTCGCACAAGATGTGACCTGGTTTTGAGCCAAACATCCCATCGCTGGGTAACTACAACTGCTAATCACTCGATTTGGATCGCACCGGGGTAGCAACGTCACCGCCACTCCCCCCCTGCCTACTGAGAACTTTGCAGGGAAGGCCCCTCCTGAAAGAGGTTGTTGAATTGGCGAGACGTTGTTGGTTAAACGAGCGCTCTAGAGCCCCCAGAGTGGTGGTGCGTGTTGAGAGACGCCACAATCTCCTTTCCCGTCGGGATGAGGACCTCGACAACTTTGCTCACCTCGTCGCTTTGTGCATCTTCCTTGCAACCTCAGTGGGCTTTGTCTGGTAGGATGGGGATAGTTTAGTTGTATTTGTATATGTTTGGGTGATTTGTTTACTTTGTACTTTGCACTACTGTCTTGTTTTTTTTTGTTTGCCGTTGTAACGTTCTTCCCCGACCCGATTGGACATCTGTGAAAAAAGCTTTAAAGCTCATCAGATTCCTCCAGTTTAAATATTCCGATTCTGATCTTTCTTGTACCTTCATGCAATGCCAACTTTTCTATTGGTGCTGCGGTTACACATAAAGGGGAGGGAGAATGTCCAACAGAAAGCACCACAGAGGGGTTGTAATTTCTTTTCATGACAATTTTTGTCTCACTTTCACGATTCTTTTTTTGGAAAAGCAATTAACCTGCAGAGGGATTGTGGCCAGTAAATTAATTATTTAAAAATACGTATAATTTGACAAAAAAAAAAGAATGATGTTTCAACCTGTGGGGTTTGGCATGTTCACTAAGAAACGTACTGTTCAGCTCAGGATTATTTGTGAAACGTGTATTTGAGTTTCCTAGCAACATAAAAATGTAGTTTGTGAAGAGGTGCACATTTTACTACTAGGGTTTTTCTCCTTTTTCTGGCATCAAACCTGACACCTTTTTTGCAAGGAATCATGTTAACATTAACCACAATACTTGCAGTCAAATGCAAACAAAAACAATACTCTGATAATATATGCATTCTCCTTGAAACTCATTGGTCCACACCAGACACAGCTTTTCTTAGAGCCTAGTCTCATATGGTGTTCGACCCAGATGACGCCAAAAGGCGCACCGTTCAAAGACAACGCACTATCAGAGTAATGAGAGCTCGGGGTAAGCATTTACACCATGAGGCCTCCTTTGCATACATTATCAGAGTATTGTTTTTTGTTTGCATTTGACTGCAAGTATTGTGGTTAATGTAAGCGTGATTCCTTGCAAAAGGTGTCAGTTTTGTTGCCAGAAAAAAGGGGAAAAACCCTATTAGTATATTTTGGTACTGGCAAAGGAGGCCTCATGAGGTGCACATTTTGCAATCTCCTGGTACTGTTGAAGTTACCGTGGAGGCCTTTACTTGGGAAAGACGACCTTGCTTTTTTTCTGGCCCTGTTTGTTTATTTTTAGTTTAAACTTGTCCACAAGGATGTTTACATTGAAGTTGGCAGTTAAATTTAATGAATTTCTATCGTAATTCTATTTAAAACTTGTGATCGATATCGGTCAAGTCGGTTTGTTTCGGGGAAGACCCATAGGGCTAAGGAGCTCGTTTTCAAAGGTGACCCTGGCCAAAACAGCTGAGCACTCTCCGTGGGAAGGGAGCACTTCTGGTAACAACATAATATTGTGGTGCGGTCATTTCCCATGACCTCAACCTACTTTAGATGGTGCAGAAGGCTCTTTTGTGTATGGGCATAAAAGGAAATGTGCGATGGTAAAGTAAAATCGCACCTACCCAGTATGGTTGGAGATGAAATACACAAATCTGAATAGCACGGACGGCAATGACGATTAAAGGCTCGCGCAGATTCTGTGTTTACAGTAGGGTTTGACTGTTGTTTCAGCAGAAGCCCCCCATATTTTCCACTGCTTTTTGCACGAAAAAAAATCTTCCAGGTCTATGGCAAGTATGGCAACTTGGCCACTTTTGTCAGTTATTTATGGGCAGTCTTTTAAGACATCAATTCGGCCCGGTGCCTTGATCTTTATTGTTTGGAGAATATCTAAACGTATAGATGAAACCGTACCTGCTGGAAGAGTAGGCCAAGTACGTTCCAGAGGGGGGGGGGCGCCATTGAGCTTCATCTAATGGGGGAGGCTCTTCTGCCATCAGTGGTATGAGCAAGCAGATGCGGAGCTGCACCTGTCGAAACGTTTATCTCAAAAGATTGTAGAAAATAAGCAAAGTATGAAAAGCATTGGATCGTGCTTTCCGCTCGTATATTTAATTTTGATTTGTTCACGTGACTTTTACAGCCACTGGAGGGGTGCCACATTCGCAGTGGTGTATGAAAAGAGAATCTTAAATTGAATTGACATCGACTCTTGACAATTCATCGTAATGGGAGGGAAGTAATTTTCAAATGCCCTCTTTTGTAGTTCTAGATTTGAAGTTTTCGTGACTGCAAGGATCCATACTCTTTGGTTCTTTCGTTAAAGTCACGTAGGTGAAAATAAAAATAAAATAAAATAAAAAAGTAAAAACAACTAAATTACCCTGCCAGGTGGCTCAGCGGCAGAGCGAGCGGCTCGCAATCAGAAGGCCGCGAGTTCAACTCCTGGTTGGGGTTGACTCCGCCCATCATCCCGCTGGGGGGGGGGGGGGGTCCATAAAATGAGGACCACTTTCTGGCGAATTCAACAGTGGTTGTCCGATGGATAGACTCGCCCCTCCCATAAGAATGTGGAATGCCCACCACTTGCTCTGGAGATGGGCATTGCCTCAATACTCATTCGAGCATTAAATTACAGTTCTGAGTCTAACTGGTGTGCTTAGCATCATATCAAAATAAATAAATATATAGTACATATAATTACTCTAAAGCTGCCCGATCGAACCGTCTGCCTTTCAACTCTGTTCAAAACCCCCAGACCGCTGCAACGACCAGGAGACGCGACGCTCGTACAAGGTTGGCGAGACGTGGTCCCGAACGGATGCGCGAGGGCAGCCCCTGCGGTGCGTCTGCATTGGCAACGGCAACGGGGAGTGGAAGTGCGACCGCCAGACCTCCAGCGTCACTGCCACGGGTACGCCGCCCTCGCTCCTTCACAAGGCTCCTCCGAGTCACCGCCGCCACTGCCCCCCACGTTTGTCTACGGCTGCCGTGCTCGCCTGGTGGCCTAGTGGCGTCACGGTGGCGAGATGTTAACTACCTCGCCTGGTATACAGGAGGTCATATATTTGGAGTTTGCGTGTCTATCCGTCTCCTCTCTCTCCCCCCATGGTTGTGTGGATTTTTCTCCAGGCTCTTCGGTTTTTCCCTCCACATTTAGAATCGATGTGCGTTGTTTAGAGTATATGGCTGCTATACATTTCCACATGAGAAACCACTTTGTTGAGCTGTCATTTGTGGCCAGGTCGCTTCTAAAAGAGCCATATAGCTCAGTGGGTCTTACCTGGTAAAATAAAAAAAAAATTATTGCGAGCATGTTAACTCCTAACAAAAAACAAAACCCAAGAAGGGCAATTTCCCTGAAACGTCACCTAATATATATGTTTTATATGTGTTTTCCTTTTAAGGTCACACAGTGGCTTTTATCGAGTCCTTGGATGTTACTTGTCCTTGTGCACCACTGCTAATGAAGAAGCATCACCAAATAATGTGTTTTTTAATGTTGACTACTGTGTTATCAAGGTTGCAAAGTTACAGCAAAGCTTTGGGGCTTAACCATGCCACAGTTGTGCCCTCACGCAAACACTACTGATGGTGGTGGCTATACACGTGGCCTGCAATCCAGCCCTGTGGAGGCAGCGAGGGTCGGAGGATCATACAAATGTTGTGGAACTCTCTTGCTGTGGGCATTGAGTAGCGATACCTTGACTTGCCAGGAAACGCAGTACAGCAAATATGTGGGCTTGGCCTCTTCCCTCTGTGTGAGATAGTGTTTGTCCCACATGTAAACACTCATTAATTGGCCGATAACATCTTCATATACAGAGGACCGCAGAGTTTGGGCAATTAATGGTGCCAGCTCGCTGCGCGGGCTGCTTCTTTCCCGCTTGTCTGTGCTGTCTCGTGCCTCTCGAGTCATTCTCTCTTCGAGAGTGAGGAGTGAATGCAGTGCAGCTGCAGCACGTTACAAGTTGCAATTAGTTCCCTCTTCCCGATTGAGTGCCACACATTCGACGAGCACAGTTGGCCACGCACAGCGTGAAAGAAGTTCAACGTGCGAACGATGGTTTGTCGGCGGCGTGCGCCCCCTCCCCCCCCCCCCCTCTATCTGTAGGCACAGGACAGCTGCACCAGGCAGGTGTGCAGGACTCGGCCACACACCAGAGCAGTGTGCAGCAAACGAGCGTGCACACGAGCGTGCACTCGTCGATGTACCGGCCCACGGTGCAGTGCGAGTCGGACGGGGGCGTGCTGTTCAGCACCGGCGAGCGCTGGGTCAAGTCGCAGGAAGGGGGACAGCTGCTGTGCACTTGTCAGCCCAGTGGAGTGAACTGCCAGACCATCAGTAAGCCCCCGTGGATACATTCACCTTGGAAGTTGTTGGGGATGTTTTTTTTGTTTATTGATGATTAGTAATTCTTTGTTTGGCACGGTAGATGCATTCCCGAAAGAAGGCCGCGTTAAGTGAGGAATATCCGTTGCCGAATTGCATTTGCACTGTAAAGTCTTTCCATGGCGGGACAAAAAAACTGAGATGAGGATACGCCACCGTGGTACTGTTCCGCGTACTGTATCGTGTACCGCTCAGGCACGCAGCTCAAGAAAGTGGTTTGTCCCATCGACCGCTCAGAAACTGCGTGTATAATGGTGCGCATTCTGCAGTATAACAGAGTGCACGTTCTGCGTAATAACGGGGTGCGTGTTTCGCATTATAATGGTTGCCGCGTTATAACGCTGCGCATTCCACGTAATAACGGTGTACGTTCCACCTAATAACGGTGTACGTTCCACGTTGTGCCACAAGTGTTCCTTCATAGCAGAACCGCGTTTGAGCAAAAACGCGTGATAGTGTGAACACGTTAAGTGAGGACTTGCGGTACGGCCGGAAAAAGTTAACGATTCATAAGATGTTTTTTATTTTTTGACCAAATGTCTGTTGTAAAACCCTCCGCCACCTGACATTGTCAAAGAAATGAAACTGCCGCGTGCATCGAGTGTTCAACACACCAACTGTTATTGTTTCGGCTTGCCGGCAAAACTAGTGTGTCATACCAACAAAGCCATGTACCCATAGGCAAAAAAAGTAACACAATTAACAAAAGCACATCAGTTTGTCTTTATGAATCTCAGCAAGTACCGTTAATGATAACCGACACTATATACGGTACATTCAAATCATTTATCGGCACTATACGCTACATCCAAATCGGTTATTGATGCTTAATATGGTACATACTAAATTGCCTAACAATGCGGCCACTCTTCTCTCCCCCCCCCCCCCCCCCTTGCTTTGCTCCGCGGCCCAGCCATAAAAACACACGGCGGCAACTCGGATGGGGCTCCGTGCGTGTTCCCCTTCACGCACGAGGGGCGCGTGCACAGCACGTGCACGGCGGAGGGGCGCGACGACGGCAAGCTGTGGTGCAGCACGACCGCCGACTACGCCCACGACAAGAAGTTCTCGCTGTGCAGCCAGGAAGAAGGTGACCCCCCCCCCCACCCACCCACCCCACTCGTTGCAACCACTTCGCTTTCCAAAAACGATAGCTTCATTTTGTTTAGTTTTTTCTGTTCTGAATCGCACGTGGTTTTAATTAAATTGTTATCCGTATATGGTAGCGTAACTAGTTTGGGGGGCAAAGGGAATGCCTTGCCCCCCCCCCTCAATGGTGGCCAAAGCTCCGAGTTGACAGCTACCATGAGATTTGTTTTCAACGACAGTGTAAAAGAACAAAACACTTATTTTACGACGTTGGAGCGCCCCAACAGCATTACGTGTTCGAGACCGTGAGCGTAACGACGATGTGATCAGGCACGAGGAGCCGCGATATATAATAGCCTAGGTGCTGACCGATTGCTGCACCCCTTGAGCTGATAATGTCGTTACTTCGCCATTGTCTGTATTGGAATACTTAGTTGGGCATCGGAAAGACGACTGAATGATTAGATTTTTTCCTCTCCGAAATGTTTCGATCCATTTCACTGTTAACTACGCTTGGCTTTGCCCGTTGGAAGTGGCAGCAGCAGTAGAGATGTGTTTATTAGGTTGTTTTTGTGTGTTCTAAGAGGGTAAGGGTTTCTGTATTTTAACCCTTTCCTGTTCCGAGACATTTGTAAGTTGCCAGGTGGGTCCCTTTCACCGCTGAGTCTTGGAACGTGCAAGCAGTTTAGCGGTGGAGAGGCATAGCACCGCTGTTTTTAAAGACATTGTACTCACCGCAGAGAACCGTAGAGACACAACTGAACTCTATGATAGCTGTCGCCAAACTGTGCCACACGTCCTCCTGCATGGCCTTGTAGGCGCCCCGGTACCGATAAAGTTATTTTATATTCCTTTTTATTCCAGTTGGTACGCGTGTACGTCATTGTAATGAAACCAGAAGTAAAAGTGATTACGTGTGCGTGTACGTCATCCGTTTTTATTCCGGTTACGGTCGTCATTGTACAGGAACAACGGTGACGCTGGTGACCACGAGGGGTGGGAACTCCAATGGAGCGCTGTGCCACTTCCCGTTCGTGTTCGGTGGCCGAGAGCACGTCGCCTGCACTTCGGAGGGTCGCGCCGACGGCATGAAGTGGTGCAGTACCACGGCCAACTTTGACACCGACCAACGCTACGGCTTCTGCCCCATGGCAGGTGTGTGTACGGCCGTGAGCCCCAAGGATGCTGGAGGTCTAGGTTGTTAAAAATAAAATAGAGTGAAAGTAGTTTTATTCTCACCGTATGTAGCCATACGTGCTAATCGCTATAATGTAACTCGGAGCAATGAAGCGTTGAGCTGATCTGCAACGAGTATTTCAGGTAATGGCTTATCATTGTCAGTTGCATCCTTGCCACGATGTTACTTGGGTGCAGGAATTAAATTTGCATGAAAAGCTCGGAGTATAAAATATTGAATGCACGTGTGTCTACCCTTCACATTCTGTGTTGTGCCAGGTTCATCGCATGAAAAAAAAAAGACGAAAGGAAAATGTTTCTCTTGTCGAGGGTGCACCCACAAAATTGTCGCCTTTCCCAGTTCAGATTTTACCCCTGAAACATCCAATACAAACCAATGAGAGACGCGTGCCTCATGTCTTATTGGTAGAATTGTCTGGAAGTTGGTTCCCCATCGACTTCTATTTAAACCTTTACGGCATGACGTCATTGTTTGTTAAGCCAAGGCTATGGCTTTGACGTGGTGGTACACTAAAAAGTAAAACAAATAATTCTATACTGTAGTCCAGCGCTTTGGAGGGCAAGGGTTGGTGGACCATGCAAACGTTGTGAAACTCCCTTCCCATGGGCAGTGAGGTTACCATACCCTGGTTTGCCAACAAAAACTGTGGCCTCCACGTGTTCCATTTGTGCAAGGTTAGTGTTGCCTCCCCACGTGTGTGGGATTTCTCCGGGTGTTCTGGTTTCCTCCTACATCACTGGAGTTGGACAAACATCCCAATGTAGGGCTACAGAGCTTGGGCAATTGTTGGTGCCGGTTCTGGCAGCCTTCCCCCGCTTGCTTGGTTTCCCACACTGTTGAATCTCCAGAAACTGTGTGCATTATACATGCAATATTCAGTGTGTGTTTCCTAACATTCTGAAGCCTTTTAAGGCCCGCCAGCCACTACTTTGCCACTGCATTTTTTTTTCTCGCCACAGCCCATTATCCACGTGGACCACCCTTACTAAAATTGCCCACTGGGGGACATGTCTAGCCTAGCAAGTCAGGAAGGAGTTGACCGGATAGCATGGTGCATTGAGGAGTGGTGGGGGAGCGGATGGGTACGCTACACATTGACGGGATTGGCTTATAGCCTGGCATGTTGGAGTGGATCTGTAAAGCAGTACGTTGAAATGGGGGGGCTGCTTGTGTGGTCATGTCAGTGTGCCACGGTGACGAGATGTAAACTACTGCGCCTGGTATACAGGTCGTGGGTTCAATCGCGTGGACAATGTGCTGACCGACACTCGATACAACTCGAACATATCGGGGAGCGAGGCAGACATGTTAACCACCTCGCCTGGTATACAGGAGGTCGTGGGTACTATCCCGACCCTTACTCCTGTATATTTGGAGTGTGCATGTTTTCCCCGCGATGGCATGGATTTTTCTCTGCTTCCTTCGTTTTTTCCCCTCCAAGTTTAGAATCAATGTGCATTTAGAGTATTTGGCTGCTATAAAAAAATACAGGCGGTAATTCACTTCATTGGACTATTATTTGTAGCCCAGGTAGCTTCTGAAAAAGAGAGGGGAGAGGGAGGCATGCAAACTAAACAATTTTTTTTATTTTACTAGGAAAAGGCCGACTGAACTGTATAGTTATTTTCCTGAAGCTACCGAGCCACCAGTAATAGCTGAACAAAGTGGCTTGTGTGGAACTTTATAGCAGGCAAACACTATAAACGCATGACGTTATTTTAAATGTGGAGGGAAAAACTAGAGGAACCCAGAGAAAAATCCACGCGACCACAGGGAGATAGACACGCATACTCCAAATATACAGCAGGCGTCAGGGTCGGGATCGAACGCACGACCTCCTGTATACCAAGCGAGGTAGTTAACATCTCACCACCGGGGCGCCCTGATGATGGGACCGCGGCCCAGAAGCGGAGTCTGAAACACGCCGAGCCGAAACGTTTTCGGGTGTTTCAGGGGCAGCCCCCCCCCCCCCCCCTGTCTTATTTGCGCTATCACTATTTACACACGTGCACTAGTTTAAACATTTCTGTTAATTATAATGATCAGTGTTCATAATGACATTGAAATCACAACACCATTATTAACCTCGAGATAAAATTGATATAAATCACACCCGATGTTTTAGCTTACTGTGGTAATTTTGTCCTGAATGAGGGTTCTTTTCGTAAGGGCAATTTATTTGGAGAAAATAGCATCGGAGATTTCTGCTGATGGCAGGGACTTTGAGGCTCCGTCAACTGCCGCTGAGCAAAGGGCTCCAGTGTCTGTGTACGGCCAACAAAACACATCTGTCGACAAAAAATAAACATTGCAAACGTTTGCAGAGGAACACGCATAATGTTTCTCCAGGGATGTAAACTACATAATAAACACCGTGTTGGTGTTTATTATGTTGTTTTCAGTGAAAATAGTGAACCAGAATTGGACGAGATTTTTTATACTTTCATTCAATTATTTAAATAGAAAATGCATCATGCAGCGAAGGGAATCCTTGTCCATAAATACAAATGGTTGGAGATAAAAATGGATTAATATACTTTTTAATAGGAAATGGTTAATGCTTCACAGATATGTAAGCTGTGATGAGTGTTTTTATCACAAACACATTGGGACTGTTATTGCCATCACTTAACTTCAGTTCCACTTGCTCTTGTAAACTGGTACAATATCCATGCACGCTGAATGATATCGTCACATCATGAGAGGTGTAACGTTAGCAACTCTTTATATTGTGTGTGGTGTGGAGTTTACAGAATTTGTCGAAAATAATTGTGGGTGGATGCTGCCCCCCCCCCCCCCCCCCCCGCTCAGCTCACGAGGACGTGTGCACGGCGGACGGCGTGCAGCACCGCGTGGGCGACCAGTGGGACCGGCCGCACGAGCTTGGCCACGCGATGCGCTGCACATGCATCGGCGGTGGCCGCGGCGACTGGACATGTGTGCCCTACACCAAGATCCTCGGTGGGCGCCCGTGCGCAGTCACGCCGGCGCGCGCTCGCACACCGCTCGCCAGTTTCTCTCCAGCTTGTTCACGCGACGTCGGAGTTATTATTTTTTTATTGCAAGAACAGCACGCCGCGTGACTTGCATGATCTGGTATCGCAATTCGCGGAGGGCGGTCCCGATGCAACTGAAGGAGTTATTATTTTTTTATTGCAAGAACAGCACGCCGCGTGACTTGCATGATCTGGTATCGCAATTCGCGGAGGGCGGTCCCGATGCAACTGAAGGAGTTATTATTTTTTTATTGCAAGAACAGCACGCCGCGTGACTTGCATGATCTGGTATCGCAATTCGCGGAGGGCGGTCCCGATGCAACTGAAGGAGTTATTATTTTTTTATTGCAAGAACAGCACGCCGCGTGACTTGCATGATCTGGTATCGCAATTCGCGGAGGGCGGTCCCGATGCAACTGAAGGAGTTATTATTTTTTTATTGCAAGAACAGCACGCCGCGTGACTTGCATGATCTGGTATCGCAATTCGCGGAGGGCGGTCCCGATGCAACTGAAGGAGTTATTATTTTTTATTGCAAGAACAGCACGCCGCGTGACTTGCATGATCTGGTATCGCAATTCGCGGAGGGCGGTCCCGATGCAACTGAAGGAGTTATTATTTTTTTATTGCAAGAACAGCACGCCGCGTGACTTGCATGATCTGGTATCGCAATTCGCGGAGGGCGGTCCCGATGCAACTGAAGGAGTTATTATTTTTTTATTGCAAGAACAGCACGCCGCGTGACTTGCATGATCTGGTATCGCAATTCGCGGAGGGCGGTCCCGATGCAACTGAAGGAGTTATTATTTTTTTATTGCAAGAACAGCACGCCGCGTGACTTGCATGATCTGGTATCGCAATTCGTGGAGGGCGGTCCCGATGCAACTGAAGGAGGGGAGGGAGCAAGTGAAGTGAGCTTTAATCGCAGAATGCACGGGGTGAAATGCTCATGCCGTTCGCCCGTTACCTGGCACGCCAAGTATTATGAAGTTCAACATGTGGGCTTTGTTTGTGGAGGCACGATGTGGATGACATCACACCACTTGTTTAACGCTCCAGACTGGGGAACATTCACAGTTCTGGCAATTGCCCGGTTGCCAGAACTGTGAAACGTGTTGTACTCTGTTGTTAAATGTGTGTGGATCGCTCTCCACCATTTAACTGGTGCTGCTTGAAGCAGGAAGAAAGTGACACGTTTGTTTCTCGCATGACAACTTTATTTCTTTGGCTGTGTCAGTTGGAGGAGGGTGGTACGACACACATTCGCATTTCACCCACGAGGCGATCTGACCGAAAAAATCAATCCTCAATTGTACTTGAAGTGTTAACGACGGGTAATTTCGCGACTAAACTTATAACAACGTGTGTGTGTGTGTGTGGTGTATGAAGTTTGCAGGCCATACCAATGCTCTTGTGTCGTGTGCATTGCAGACCAGTGCGTGATAGACGGGCGTACGTACAACGTGAACCAGACGTTCCTGAAGAGACACGACGAGGGCCACATGATGAACTGCACCTGCTTGGGACAGGGCCGTGGACGCTGGAAGTGCGATGCGATGGGTGAGTTATTCACATTGTTCAGCAATGTCCTTTGCCATTGTTATCGTCATTATTATCCATTGTCAAGCTTCATCTACTACTACTCTGTCAATCGTCCTCATCAATGCTAAGTTCACACATTTCAAATATAAAATGTCTTAAGCTGTACACCAGGTTCTTGAGGTGACATTTGCCACAGGCTCTCCATTTACCCAATCCGTGATACATGCAGTATAAAGATTTCGTCATATATATATATATATATAAAGCCGAGATATGTGTCTGTGCAAGAAAACTGTTCTGTTAAGTATATAAATCAGAATTGAGGACTCATTTTAAAATGAGAAAATATTATAGTTTGACATTTTTACAATCAAACACGCACTTGCCTCCTGTTTTTAACCCAAATCCAGGAGTGGAGGTTCCATTACGTGGCTGGACAGGCGAGTTAGTCCACACCGCAACCACTGTTGACCTTCAACAACGCGATGGTCATTTTTCATGAGCATTTTGTTTGGGTTAGATCGCGTAATTGTCAACGTATTGTAAACCCACCTTCACACAGCTAATTGGTGGGGGTTGACACGTAAACAATGCCAAATTGTCACGACTTCAGCACACCCACCGGTGTGTTTCAGAGCAAACCCACAACATGTACACTTTGAGTACACAAATTTGAGCGAGGTAGTAACAAATTGGAAGGTTACTAAATTGGCTGTGCCCGTTGGAGGTTGGTTCACTACACATTTACATTCACGCAATCTAAACCAAATGAACTTCATCATGTTTAACATTGGTCGCAAAAGCCGAAAGTGTCTTTTTTTAATTGGTGGTAATATTATTGACCTCTCCAAAGGAATTAAATGCCAAATCGCGGCCCAGCTGGATATTTTGCAGTCGCTTAAAAAAAACATTTGTCGTCCATCCAACTTGCAGGCATTAACTTTGAATGTTTTACTCCGCTTTTGCAAATTATGGCAACTTTGGATCCATTTCAAGTTCACCGAGTCCCAGCAGCTGATGGATACAATGATAAAAAAAAACTCATTCGTTAATAATGCTACCTTAAAAGGAAACGTTTTAAATAGGCTGCATTTCAAACAATGGCCCTTGTTTACAGCACATAGAGGCCTTTTTCTACGGTGACTTTTCGGGCAATGTTATTCACGAATGAGATTAAAAAAAAAGATTTTGTGTTGGTGCACCACTGCCAATGGATTAACATGGCCAAATTATTCGTTTAACACTGATTTGTTAGTCAGGAATAATCTCTGAACGATGTGTGGCTCCACAAATTAGTCTGAGTATATTCTCACAGAGACCTGCTTCGTAGCAGCAAGTTTTATTCTGTGCGATGTACACTTTATGTCATGCACAGTGACACTCGTTGATATTCACCCTGGAGGGACCTTTGGCCGAGTTGATGCCCAGATTAGGATTTAATTTCACAACTTGGCAAGTGTGAGTCGGCAGATCTAGGCACAATGTACCACCCTCTGCTGCCAAATGTATGATTGGGGTAAACAGATTTTAGTTGTTTTTTTGTGTTTGAGTTTTCAGCCAGAGTTCTCTTTTACGCTTTGCAACTGGCATTGAAAGCGTTTATGTATTAGTTCCAGTCCGTTCTTAAAGGGGGCATGATAACTCTTGCAAAAATGATCCAATATAAATTTAAATATATTTTTGTTGCTTTTTAAGGAATTGTCCAACATTAAAACTGGCAAATCAAAGCCCCGTTGTCTAGTCATGAGCTACTTGTCGTTTCCTGTACATATAGCACGAGCACTATCGTTGCCCCTTATTAAATACTTATGAGGACAAAGCATAATCCATGCATATGCATGGTTTTATTCCATATTCAATATATAGTTTGGTTTTCGATGTAAACCCAATTTTTTTTTTATATATATTGTTGTATTTTTATTTGGGCATTTTTGTTTTCAAAAATGTTGCTAATTTAGTACAAACTTACATTTTCAAGAACATTTTGTTGCTAACATTGGCTGCTGTAGGCTGAAAATGAAACGAAGCACCTACAAACCTGAGGTTTATTTTTGTTTGCTAAAATGAAAGCAGATATGGGATCGGTTGTTTATGGTGGCACAGCAAGGTTCCTGTTATTTATGTAACTACTCACACCGGCTCCCAGATATCCTCCACGCAGTTTATCATGAAAATCTCGAGCGATTCTTCTCAACATTTTCAGACGCATTTCCCCAAAACTCAATTTAGATCGTTAAGGCAAATGCTTGGCAAGTAATGACCTTTTATGGACATGCGTTTGCCAAATACTCCACTGGAAATAAAACATTAGACGTGTGCTGTAGATTACGTCCACCCTTTGGCTGCACTGGGGTAGCTTTCACCGCCACTTGTTAGTTACGCCAGAAGATAATTGTTCGCAAATGTGGAGTCTCCGGAGTTTGGCAAGTCCTTTCCTAAAAACAAACAATGAGTGCACGAATAATATAATGAAATAAAACCACTAAAACCCTGTGAACTTTCAAATAAACGCAATTCGATATCGAAATGCTCGATTGAGTATTTTGTTATTAACACGGTTTACTTGAAAAGCCCTTGCACTTGAGATTTTCAAATATATTTTTTTGGTCTTGTTAAACTTCATGAAGGTGTCCTCGTGTCATCGAACTCCAAAAGGCCTGGAGCGTGCTGAATTGTGCGAGTATTCGTCTCTCGTCCATGCGTAGAGTATACACAACATTTGGGCGGAATCGGCAAGCGTCGAGCTTGAGAAAGCACATTGGCTGCGACCGTTACAAAATATATTAAAAAAACCCCAACCATTAGGTGGAATATGCGCAGCCAGTACATATAATGGCAAAAAAGAACTTGTAATTCTTGTCCGGAAAAGTTTGGTATTTTTATGAATTGTTCACGTTGGTATTTATTTACAAAAGTTTGGTAGCAATCATTTTAATGGCCATATAGCTGCAGGGTAGAAACGTTGCCTCTTGTTAAACTGTGGCTTTGCAGAAGTCACAGCGTGGGCTGTTGCTGCTTGGCAGGTAATATTTAATCACCCTGACAACAAGAGTGCTTTGTTTTCTTGACCGGCCTAAGCGTGGACGTAACATTTAGCATTTAGTTTTTGCATTCTAAAGGCATATGCATCTCCAAGATGCGATTGTACAGTAAGTTGGGTATAGAAATGAATGGAATTTTACCAAATGGAGAGAGGGGTTGAGCAGCTTTCAGGAGCTTAAGTACGAGTTGTGAATCTCGCCGAGGCTATTCAGTGACACTGGAACATACTTTTCCGCAAATTAGATCGGATAAATAAAGGCATCAAGATAAATGGGCGAAAGTATAATTCGCCGGCGATAATCCTTACAACAACCACGTTGACGATGAACTCGTGGAACTGATTGAAACTTAGAACCAAGAAGGATGCAAAGTAGGCCTCAACGAGCCATCGGGCCTCTTCTCGATCAAATCATCCACGAATGGCAGCTTGCCATCATTTTTCACTTCCATGGTGAATTTGATGGATGGGTGTATGGAATTGATGTGTTTGAAAAGTTGGTTCAGTGCTGACTAGCCATGTTGCCAGATGACGAAAGTGTCATCTATGTATCTCTTCCACAGGGAAGGACGTTAGGTGGACGTCAGGATGGCATCTGTTTCAAATTTCTCCATGAAAACATTAGCTACCACTGGTTATAAGGGAGAACCCATAGGGGGGGTACCTTTATTTGTTTGTAGAATGTACTATTTCAGATTAAGTAAGTGTTGGTAAGGCAGTGCCTCACCAAAGTTGGTACATCAGGATTTGGTCCCTGTTGGACCAAGTCTTCAATTATTGCTATAGTGTGAGGTACAGGTACCTTGGTGAACAGAGACTACATCGAAGCTGACAAGCAAATCATTTGGAGACAGTGACATGTCCTTCATTAGAGAAACCAAGTGAGCTGAGTTAAGTACTGCTAAGGTGGTCTTGCCCATGAATGGAAGCAGGGTCTCCGGCAGAAATCGGGCCAGTTTGTAGGTAGGTGAGTTGATGTTAGAAACGATAGGATGGAGTGGAGTACCTCCTTTATGGATTTTTGGAAGGTCATAAAATCTGGGTGGTTTAGCAGCCAAAGGTTTCAGAGAGCTGCTTGGTCGGTTCGATAATTAGAGAAGTCGAATTGGTGATGATATTGTTGGTTTTTGTAGCCAGGCGGTTGGTAGGATCTTTGTTGATTTTGGTATAACTTAAGGTCCTGGATTTTGTTGTTGTATGTGGTTTTATCCATGATGACCGTGGCATTGCCCTTGTCGGCTGAAAGGATGACAATGTTATCTCTCTTTTTCAATTGAGCGAGTTCAGAGCGCACGTCCCTGCTGCTGTTACTAATGGGTTACTTCGAGTTTTTGAGAATGGCGGCGATTTCAGATCTTGCCACATCTGCTGGGATGTGACCCAAACCTTTGAGGGCTACGTCAGCCTGGGCAATGATATCATCCACTGGGATGTGTTTGGGGGGTGACTGCAAAGTACAGCCCTTTAACTAGTACCGATTTTAGGCTATCGGAAATTGGACTGTTAATCTGATTGACGACAATCTTGTTAACATCTAACTTTTTAAGGTGTGGATCTGGCTTCTTTTTTTTTGACAGGATGTTGAATTTAGCAATCAAGATAACTTTACATTTGCTTGACATTGTGGCAGCAGAAGAAACAGTCCTGTTATCTACAAGGTCCCAGTCAGATGTGGACATTTTATCAGTTCAGCAGTGCCACTGCTGGATTCCTTTTTCCGTCTGAGGACGACCACTTGTGTTGCGATCGAAACGTGATATATTTTTTCATGTTTTTTTTTTCTACCTACGTGACTTTACCAAAAGAACCGAAGAGTCTAAATTCTCCTGAACAAAAGGAAATAGCTGTTGGAGAAACAAAGCTGGAAAACACAACACAGTGCATTTTTGTATCTGGGCTAAGTATTAAAAGGGGGTGATTAATAATTGGTTTTATTTTACGTTCGATCGTGTAGGTTCACTGTCCAGTTTCTTTCAACAATATAACCCTCCACCACCTGACAGAGCCAATCAAATCGAGTTTCCACGTGCCACTAGAATCAATGTGGTGGAGGGTTATATAAAAATGAAATAACATTGTGCATACACAATGATCTAAACCCCAAAAAACTTAATCAGAATATTGTTTTATCAGCTAAAGCCCACTGAGCTAACAGCTTTTTCAGAAGTGACCTGGCCACAAATGAAAGCTCAACGAAATGGCTTATCGTGTGGAAACTTATAGCAGCCAAATACTCTAAATAATCTATGGTCCTAAATGAGTTTCCACCGGATGCATCTCCACCCACCTTGACAATTGGCGTTCAAACTTTGAAGACTCCGTGAAGATTTTGCTGTACTACAAAAATGTCCGGTGTCTTCATTCGAACGTGGCCAAAGCTGCCTATGCCTCGTCCCCTCCTTCTTGTCTAACGTGATTTGAAATTAACAAAACCACACAGCCATTATGAACGTTTACAAACATTCCCAGTGCCCCACCCATCCTTTCCAGGCAAATGCATTTATAACCTTCCCACGCTACCTCCACCCCCCCCATAGTATTCGCTAAGAGCGTCCCGTCGACCAACAATAGCCTTTTTTTTACCGAACCTGTTGGTGATTTCGCACGGCTGCAAAGTGCTAACATCACGCGGGCAAACTACACGGTCGCCTCGCGTTTTACGCGCGTTTACGTAACACGATTTTGAAATAGGTGGGTTAGATTAACTTACACTTGTTATGTGCGAACTTTTGTTGAAATAACGCACTCCAGCGTATTGGCCTTGGTGTACAGAACACGCTGCGAGCTCATCGTTAGTCGGGCAGCAAAGTTCAGCGGCGATGCTATCTGAGGTGAAGCACAACAACCACAAGCAAGGGCAGAAGCATCAACATCTCCTTTATCGCTCACCATATTGAAGATCTTGTCTGCGTGAACTTTGTGCACATTTGTATACCAATATGTCTGGTAAACGTCCGGCTACATCCAAGGATGCCTCCAAATCCTTCTTTAAATAGGCTGCTACTATCTTTAATACATGTATGGCAGTATTGTAAATATAATATGTACTGTAACCAATAAAATATTTGGTCATAAGAATGAGGTTCGATAGTGTGCTCTCCCTAACCCCAACCTTTCCGTTTATTTGTAAGCGATTTTTGAATTACGTGTCGTTTTGTCAAGAACACCCCTCCCCCCCCCCCCCCCCCCCCCGTAAAACGAGAAGTAGCCAAATTGCTCAATTATTTTGCATCAAAATTACGTGTATAATGTCACTGGGCTGAAGCGATACAACTTCCCACGTAACGTTATTTTACTCCAAAGGTGTGGCGAAGCTATAACAGCACGTGGCGTGGGGGACTCTACACCATTGACCCCCCCCCCCCCCATCACCGTTGACCACACCGTTTCTCAAATCCTGCTTTTGCGGTCGTATTGTTGTGTGTGGTCCACAGACCAGTGCCAGGACACGGACTCGAGGCAGTTCTACCAGATCGGAGAGACGTGGGTGCGGCTTGTGGAGGGCTCGCCGTACATGTGCATCTGCCTCGGCAAAGGCATTGGCGAATGGAGCTGCAATCCTCAGACGAATTTGAACGAAGGTACGAAGGGTTGTGCATTTCAAACGCATTTTTATCCTTGTGTTAAATAACGTTGGATTTATTGTAATAAATATATTCATATTGCCGGGTGGCTCCGTGGCAGAGCTGGCGGCTCGTAATGGGAAGGTCGCAAGTTCCAATCCTCGTTGGGGGATTGACTCTGCCCATAATTCCTCCTGGAAAAGTCAGCCACAGTTGTTGTGTCAAATGGTTAGACACTTCCCCTGCCATATGAATGAGGAATTTCCACCACTGGCTCAGCAGCGGTGAAAACAGACGAGCTCCAGCTGAAAGCTGATGTTGATCAGAGAGTCTCTTGAGTAGTGTGATTAACAATCAATCGCCCAGTGGTTTACTCTCTTCCACTATCTTAACCATCTTGATCATGGGGTGCTGCAGTTTCGAGGAGATGGCATCTCCATCACCTGGTACGCAGGAGGTCGTGGGTTCCATCCCAGATCCTGGGATGCCTGTCGTACATTTGGAGTTCGCGTAATTTCTCTCCCCTCGGTGATTGTCGATTTTTCTGTGGGTTTCTATGGGTTTTCCCTCCACATTTTAGAAACGTGCCTTTAGATTATATGGCTGCTACTATGAATTCCCACGTGATGATATAAGCCACTTCGATGGACTTGCATCATGTGTGGCCAGGTTGCCTCTGATAAGGAGCTAATTGCTGAATGGGCTTCATCTGGTAAATAAGTAAATAAATAAGGAAAACAGTAAATTGGGGTTAAATCAATATTATTTTTCTCCTGTCTGTGAAAGAGGCATTTTGTATATTTAATCTGTAATTTCGTGTTCATGTCACTGTATTAATATTCGCTGGAGCATTGTTCATATTTAATTAATTAATGCCTTTTTGGGTGGTGGGAAATATATTAAAGGCTCAGGAAAATAAACCGACACGAGTTTTCCAGTCGCCCCTAAATTCCACGTAATTTAGGGCCCATTAAACGAACGGCCAGTGGCACATGGCAGTAATCAGCATTCGGTTTTGAGGTATGCTCGTATTAGGCTTAATGTTGCACATGTGGCAGTGGTTTAGTCCTCTTTCTGATAAATGTGTCGTCGGTTACGTTTACCTCTCAAACTGTTATTTCTAGACCGCGTTTAATGCTTTTTGTTTTTGTAAAGGATGGAGAGAAAGGTCCATCGTGTCCTGTGTAGGTACAGTCGACTGGGCACTTTTCTTCAGCTCAATTTGTTGTCCTCTCCCTCCTTCGTAACTAAGTTACAATCGCTGCCGGTGAGAGGACAGCGATGATCGGATGTTCTGGCATGCTCGTGATTTGAACATCTTCGCCGGTTAGAAAAATTTAGGCTGGCCTGCCTATGATCCATCTTGGGTTTAACCAGGCTGGATTGTGTGAGGAGCTCACAAATCCTTAAGATGTGGACAAAGTCCCATCGGTGAGCTCCATCGGGAAGGCAAGGCTGTGTTGGCTGGGTCATGCAGCCCGCATGCCCAGCCACCGCATGCCTCAAACAGCTTTTGTTCAGCCGGCTAGAGGGGGCTAAACAGGCGCAGCACGGGCCAGAGAAGAGATGGAGTGATGTGGTACAGGAGGACGTGGAGCTGAGTGGACTTGCCGATGACTGGTACCAGTAGTGTCAAGATCGGCCTCTGTGGAGGAGGCTCGTGAAGGATGCTGCTGGGCAGTTGGAGGCAGTAGCCCTCCAACAACAACGGAGGGCAGAGGAGAGCGACGCTCACAACAACGAGCGACGCACCGGGTGGCTAAAGCGCAGCAATTTGGCACAGTAGGGGGCACAGTCATCTCAGTCAGTCGACCTGTGGCAACTGGGTCTGCTCCGTGACCTCCTGCCAGCGGGCGTTCGTCACTTCACGTGGCCTCAACGTCCACATAGCCTTGCACAAGCGCCGTGGTGATGTCACTGCCACTTAGTGGTGAATGGCTGTGGTTGCTGTTGTGATTGAGGAGTCTGGTAGCACTATCGTAGTCGTAGTGAGGGCCGGAGACTTTGCGATAACTCTTGGTGGAAGCCTGGAGGATTTATTAAACATTTCTAAATACGGTAGTTTACAACCGTGCTATTATTAAAAGCATGTGTGCAGCTTGACGTGATGAAGCTTTAATGGTGAGGGACCATTCCTACAATGTTGCCAGAGTCGAGTGATATACAACTGTATTCGTGACAGCATTGTGCTGTAATATAAATTCCTTCGTATATACACCGAAGATCCCCCTCATCGCCTCAACAGACTGTTGGGGCAAGTGCTGTCAGAGGGCACCTGAAGGCCAGCATGGCACCACATCCGGCTGCCTTTGTCTCCCTAGTGACGATGTTTACACACTGTACCAGTCGACCTCGGGGCAGCCTAGGACAGGTTCAGATGATCGTCACTGGTGTTGCCCATGAGCGGGAATCGACCTCGGGCCACCGGGTTCATAGCACAGTAGGCTAACCGCTAGAGAGAAAGATCCCCCGTTTAGCCTTGACAAACTGTTGGCACAAGTGTTGTTAGCGAGCACCTCTCTCGCACGCACAGCGGCATACTGTAAATGAGAACCAAAGTATCCACGTGGTCAAGTGAACCACGGGACTCTGTTTCCAACTTCCAAGGCACCCCTGCGCCGGTGGTGAGAACAGCCGCTGTTGACTTTTCGCACAGCGGGGTTCACATTGTCAACACCAGAAACCCGATGGGTCCGAGTCGACCACCAGCCAAGATTTGAGCCTACGAGACCACCTCCTCGTTCAGTCGAGTGGCTCTATCCCCACAGCACCAGATGGCCTGACGACACTTAAGTAGAACATTGTTCATGGCCAATGCTGTTGGTGCCACTGCACCTCGCTATTGCTTCTTTTCCACCACATCCCACAGTTTTCATTTTTATTCATTAGGTATAGCCCTGTGAGCCATGCGGCACTTGATTCGGGTGCAACCGCAACAAACAAAAACATGAACAAAGAACATCTTAAAGTGACGACGCGCAACAGAAACATACAGGAAAAAACAGCAAAGTCTTCCTTCCAGAAAAAACAGTGGGATGCAAGTCAAACAATAACAACCATAAGACAATTTAGATTAAAGTTATCAGGCTAACTCTGTACTTCAACAAACAAACATGGCTAAACCAAACGTTTTCTAAATCACCAAAATAAAGCTATAAAAACAATGTAACAGTGATCATAGGAACTGTGATTCAAATTTAACAAAAAACGATATACATAACATGTACGACAAAACTTTGCAGCCATAGCTGGCAGCATGAGTCACTCCATAACAGCAGGAGTATCAGTAGGAGTATGTATGAATGTTGAACTGTTTGACCATACTTCACTAGGCTGGTCACTGCGGGTTTGTGAAAGGGCAGCCAAGTTTACAGCGCAGTGCGCCAATCACCACTCGTCACTGCTGTTCGTGCGCGTTAATTAGCAAAGTGTGACGAACAGCATTCAACATTCGTATCCATGTATGGTGAACTTCTGTCGCACCGTACGTAGCCAACTGTGATAATCGGAGGTGCGGGGGAAGGTCAACAAACTAAACAAAAAAACAGTTCTAAGGGAATGAGTTTTCAATCTCGATGATTTAAAAGTGCATAGCTCCCAGCGGCTTCCTAATATTGGAAAGAAGAGCGTTCCAGACGGCTGCAGAAGCACGTCTGAAAGCGAAACGCAATGCGGTGACCAATATGGTGACCGTCTTTGCAGTGACAGCCACGGCACAGTCGAGGTTCGACTTTCAAACTCTGCGATTGAGGAGTTTATTCCTCCGATTAGCACGGTTGGCCACGTACGGTGCGAAGGAAGTTCAATGTACACACACAGAATACAGTAAAACCTCGTTATTTCGGTATTTGTTAATTCGCAATTGGGGATAATTCAGCACAGCTGCGCTTTCGGCATATATACGGTATATTACTAATTCGCCATGAGCCGAACTGCCGTACCGAATGGTCCAATTCCAGCATACACATGGAGCGACGCCACGACCAAAACAACGACTCAGTCTGGTGACGGCAAGCGTGGTGAGCGTCAGTGCAGACCCGTCGCTTTGGACTTTACCTTGTTTGTGCACTCTGTGTAAGCCAACCCTCTCATAAATGTCGTCTACACCCACATCAAGGAGTAATAGAAAGGGACTGAAGTATAAATCCCTTAGTCTGCGAGATAAATCTAATGTGTTGGATGTAATTGATGCATGTGTGTCAATGTGTATGGTGTGTGAAGAATTTTGAAAACAAATTTGGAAAAACAATTTTATTGGGGCAGGAGGCATTGTGGAGAGTACCACTGTACAAAATTCGGAATATTGGATAATTGGGCAAGGCCAGAGAGCCCCATGTGTCGAATTAACAATGGTTTACCGTTTCAGTTTAAAATCCTATTAACTTACAAAGTAGTGGATCCTCTTGCCCCAGCCTACATCATTGACCCATATGCCGCCCTCGAGGCCCCTAAGATGTGGAGATGCAGATCTTCTCTGCATTCCCAGGTCGAGGCTTGGGTCTACGGGTGAGCGAGGTTTTGTCCCCGTGTAGCCCCAAGGCTATGGAACGCTCTTCCACGAGATATCGGGGAACTCTCCGAGTCTGTGGACATTTAAATGCGTCTTAAAACCTATTTATATGCTTCCGCTTATTCATCTTTTAGTTCATTTCGTAAATGGATTCTTAGAATGTATTTCGAATATAATTATTTTTATGCTGAGTGCCTGCTGCTGCTGCTATGTCCTGTACAGCACTTTGAGGTCCTTGATGAAAAGCATGAAATAAATGGAATTGGAGTCGAACCCTCCTCTTAACGACGGTAATTGGTTCCATGAAACCGGTCGTGAAGTGATTTGGTCATGGAGTATAGGAAATGTGCTTTAAAGGCTTAATGCGTTCTGATAGCATCGAAAGTTACCCTTTTTTCACCCAAAAAACGTACTTTCTAATATTTAAACAATGGATATTAATGCATTAAAATACTAACACCAGTATAAACACATAACATTAAAAGGAACATGGTTAATCAATGCATTAATTCATTTACTGTACCGACAACAGCCTGTCGTTAAAAGGGGAATGGTCGGTAAGTGAACACATTGGGCTCTGTGGAGGCTCTTCACCGCTACACACTACACTATACACTACACTAGTCTACACTATACACTACACATTGGGCTCTATGGAGGCCCGTCGTTAAGCGATTATTCGTTAACAGGATTGGTCGTTAAGAGGGGTTATACTGAGAATGAAACAATCGTATTCATTTTTTTCAAAATGCAGCAAGTCCAACTGGTACCGTTGCTGATGCTGCAAGCCGTTGGGGGGGGGGGGGGGTTGCCTCGCCTCGCGCTCTTTTGGCACGCGGCTTAGTGGTGGGGCGGCAACTCTTCTGCTGCGCGAGGAGGGGGAGATCTTGCCCCTACATGGCGAAAAATGTCCGAACCGCTTCCCTTGAATTGTGCGAGCGGCTGCAGCCCAGAAGTGGAACGCCATACGATGACTGTGTGGTGTTTTTTTACTTTGAGGTGAACACGCGACGTGAAATGTGCCTCTGGGGGAGCGAGATTTGAACCTTTTCAGATTAAACAAATGAGGCATTAAACGGTACTCATGGGGCTTTAAAATGCATGCCGCTTGCTGCAGAAGTTGAGGCCTGCTTTGGATACCTGTTTGCCAATGTAATGCAAAGGTATTTTGCAAACATACTACGGTGATATTGTTACCATGTAGTAGTGAACGTTGAATATATAAATTAATATTTTATTACGTATTTTTTTAGATGCTCCCTTATACACATCTTGATTTGGTGTAAATATTTAACCACATGAATCCACTGCTGAACAATTGTGGCAGTTATATTCCATACTTTACCGCACTGATCACGACGGGATGATGGAAACGTGAAGTATAGATGTAGGGAGCATACCAGAACAGTACATTGCATTAAAGGGTCGTGCGCACTGCCCACCATGTACCTTTGCAGCCTATAACACTTCTTCTTGTTCCCTTCTACGTGACTTTACCGAAAGAAACAAGAAGATGAATCCCTGCAGTCACGAAAGCTTTAAATCGAAACCTATAACACTTGTTATGCATTGTGGTCATCCATACACGCAATGTCCAGGCTCAAACTTTCAAGATGCTAATGAGGTCCGTTGCATTCAGGGTGATTAAGTCCTGGGCCTGATTTTCCATATTATTAATAAAGCACATTAATATTTATACAATTGTTGTACGCTGCTGGGCATGTCTCAGTTGTGCGGTGGCCACAAAGCGATGCGCCGTGTGGGTTACTACACACACGCACATTCATCTACGTCTGCTCGTTTAGAGATGTGCGGGAAAAAAACGAAATGACAAACGACTCGGGCAGGCGTAGATTGAGGACTGGATTCACTCGCACGAAAGCAGCTGCGGTGTTTAGTAAACGTTTTGTGCAGATGTGGGGAGAGGAGGTCCTGGTCCGAAAGTGTATTTGTCATCAACTGGCACCATCTGTACTAACGTCTCGCTGTTTCGACTGGACCTCTGATGTGATGAGGCGGCCCGCATTGGCCGTAGGTTTTCCAGCCACAACAGGATGTGGCTGAGTGATTCTCGCGTGTGGCACGCTTGCTTTGACAGAGCAGCAGTGCGGTCACGCACCCAGAGGGGCCTGCGCCTCCCCCAGCTGAATATCAGTTTTTGTTTCTACTCTGTATTTGTCCTTAGGGTTGGGCCACTTTGGTAGTTTTCTGCCAACATTTTATTCACGAGCCCTCCACCACCTGACAAGATTGTCAGTCACGTCTACAAATTAATTAATTAATACGTGCCGATGTACTGATCGAGTTATAAACAACGTTCCTCCTCACCGGTGGCGGAAGGCTTTTGAATTTAACATCAACGCCTGTTGGCGTTTTTGTTCCAATCTCTTTGAGCTTCATCAGTTGGCAGTGAGCTCTATTTTGCTGAATTTTGTTTTTTTACGCCTTCCTGGGTAAAGAAAATCCTATTACCTCACTAACACCCAGGACACTGCCACTAACCGTAGATCAGCATGTGATATTATTGTCACCCAAAGTAAAAAAAAATCGGCAACTACAATGTGAAAAGTTTATATAATTGTCTATACATAACTGAAACCTTTTCTGTCTTTTAAGGCTGAAGGAAATAAACCGCGAGGTTCCAAGGCGGAATTTGGCATCCAGAGTCCTATTGTTTGACAGTTTCATAAATAAACAAGACCCATATCAGAATATGACTGCATAATGCTTCCCAGCGTGTGATCGTACACAACTACGCACTTCCGTAGCTTGATATAACTGCATCGAGCAACGGAGTTGTTTGATGGTCCGTACAACTGATGAATTGCCAATCTTTATGTTCATGCAACAACCCGGGGTGCAGTCGAGACCTTGGTGCGTAATGTTTGTATTCCTAGTATTTATAGTACGTTGCATTGTCTGTTTATATTTAAAGTAAATTGCTTTGTGTGTGTGTGTGTGTTTTATATTTATTTTTATAATATGAGTATATTGCTTCGTGCGAGGTTTGTATTAATGCTTTACTTGGTCTGTGTGTATAGTACATTTGCTTTGTCTGTGCGTGTTTGTATTTATTATACGTTTCCTCGTCCGTGTGTTCGTATTCAGAGAGTACGTTGCCCCCCCCCCCCCCCCCCCCCCCTGGTCTGTGTGTTGCGCAGTAAAAACCCCCATCCAAGTTTTCATCTCGGACGCGTCGAACCAGGCCACCAGCTCTCACCCGCGCATCGAGTGGGCCAACACCCAGCTGCCTCACGTCACGGGCTACTTGCTCCGCTGGAGACAGGTACCGCCCCCCCCCCCCAAGCATGAGCCCGGCGGCGTCTAAAACATTTTCACTAGCGGCATTTTCCTTTCGCTCATTAGCGTGCCTTTTGCTAACTATGTTTTAATGATCAGAATCAGAATATTTATTTATACTGGAGGAATCCGATGAGCTAGAAAGCTCTCTTTCACCCATGTTCCAATTGACTGCGAGCGCTTTTGGAATTATTTAGTGTTTGTAAGCAATTGGTGCAATAACAACAACCCAAAGTCTTCCACCCCTAAGAATATTTAACGATGCCAAGCAATTCTTGGTGCTCTTTGCACTCCTATCGTATTTTTTGTATTTGTTGTTGTAACGTTTTGATGCCGTGCCCCTACTGCACATTTGTTAAAAGAGCTTCATAGCTCATCAGATTCCTCCATTATAAATATTATGAATTCACGGTCTTCTCCGAGGCAATAGTTCTCACCTCCTTAGGTCTTGGCACAAACCTACCCCAATAAAAAAACACGTAAATATTGCCCAACCTATTTCCCTGTTTTCTCTTTGAGAAGTTTGTCAATGCAGGTTACCATTGACGCCTCATTGCAAACACTCGGAGTATCTTGAAAATAATTGAAACGCTTGTTTATCCAGTAGAGGCTAAATCATTTTCCCACCATCATTCGCACTCACTTGTGAAGCTATAAATGAAACGGCAGCTGGCATTCTGGGTAATGGCACCTAGCCAGAGCTAATAAAACAGACGGTAAGATTTTGAGTTTTTTGGGGGATGGCCAATCACAGCAAGGTGTCGTAAACACAAAAATATGGTTGGTAACAATTTTGTTATTTTTTTGTTGAGTATAGTGAAGTAAAAGTAATGCAAATGAAATGGGAATTAAATTCGGAAGAGAAGAAAAATCGCCGTAAAATCTGCAGGGCATTAATATCAGAGGCGTATTGCCAACTTTGCCCGCCGGGAGAACATGTGTGCAGTTTGTGCCTCTGCCACCGAAACCTCCTCAAGAATGCGTCGAGCGTGCCGTTGCGAATTCTGAAAGCACGCCCCGTTCTTCGACTTCCCATGTCACATGCTCCTTCAATGACTTCTGTTGGCAGAAAAACAGCCGTCTGTCCTGGCGGGAGGTGTCCGTGCCGGCACGCCTGAACTCGTACACCATCACTGGGCTGAAGCCGGGCCTGACGTACGAGGGGCAGCTCATCACTCTGCTGGTGTCCGGCCTGCGCGAAGTGACGCGCTTCGAGTTCACCACCTCGCTTGTCACGCACCACTGTAAGAGCTGCACGCCTGTTGGTGTGTGTGTGTGTCTGACCTGGCGCAGGTGCCATGGTGAAGTTACTGTCACTTAGTGGTGAATGGCTGGTGTTGTTGTTTTGTCGATGTCTTGAGCTCGGCAACCCGAGTTCGATTCCCGCTCACGGCCAACACAAGTGACGATTATCTGGACCGATCCTGGGCCTCCCCTAGGTCGACTCGGCCACAATTGCGTACCCACTGTGACACAAACGGCATTTTTCGATTAAAACGCCCGCAGTATTTGGGCAGCCTCTGGAATCGAACCGTGAACTACGACAGCAGGTGGCAGACGAGCTAGCACGAGGCCACGGAACCGCCTGATGTGGCTGGTTGTGATTACCGGAGAAATATCGTACGTGGATGGTAAATGTTGTGAGTTTATTCTCCAACACACTGGTGCGCTGAACTAATAACGAATTGCCATGTTTTGTTTACATGAACAACCTTACTAATTGGCTGTGTCCGGGTGACACATTTATGTTTTTGCGACCAACATTCACGACACATTTATACTTACGTGATCTAACCCAAAAACCTTCATTATGGACATTTATATTTATGCAATCTAACTAAAAAAACTCTTATGGATGTTGCAGAAGAGAGAGCACGCTTGGGATATTTGCGTTGTGACGTTCGTAACCTGCAGTATCGATTTAACATGAAAGAACACAGTCGTGAGCAAGATGTCAGCAAACGCTGACTTTACACTCGCTCCACTATCGCTCCCCCCCCCCCCCCCCAGTCACCCGAGGAAACGAGGGTGAGACGCGACAGAGCTCGTTCGTCGGGGGCACCGTGCCGCCCGTGCTCTCGGGCGCCTCCGAGACGATGACCGAGATCACCTCGAGCAGCTTCCTCGTCTCCTGGGTGTCCACCTCGTCGTCGGTGTCCGGCTTCCGCGTGGAGTATGAGCTGAGCGAGGACGGCGCCGTCACGCACCGACTAGGTGAGCCCCTGCGGCCGCCCGTTCCCTTGTTGCCGCCAGGCATACCGTGGGCACGCACGGTGCCACGGCGTTTGTGCGCGTGCCACAGGGGCGGCACGGTGGGTAGTGGGACCTGGGCGAGTGGCGCCAGCAGTTTTGTCAGAAAGTCCACTGCGCCTCGATCTATCCCCCTTGGAAATTGCAGCCCGTTGCAATTTAATTCAAAGTAATCCGAACCTCCGTTGGGAGGTTTTTGAAATATGGATTTGGTGGAGAGTTGTGAAAATATGCTGGGCGGAAAGAAAACAACGCAGATGGAGAGAGGGAGAGAGAGAGGTTCTCGTGTCAGGTGAGAGAAGAACGTGGATTCCTCCGATTAATCGGGGGGAAAGGAAGATGACCTGAATTATTGTGGGAGGTGGTAGTGAGAGGGAATGGCGTTGCTGGAGGAAGTGATTGAGCAAGTCGTAGTGGGATGGAAGAAGCTCATCAAAGGAAGGTTCTTTGGGAAAAGTCCAAATGGAAAGAGAAAGGTTGATCACTCTAGATCAGTGTTTTTCACTCATTTTCAGAGGGGGGCCGCTTTCATCGATAAGACATCAATATGAGGGCCTCCACACATTTGAACATTGGGTTTGACAGCACGGTAATGATGGAGTGTTTTCACATTTATGTTTTGTCGGCGGCCTCACTAAAGGCCACTAGGGGCCACCAGTAGCCCACAGTCCTTGCAATGAAGAACACTGCTCTGGATGTTTAACAAGGAAGGACATGCAAACAGATGAAGAGATCAGTGGAAGATGGAGTGACACTGAGGGGAGAATTGTGCCTCTGACGGTGCACGGAATTAATTAATTAAAGTGTCATATGCAGCCCAATATGAATCAGATTTAAACGTGCAGCCCGACGAGCGGTCAGTGCAAAACCTCCACCACCGTTCCCGGGAAACCTCACGTGAGGTGCAGGCATCACCTAGTGGCAGTGCAATGCCCCTGCCCCTCAATATTTCTCCATCCGCTGGCACCTGAGCGCGCGCACTTTGGCCAACTGTTTTACAGTGTTTATATAAAATCTACAGGCGAAAAAATATGCTAAAGTATATATCTGACAACATTTTAAATCTGAGATTACCCTTCCCTCACTTAAATTCGGTTTAGTCGAAAAGGTGTTTTATTCGGGATTTATTTCATCTGCTTCCCAACCGCTACAAAATTCCTGACTTCGCCTCGATTCCCGCACAATGAAGATCTGATGGATAGGAGGACAGAAAAAAGAGGTGTGGTGTGTGTGCAGAGAGAGACAAAGTCTTGGGTGGGGATGGAGGAGACGCGACGATAGATAACATCGGGCGGGATGAGTGTTGACATGGGTTGTAGGGGCAGTTTGGTCGTGGGGGTTTTTGCCACCAAGCTGGTTAGTGTAGGTTGGTTAAGGGCAGAGTGGGGGTGGGCCCAATCTAGATATGAGTAGCCACTGATGTTAGCCGTGACTGAGAATGAAACTCGGGATTCATACCGCAGTGTGGTAGCCACTGTGCCCGCTGGACTTTACCCTCTTGATACTATGTTGTTAAGAGGAAAAAACTAAAATGAAAAACTTTGAGGAGGGTAAGGTGTTATGCTTCCATATCCATAATTTTTCTTGAATTAATTTGAGCTGGGAACCAACGAGTCATTGTACTTGAAGTTCTTGAACTTAATGACCGACCACAATTATTTGAGGGTTTCATCAACGTCTTAAGAAAAGCGCTTTTTTACATACCGCAATCCTGCTGCTTCGTCCTGAACACGCCGGTGCGCTGCCTTTTCTCATATCGCCGATCAGACCTGCCGAACACGGCCAACTCCGTGTCACTGGAGAACCTGCTCCCCGGGAGGCGCTACCACGTGAAGGTGTACGAGGTGACGGAGGGACAGGACGACTCTCTCATCCTCATCACTACGCAGACCACCGGTAATGCCGCACGGCCCTCCGCACCGTCAATGCTCACTGAGTGTTACCTGAAGGCGATTGCCGGCCATTGAACGATTCGTCGTTAAAAATCTGTTTTGGCAGCAAGAAGCAGTGGGGGCGGGGGGGGGGGGGGTGGGGATGGTTTGATTTCTGGCTCGGGCATCTGTGTGTTCTTCTTCCCCTGTTGGTTTTGCCACGGGTTTTCTCCTGGTTCTCTGGTGTCCTCTCGTAGCTGGTATTGGTCAAACTTCCCGGTGCTGAAAAATTGCCTTGCAAACAATTGGGATTACACGCAGCAGCAGCAGCAGCAGCACCCCCTACTGCGAACACTTGGTGGGTGTCCTCCTGAAAAAATCTTGAGACAAAGTGAGGCTATCTTGCGTAGACAAGCTAAATAATAATTAAAAATTAGCATTCTCAGGGTGCGTGCATCGAATTGTCCGTCCAAGAATAATTTACTGTGTATGCATTCTTTGGGTCTTTTGGTAAAGCCACGTAAATAGAAAAAATATGTGGCTTACAGAAAGACTCAAAGAATATGAATTCCTGCAGTCAGGAAAGCTTTAAGTCAAGATGTATGTATGTATGTTGAACTTCTTTCACACTGTATGAAGCCAACCGTGCTAATAGGATTTATGCCGGTTATTTGCTGAAATACTGTTTGGCCAAAGGTGCTCGCTTAACAGCACTTGCTCCAACAGTCCATTAATGCTACACGAGGGATCTTTGTATTGGATATTGAGTATCGTAATAAACACAAGTAGCATATTAGTTTCTGGTGTCTTTTATTTGTAGGGATTAACAGGCATCTACATATCTCGATATAGTGGTGGTTTAAAATTATCTTTCAACTCATAAACATTTTGAGCAGCCATTTCAATGTGCTTGTGTTTTGTATGCAGCTCCGGATGCCCCTCAACAATATGAAGTGACAGAGGCTACGGACACATCCCTTGTAATCCGCTGGATCGCCCCAAAGGCTCCCATAAGAGGTAAGGTTGTACTGCATCATCGCTTGATATAATTGGAGTTGTAAAAAAGTCACGTGATTTCCTGCTCAAATGAGCATTGAGGTAGAAATTCCACATTTCTATGACGGGGGTGAGTTGTCCATTCATACGGCAACCACCGGTGACTTGCCCGCAAAGTTGTTCTCACTTTATCGTCTCCGAATGATTGGCAGTTAACTTCCCACCCGACAACCAGGATTTGAATTCACAATCTCAGAATCGGAATATTTATTTACACTTTGAGGAATCCAATGAGCTATAAAGCTCTTTTTCACAGATGTCCAGTAGGGAGCAGGTCAGAACGTTACAAACAACAAACAATACAAAATTACGATAGTATCGCAAAGTATAGGAAAGGTAAACAAATGACTGGGAAAAAATTTTATACAAATAAAACTCAACTATTTTTTATCTTACCAAGTTAACCTTCCCATTGTGTACCGCTCCCTCTACCGCTGAGCCTCCTGCCTTTATAAACAGGCTGCCGCAGCAGATTTCTCCCTCTTTTTAAATCCTTTATATTAAGTTCGCTTGCTTGCCTGCGCACTTACGACTGTGCAAATTTTTCGGTCGTTTTTTAACCCACCTCCCGTGATCCAATCGAGCTGACATTTTGCACACAGACTCGTGCATGACAATTTATTTTCGTGAAAATTTTTTTCCAAAATTTTCCACATTTTAGGGAAAAAAATGTTCATATTTAATTTTAAATACCAATGTGATAAAAATGAAACTCTTACTCAAGAAAAACAGAAATGAATAATAAAATAAAACCGATGCCACGCATATAAAGGATTTATAGTGAAAAACTTTGTTTTTACGGGTAAATTTTTTCACCTGAGGATGATTGCTTGTTGCGATCGAATCGTCGTGATATTGTTATTTTAAAAATTATGCATGTTATATTTGTTATTGTACATAGCAAGGCTAAGTTTTGTTTAACATGTAGGCTTTCGCGACCAATATTGTCCAAACAGGAAGACTTCTTCACATTCTGGCTGATTGCCTGATGAAGCTGGCTGTAATCACCAGCGAAACGTCATACTCGAATTTTAAATATGGGTTTCGTTCACTCTCCAACACACTGTGCTGAAATAGTAACTAATTAGCACGTTTTATTAATGTGACAACCTTACTGATCGGGTGGTGGCAGGTTTAACAACAGATTTATATTTTCAGGATCTAAACCAAAACAACAATTGTGGAACGCTAAGTATTATTGAATGAAAACTTAAACTAAAAAATATTATATTAAAACTATATATTCAAGTAAACTAAACTGCTTTTAAGCTAAAAGTAACTAAACATTGTGATAGAAATTTTGTTCAAATGAACCATTCATTTAAACGTGTCACTTTTTACAGCTTAAAATGTCACATTTAAACGTGTGTATTCCCCTCTTCATATGCACTTGATTATAGTTTTTACGCAACGAGTCCTGGAATATTTAACGATGATTTTATGATTCGTAGTTTTCACTCGCTCTCAGAGTGATTTAGATTCAACATGTGTGTGTAGGGAGGGAGGTGCAGTGGTTTGCGCGCTGCTTGACAAACGAGACAACCCGAGTTGGATTCGTGCTCATGACCAACACCAGTAACGATTTTCTGAACTGGTCCTGGGCTTCCTCTAGGTTGACTCTGCCTCAAATGAGTACCTGGTGTGGTATGTAAACATTGCCACTGGGGAGACAAAGGCGGTCGGGCATGGTGCTGGCCACTCACTCCCTTGTGTACCATTCTGGCCTTCATAGGTGCTTGGTAAAGCACTTGCCCTCAGTCTGTTAAGGGCTACATCGGGGATCGTTGTGATCCACGAACCCTTGTTGGCTTCCATAGTACTGCCTTACAGGCAGAGGTTGCAATCGGGTACCCGATACCCGTACTATTCCCAATACCCGGCCGGGTACGGGTAGCCGTTTGCGACCCTGGTGCGGACGGGTACGGGTAGGCTGTGAGTCACTGGTGAGTAACCGTTTGTCACTCATTTCCCAACATCTTGTCTCTTCTCACAATTCAAGTTCCTTGAATCAACCCACCCGCGCCTGCAACATGGCTTCATCCCAGAGGTCGCAATCGGGTACCCGATACCCGTACCCTACCCGATACCCGGCCGGGTACGGGTACCCGTTTGCGACCCTGGTGAGGCCGGGTACGGGTAAGGAATCAAAACCCGTTTGCGACCTCTGCTTACAGGCCATCTAATTGAAAACTAATTTCTTTAGAACTGCTTTTTGTCTTTAGTTTGTCCTTCCCCCGTGCCTCCCTCCGATTAGCACGGTGTTCTATGTACGGTGGTGCGTTGACAAGTTCAACATACACACACGCACGTACACGTGCCCCCCCATCCCTCCCACTACTGGTGGTTAGGCTACCCTGGCCCGTAGTGACAAGTGTGTGCTCGCGCGCTGCTTTCTGCACAGGCTACCGCATCGTGTTCACGCCCGTGGAGGAGGGCTCCCGGCCGGAGCTCGCCAGCACGGAGCTCACGCTGCCCAGCGAGTCCACCTCGGTGACACTCAGCGGCCTCGCCCCGGGAATCACGTACAACATCACGCTGACGGCCGTGGGGGAGACGCAGGACAGTGAACCCATTTTCATCCAGCAGTCCACGCTGCCTGGCACGGGCCAACACCGAGGTATAATGACATTTGCGGCCCCGCTTGCATTATCCGCCCAGTAAATACGTCTGTTTTTTTATTAATTCTTAGTTTTAGTATGCACTTTTGTATGTTTTGTTTGCATTTGATGTCCAAAATTCCTGCTTGGCATCATTCTTTTTATTTGCCCCCTTTTATTCACCTGGGAATGGTGATTACATAAACTTAGAAAGTTGTTTTTTGCTGTAAATAATATGATTCGGAATTAATCTTTGTGTTTGGCCACATAATGATCTGGCCAAGTTTCTTCAACTCACCGGTAAGTTCAAACAACAATAATAATGGGTTTGTTAAAAGCTTGTACACCACGTGACAATTGCATTTCAATGGCGATATCTGGTGGTGGCAAGTGTCACGACACACATTTGGCCAGATAACTACGAGGCAAAACCCAAGCGTATCAATTCTGAATCATGATTGTATAATTTAACCCTCAATTGGGATTTGAACTCGACCTGAACTCGACCTTCCAAATGACGGGCACTTTGCCACCATAGCACTACCCAAGGGAGAGTGCAGATGATCTGTGTAATGAATGGTTGGGGAGATGATGGTGCACTAATGTGGTAAAGGAATGCCCACCACTGGGGTAGAATTGTCTGGCGTCATGTGACGAAGGCATGTAATTCGGTGTAGTCGATGCTATTCAGTGATGGATATCATCGATTGCCAGGTGGCAAGGACTTCAAACCTCTAAATCTGCCAGTTCTATCCCGTCACCTCGTCGCAATATACCTTCTGCCATATCGCACATCCTTGTGTGTGCTACGTAGCCATGGAGTCTGATCATTTATTATCAACCTGTGTGATATGAATGAATTATCAGCAGATTATTATTTTTCAGGACAAATATCTAAGTGATGAACATTCATACTACTTTGTTTTTATCATTGGGTTACATTTAAAGCAAATAAACTGTTATCGGTGCTTTCGAAATCCTGCTGATTTATATTTGTGTGAGTGGGTAGTGTCCGTCTTGCGTCTGAAGCTCACGGTTTTGTTTTTTGTTCTTCGCAGAATTGATCCTGGCATCTCCGACGGACCTCCAGTTCGTCGCCGTGACCGAGACGAAGATCGTCCTCATGTGGAACCGGCCCGTTGCCCCCGACGATGCCGTGATGGGCTTCCGCATCGTCGTCACGCCGCTGGGGCGGGCGCAGGAGCCGTTCCGCGTGCCGTTCACGGAGCACACCTTCGCCGACATGGATGGCCTGCAGCCAGGCGTCACGTACCGCTTCGAGGTCTTCGCCGTGTACCACCAGGACGGCCAGGAGAGCCAGCCGCTCGTCGGCGAGCAAACAACACGTGCGTCCGCCCCCCTATCGCCCCCCCCCCCCTTCACTGCCCTGTGTGCGCTATACCCGCTCGGCGGAATTGGGTCCGCACGGAACCCAGGAAACAAATTTTCTCGTTTCGGTCCCTTTTTGACTGGCAAAGCCACAAATGCCACGTGGTAACGTCGTCACGCGTGGTGGTTTTTTTGTTACGCCATTTAAGGGTTAGTTGTATTTGTTGTTGTCTATTGTGTTTTTTTCCCCCCTTTCCTTCGGCAGCTCCCTAATCGAGAAGTTTAAAGGGATTGCGCTCAGGATGGTCTTGTAATGATAAAATAAATAACCATTTATAGCCTTTATTAAACAATGTAAGTCTTTAAATCTTGACTGAAAGCTTTCTTGACTGCAGGAATTAATATTCTTGGGTCTTTTGGTAAAGTCACGTAGATAGGTTCAAAGAAAATAATAAAAAATAACAAGCTAAACCACCCTTTTCCTGAAGACGACCACTTGCATTACGATCGAAACGTCATAGTTTTCTGTTATTTTTTATTATTTTCTTTGAACCTATCTACGCGACTTTACCGTAAGACCCAAGAATATGAAAAAGTCTTTGTTTACTACTTAGTGAGTAACAACAAGCACTACCTTTCAGTAACCATAACCATCTCTCTCTGTACCGTATCTCAACTGTCTAACTACCATGTGGTGGTTAAGCGCCACCCCCTGTTGACGTCACGCACAAGGTCATGTTTTCTACACTTGTAACACATTGTAGGCAATTTAGCATCTGAATTATTCTGAGGCAGATCATCGTGTGTAAGTTTATCTCTGCATGTAACTCGCCCCAATCTGACCAACTTATAGAGTGTAGTTTCTACTGTGCACAGTAAAATCTGTGCCTAGGCCATTGCCGTGCAGTTTATCCATGTGGCTGCCGACCCAAATCAAAATCTCATGTTATCCACGGGGCGACGTTGAATCCTCCTCCTTTCTGCCGGGCCGTAGTGGTCGACGCTCCGTCGGACATGCGCTTCGTGGAGATCACCGAGATGAGCGTCACCATCAACTGGACGGCACCACAGGCCGCACTCGACAGCTACCACCTGAGCTACGGCCCCACGCGCGCCGGCGCCGGGCGGCCAAAGTCGCTGGCCTTGTCGCCCGAGGCGCGGCACCACACGGAGCGCGGCCTGCGGCCCGCCACCGAGTACACCATCACGCTGCGCTCCGTCAAGAACGGGCAGCGCAGCGTGCCGCTCAGCGCCATTTTCACGACACGTACGTCTCCCTCCCTCCCCCCTGCCCCATGGCTCGCGTTTCCGTCGGGCGCAGGAGCATCATCATCGTTGCCGCTTTATCTTGTCTTAGCATAGTGTTTTTGCCTGTGTGTGTGGAACAAAAATCTTTGAAGAGCCACTTTTCTTTCTTCCAGTGGGGCTACATTTACATTGTCAAACATTTGAGCTTTGAGTACAGTGGTACCTCGGTATACGTCGTTAAATCGTTCTAGAAGGTAGGACTTATACCGAAAATAATGTATACCAAACTAATTTTTCCCATAAGAAATAAATGGAAAGGAAATGATCCGTTCCAGAGTATAAGAAATTATATTTTATATGGCATATTATGCATTACTAAAATGCATACATAAATTAAAATAAATGCATAAATAAATTAAGGGTTGTGCACGGGTTGTGCACTGAACGAGATCAACAGGCAGATTGAGGAGCGGTGCTTTGTTTTAGTCGTGAACGGGGTCTACATGGGTACGCGGCGACTCATCCCGACCCATACAAGTTCTAGCAAGCGCGTCGTATCCCAAGCAAGACGTCGTATCCCAAGACATTTTTTTCTCGTCAAAACACGACGTATACCAAATTCTACGTATTCCAAAGCGGTCGTATACCGAGGTACCACTGTATTTTGGTTTGTTGAATGTTTTACCTTGCTGCTGTTATGGCCTTTCTAGACTGATTGCAACGTCCCTTTTTTGCAGTGAAAGGAGGGACACTTAGATGCAGTGTGCACTGTTGAGCTGCTTGCGTACTCGTGACGGGCGTGTCTGTGTGTGTGTCTGTGTTGGTGTGTGTGCGCGTTCTCTTTGTTGCCTTTCCCAGTGGAAGCGGGCTCCCAAGTGGGCGTTCAGGCTTATCCTCATCCAGATACCCAGCCTGGCACTCCTTCTGACTTGCACCCACATCGGCAGCCAGGCGCTCATCCGCGTCAGGCCAGATACCCATCCACGTCAGCCAGATACCCATCCACGTCAGCCAGATACCCATCCACGTCAGCCAGATACCCATCCGCGCCAGCCAGACAGCCGTCCGCACCAGCCAGATACCCATCCGCGCCAGCCAGTTGTCGGCCCTTTTGACACGTCAGAACGGACAGGGCCTTTGCCCGGATCTCTGCCCGAGATCATCACGGAAATCACGGAAACGTCGCTGACTTTCAGGTGGAAACCCACGGCCAGCGTCTCGGTCCTGGTGAGTAAAAATTCCCTTTCCCGTGTTTTTTTAAAGTAAAAGTTGTGGTAGTAGTGACATTAGGAAAGGTATTTGGAGATCTATAGCCGCTGGACACTTCATGTGCCAGTGTGTGGGGTGATACTCAATTATATTGGTGGCCCTGAGCCAGCCTTGGAAAGTCCACATTCCTATGGCAGGGAGAAAATATCAATTTATTAAAGACAGTCACTGCATTGTGCGCTTTCGGATGTGCTTCTGCGGCCGTCTGGAATGCTCTTCCTTCCGATATTCGGAAGCCACTGCAGCTCTGCACTTTAAAATCATCTAGAGTCACAAACTAATTTCTTTAAAACTGCTTTTTGTATTTAGTTTGTTGTCCTTCCCCCCCCCCCCCCCCGCATATCCGATTAGCGCGGTTGGCTAAGTATGGTGCGAAAGAAGTTCAACATACATACAAACTAATTCATGTACCTTAACCCATTGATATCTCGTATTCATTTGACATGATGTATATATCCTGTTATGGTTTGCGAAGCTCTTGACATATGTACATTTACAAGTTTAAACTTTTTCTCCCATCTTTGTCAAGCATGGTCCCAAGGGAAGTGAAAAGGATTCATATTTACGCTTAAAGTATATAAATAACACATGTATTTAGGTGGGGCTCTTATGAGAAATTAATCGTGCCAAACTGGCAGTAGTGTTTTTAGTATACTCCAGGAGTGCAAAAAACGAATAATGTGTGGCGCACATGGTTGTGTGTTTTAGTAAACGTTAACTCTTAATTATGACTTGCGCTGTAGTTACCAGTTGTCAGTGTTAGTTCCTATCAAAAAAATAAAAGGGAAGTGTTCAAGCTGTCTCGGTTTACCGTCTGCCCAGCGGTGTTGGAGTGGGGCGGCTCGCACCGCGGAAGGTTGCGAGTCCCAATCCTGATTGGGGGTTTACGCAACCCATCGGCCCTCTGGAGTTGATACAATAACTACCACTTTGTGGCGGAAGTCGAGTGCTTGTCCTATGGATAGACTCACCCCATCATAGGAATGGGGAATTTCCATCACTGGCTCAAGGCTATAAACAGGCGATGAGCATGAATGCTTCTTCAATGCTCAATTGAGGAAGAATTCGCTTTGACTTCAAATAATGTCTTTTTTGTAAGGAAATTGAAAAGCAACTGATGAAACGTAATAACTTTGTCTCGTCTGGTATCAGGAGTTGCTTGATGTTAAGTGTTCATTTACCTCGCGCGTAAGAATATATAACAGGCAGCGGTGGGTTCTGCGTGCAACAGATTGCGCTTCACATTCTAAACTAAAACTCAACAATTTTTATTTTACCAGGAAAAGACCGACTGAACTATATATATTTTCTGAAGCCACCTGGCCACAAATAATAGCTCAACGAAGTAGCTTATCATGTGGAACTTTATATCAGGAAAATACTCTAAATGCACGTTAATTCTAAATGTGGAGGGAAAAACCAGAGGAAGCTGGAAAAAATCCACGTGACCACGGGGAGAGAGACATGCAAACTCCAAATATATAACTGGCGTCAGGGTCAGGAACCTCTGACCTCCTGTATACCAGGGGAGGGAGTTCCCATCACGCCACAATAGGGGAGTGACTCCGTCATTCTCCTTTGTGGAGGAGGTTGCCGCTCCCCCCCCCCAACCCCCCCACGCCCCCAGCCGTGTGCGTCGTTCCTAAACGCTATTTACGCGCAGCGCATTGCCCTCCTATGCGTAGCAAAAAGCAAGCCCCCACCACACCCCCCGTTGCCCGGGGCTGTCTCTTTATTAGCTTTTTTGTTGTTGTAACCGATTGAACAGCTGTAACGAGTAGAGCGCGCGTGTTACCGATTGAACGGCTGTAACGAGTAGAGCGCGCGTGTAACCGATTGAACGGCTGTAACGAGTAGAGCGCGCGTGTAACCGATTGAACGGCTGTAACGAGTAGAGCGCGCGTGTCCGCGCGTTACCACCCACAGGCATCGGTGCAGCTCCCCGAGCACGAGGCTCCCTTCAGGACGGAGACGTCGGAGTCGGGCAGCATCCTGATCGACGGCTTGACCCCCGGAGAGCAGTACATCGTGACCGTCTCCATCCTGTGGGATGGGCGGCAGATTGCTCGGCCCGCCACGAAAACCATCACCACACGTGCGCCACCGTTTCTCACCCCGTTGGTTTTTTGGGAATTTTTTAAATAATTGTTGTTGTCGTTATCGCCAACGGTGTAATTACTAGCTTAAGTTTAAGCCATTACCTCAATAGAATGTTACGTGGAACATAATATGCAGACTCTGGGCCAACTCGTCTGCTGCATGCGAGTCCATTTTCTGCCAACTATGTGACTGTGAGACACGTCGGCGTAACGTGCGAGGTCTCCTTTCTTTGTAAGTTTTAATAAGCATATTTATAGCAGCGTCATTATTGCAAACTGCATCTCACTCGCAAGGCTGCAAAATCCACAAACATGGGAGGCCCGTATATATTCTAAGATGTTTTCGGCCAATTCACGAGTGGTTATACATGTTGGAGGAAACTGGAGCACTCGGAGAAGACCCATTTCGTGCGATGGGGAAACGCAGCTCTCTAACGTTGGAGTATAATTTTAATTGCATAAATGCGTGTCAATTTTTTTACACTTTTCTGTGCATTTGCAGCCGTCGCTCAAATCCGGAACGTCAAGGTGGATGTGAACCCCATCACAAAGAAACTGACGCTGTCGTGGGAGAGATCCAGCATCCCGGGTATGGCCTCTTTACTACCTCGGTGTTGTTGTTCATCGTGACGATCGTTCACCCAGAAAAAGCCTCACGGAGTCACAAGTCTTTTTTTTTCAGGAGGGTCCTTCCAGATTTTCGCAGGAGGGGGGTGTCATCTTTAAAATGTATAATCAAAATCGAGTAACTTTCTGGTAACTTTTCAGCGCTGAGATGTTTGGTCAATACCTGTTACATTATTTTTGTATTTGTAGGTTTTTTTTTGCGCTCTTTTGTGTTTGTTTGTAAATTTCTTGAGGCTTTTTTTGCAGGGGATGCACGAATATATTTTCTGTAGTTATTTGTGTGATTCCTGTATAATTTAAATGTTATGTGTCCGGTGTGTTACATGTATCGTATCCAACCCCTTAATGATACACTCATTGATCATAGAAACCATAAAAAATATATATTATCTGATATTGTACATTAGCCCGAGCAGCAATTTTTGGCAAACCTTTCAAATCTTCTTCTCCGAGTGTTATAGCAAGTATGTGTAACTTGTACGTCCAGGCTTAAGTTTGTGGGCCTCGTGATAGTTTCGAAGAATAATGCAACCAACACTGTCCAGTTCGCCAGAAAGCGAGCATAATAGAATGCTTTTGTTTGCAATAAGGCCCAATGTTTATTAGATTTCATGTATGTGTAAACCCACCCAAACGATGAAACCTGACAATTTGTTGGTGTTACCTTTAAAGTGCCCCAGAGTCAGAGCTTACCATATTTCTCCTTGTGGTAGTTTTTTTTCCGGTTCCGTTCCGACGATGACATGCGTGTACGTTTACATAATCGGAATGGGAAAGGGTTAGTGGTGTGCATTGTAATAAAATGTATAAAATAACACGGTTATGTTAGATGATGATAATTTGTGTTCGATTTATGTCTTGTTGATAAGAAGGGGCTTTTCCTGGTGGAGCCTGAAGTATTTATATAGAAGGGAAACGTATTTAAACGAGTATTATAACCAGAATATGCTGTTTTCATAGTTGCTGAATTGAAAAAAAATAGTTTTTGGTTGCTTGGTAGAAATTGAAAATGTATTAAACATTCAATGTCAGTGGGAAACTTAAGAACATCTGTCTCTGTTAAGAGTTAAGAGAACATCAATTGCAAAGTGGCAATGATGGTCAATTTGTATTATTTAGCAGTGAAACTTATTATTTTGAGGCACGCGTATGCGTGTGTAAATAAGTTGGTTGTCAGCAGTTCAGTAGACTGTGTCATGTTCCCGTATAAAACGCGAACTCCAGTCATCCTCTCAACGGCTTTTGACAAGTCATCGAACAAAGATGGTCACTGCATTGCATGCTTTCAGGGTGCGCTTCTGCGGCCGTCTGGAACGTTCTTCTGATATTAGCAAGCCACTGGAGCTATGCACTTTTAAATCTAGATTTTAAACGAGTTTTTTAGGAACTGCTTTTTGTGTTTAGTTTGTTCCTACCCCCCGCACCTCCAATTAGCACGGTTGCCTACATACGGTGCCAAAGAAGTTCAACATACTTGCATACAAATCCTCATTGAACAACCTTTCACTGTCCATTTTCTAATGCCCACCCCCTCCAGGCCTGACCGGGTACCGCGTGCGTGGGGTGCCCCTCCACGGGCAGCGAGGCCACCTCCTGGATCAGCTGGTGAGACCCGAGGAGACGTCGCTGACTCTGGAGAGCCTCACTCCCGGAGTGAGGTACAACATCACCATCACGGCTCTCAAGGATGGCGTGGAGAGTGCCCCATTCTCCTCCAGTGCAACCGGTGGTAAGTGCCCGATGTTGTCGTGGTTCCTCACTTGTGTAGGTACATTCTACAGCAATGCCTCCATATACCAAGTCGGTACGTTCCTGGAGCTTTATTCGTATTTTGAAACTTCTTATGCTGAATAACTTATAACACGAGTTCTATGATGATGCATTTCCAGCCTTTGGAGCTTACCATGTCATACTATCAACAATACATAACTTAGTTCATATTGTAAGCAAAGACCATTTACATTGAAAATAATATATTTTATACTGTACAGTATTAAAAACTGATATAACTCAAGGAACATAGTGAAGAAACATTTGTTTGTATTTATAAAAAAACAGATCGATAAATATAGTATTTATTTAGTGATTTAAAGGTGTATGTTACTTTATTTTCACTGTAAAATAATGGTAATAAATCCAAAGTTTTTTTCTACCGAAATGTCATATTTCGAATATTCGCATGTCGTCATTTAACCGTACATAAATGGTACAGGTCTTATCCGAGCGGCAGTTGAAGGTCGGGCTGTGGCCTACCCTGCCGTCTATCGGTGCTTAATAAGAATCCTATTGTTGCAAGAAATAAGCAGCAACGTTGATAAAGAGTGTAATAGTTGGGCATTGAAACGTGTACTCTTGTTGAGACTGCAACCATACTGCATGTGGCACATTTGTGTTAATTACCCCTTGTTGTTCACTGCTCTGGCCTTTCACAAGATAAGCCACCAGTTAGAAATAGGATGTCTGCGACATGGCGTTTTACGTTTGCCGTGTAATCGCCGCGGTTCTCCTCGATGCCCCTCACTCTGTGCTTCCCCCTCCTCCTGGGTTCGCCACAGAAATCCCCCGACCCACGAACCTGGCGTTCACCAACGTGAGCGACACGTCGCTGGTGCTGCGCTGGACGCCTCTGCCTTTGCCCGGCGTGACGGGCTACCGCGTGACCGTGTCCTTGCCCGGAGATGCCTCGCTGCTCCTGGACGACACTGTAGGGCCCAGCATTGGGGCGTTCTCCATCGACGGGCTGGAGCCCGGCATCCTGTACGATTTCAGCGTGTCCACGCTCGTGGAGAATGGGGAGTCTGAAGCCGTACGTGGGACGCACAGCACTGGTGAGTGCAGATCTGTTGTTTTATAAGTTCAGAAAATGCGTACACGGTTTTTCTTGGGAAGCGTTGTCGATGTTGGCTAGGTTACGGTGCGAAAGAAGAAGTTCAACACGCTTGTCTTCAGCCATCCTCGATCCGAGGATTGGCCGCACTTTGGGCAATCCTTCGCCACAGACTTCTGTCTTATGCTATCCTCTGTCAAAAAAAAAGAGATTGTCCTTTTTAAAGTGAGACTTTTGCTGGAGCTAATATTTAAATGTAGAAAAATTGTCTTTGAAATATTTTATTCTGGCATAGGTACAACCTAATGGGTAGTAAATGTTTCTTTTTTATGGGGATCTGGTTACAGAAACCCAGTTTCAACAACAACAAAAATGGGTCTAAAACAACCCAACATAACTGTACACAGTCAAGTTTTGAATGTCAAGGCCATCATGCATCAACGTCGTGGTAGAATCGCCGCAAAGAATACAACAGGGCTGGGAGAACACATCGCATTAAATAAAAATTATATTCTTACTTTAGTCTGCAAAGCTTGCGCGATCAATCACACGTACATGTGATAGGAAATCTGAGGTCTAAAAGTGATTTTAAAGTGGGGGACAAGGATGGTGAGGTTTTTATCCCAAACATTTTTGCTCTGTTCCAGACATCAGGGGGCTGCCACATGCATGCAGTTTAAACCGTGTTTGGTTCTCCCATAGTGGGAGTGGTGTGGGAATTAGCAGGGAATTGTCTCTGTAAACTCGTGTTATATCTTACCTCCGATTTAGCAGGGTTGGCTATGTACTGTGCGAAAGAAGTTCAACATACATGCTATATAGACCCTAATTGCATTATAACTGTCACATGCTAGATTTGAAGCTTTCGTGACTGCAAGGATTCATACTCTTTGGTTTTTTCGGTAACGTCACCTAGGTAAAAAAAAAATGAAAACAACTAAATTAAATCACAACGTTTCGGGCGCAAAACAATCCATAATGCCCACTATGAAGAAGGACGCTTGTGTTGCGCCCGAAACGTCGTGATTTAATTTAGTTTTCATTTATTTTATTTTACCTACGTGACTTTACCGAAAAAAAACAAAGTCCCACATGCTTTCGTGACTGCAGGGATTCATCTTCTCGGTTTTTTCGCAGCCGAAACGTCGTGAGAATTATTTTATTATGTTTTATTTTTATTATTTTATTACTTCCCTTCTACGTGACTTTACCGAAAAAACCAAGAAGATGCCACATGCTGTTAACATTTGCATGTGGAATGCCTTTCACGGGCGTTTTGTGCAGCGCCTGGTTTTCCCACTTTGAAAAGGATTCCAATAGATGCTAATGCATGGCTCTTGAGCTGCAAGTGGCTTTTTAAGGACGCATTCGTGACGTTATTTATTTAGGACACATTCTCATATTCTCACATGCATTGCGGCTCTTCAATTATTGAGTTTTTTAGCACATTCGAAAAAAAATTGCTCTTTTGTTTTATGGTTGCCGACTCCTGCGCTAGAGATTCGGTCACAAGCGTGGTTTTTCACGGCTCCGTGGTGAGAGCTGTGCGCATTACAAATCACGTTGTGAGATGCATTTTGCAAAACCGACGCAAAATAGAAGAAAACATAATTTAAAGCTGAGAAAATTGCTGAGCATTGCATCATGGCACTGTTCGTGTTTTTATGAGTTCTAATAGATGTGTTGCATTTATCAATTTGGCTATGCTTTCGTGTGTCATTGTGTCATGGTGGATGAATATTAGAAAGAAATAGAAGCTTAATTATTACGCTTTAACCGCTTTCGTATCTCTTAACAGAAGTGGGACCGCCCAGGAACGTGCAGGTAGACGTCAACCCCGACAACGGAGAGCTGACCATCACCTGGCAGAGAATGACGGTTCCAGGTGTGTGTTGGAGATATGCACCGCTTGCCACAAATGAACCACAATACCGTGCTGATCTCGTCAAGGAGCATAAACCAGGATGCGAACTCCGATCGTTCTCGCAGCGGCTTTTGGCTGGCCATTGAACAAAGAAAGTTACCGCATCGCACGCTTTCAGATGCGCTTCTGCGGCCGTTTGAAATGATCTTCCGTTATTAGGAAGCCACTGGAGCTATGCACTTTTTAAATCAAATTTATGAACACTAATTACTTTAGAACTGCTTTTTGTATTTAGTTTGTCCTTCCCCCCCCCCCCCCCCCAACTCTGATTAGCACGGTTAGCTACATACGGTGCGAAATAAGTTTTACATACATACCACACAATGGCCCCATGTTTTTTGATTGGCATCACACGATCCATAATGCCCACTATGAAGCAGACGGCGCGTAGTATTTCACGGCGAACACAGGCGCGGTATTAGCCAGGGGCACACCCTCCCGGGTGCAAATCTCGAACCTCTGCAATGAGCGGCGCACGCGCTACCGCCGAGCCACGCGTCACCACACCAGAAAACACCGTGACCGCTCTTCTTACGATGATGTCGTTCAAACTGTGGTGCGCCCGAGTTCAACATTAAAATCACCGCGCAGGTCTGACGGGGTACCGCGTGCGCGGCACGCCCCTCCACGGGCAGCGGGGACAGCCTCTGGATGAGCTCGTGGGGCCGGACCGGACGTCCTTCACCTTGGTCCGGCTGACGCCCAACGTGGAGTACAACGTCACGATCACGGCCATCAAGGACGAAATGGAGAGCAAGCCCTTCTCAACCGTCATCTCAAACGGTGAGATATCCACACTGCCGTTGTCACTGCATAACAAATTAGACGTTTTGTAAGTGCAATTCTTTTTTTAGATGAAACTCAAATTTTGGTGAAGGAAATTTGGACATTGTAAATGTGTTTTTTTCTTTTCTGGTAAGCCTTTGTAAAAATAAACTCCTTTATGGATACCTAATGCCCCTGAATGTGACAGATGAACAAGTAAAAAAAATCGAATGACTGGAAAACTACATTTATCCGTTCCCTTCATCTTCATCAATTCCATAAATCACAGGGTCTACAGGATCTGGACATGAATGTTATTATAAATCTCCGTTCACAGTTCATTGGTTCAGGCTGCCGATACTGCGGTTAGGTCCATGAGAAGTACATTACTCGACTAGGGCAGTAGAGAGGGACCGCAGAACATGCAAAACCCGACTTGCTTCAGTTTGATAATGGATGGGAAAAGAAAACGTTTCACTGCAGCTCGACACGTTTTTATTTCAGTCGCCTCCTCCCGTAAGCAGATTTTCAATTGCGGTGTGGTTGTGAAAGAGAATTACAAACCCCTACATCGGCCCCAGAAATACAAACGTGGTGTTGATATTCTACTGCTATTCACCCTAATCTAAGATCTAATGCTTCCACACCCTAACATGCTTAGCTTAATGTGGAAGAAAGGCTGATGAGTGTGCTTTTATTTATTTAAGGAATGCTTGAACAATGCAATCTCAACCTTCAACTGCATCTGATTAAACCTTGCTCGCTAACCTCACTCTGCGCTTGGCATTGAAGCTGCCGACCGGCAGGTCGTAGTCACCCCTGAGCCGTCCGATCTCCGCTTCACCGACGTGAGCGACACCTCTCTGGTGCTGCGCTGGACCCCGCTGTCCCTGCCTGGCATCACGGGCTATCGCGTGACGGTGTCTCCGCCGGGCGACTCCTCGCCCCTCCTGGAGGCCGTCGTGGGGCCTCGCACGGGGGTCTATACCGTCGAAGGCCTCCGGCCCGGCGTGGTTTATGATATCGGGGTCTCCACGCTGGCGAAGGACGGGGAGAGTGAACCTGCACGGCGCTCGCAGACCACTGGTGAATTCCACAGCCATTTGTCTCGTCTGTCGTTGAGTTTAATATCACATTGGCCAGTTTATCTTCGTCTCGCACGACTGGGAGCCTCACTTTGCACCACCATTGCTCAACTTGAAGTCTGCGTTCAGAAGCGTTGGGAGGGTTATCTTTGAAACGTAACCAGCCTTGCTGTTATTCGCGTTACAAGTGTTAAGTTATTGTCACGCGAGTTCACAGATTTAAAGTCGTCTTCTCTCTCCTGTCTCCACTGCAGCACCGGGCTCCCCGCAAGACGTGCAAGTGAGCCTGAACTCGGATACCGGAGCGTTGACCATCACCTGGCAGAAGGTTCCCACTCCAGGTGCAGTGATATTTGATATCAATGTGGGGAGTACCTAACGTTTACAATGCATTCTTTGAGAGCTCCCTAATACTACACACGAGACACAAATATTAGTGACGTCTATTAAATGTAACTTGTAGGTTTTGTAGAAAATATGATTCATGTGGTAGAGGGTTCCTAATGACACGGATTTATTTGGATCAAGACATGGCCTAACCCAAACGTTGATCATAAATCACATGTGTTCTGTTTACCTTTTACTCGCTGAAGTATCAAATATACAGCAGGCAAGGCCTGCTGTATATTTGATATACAGCAGGCAAGGCCTGCTGTATATCAGTAGGAAGCCTTTTGGCACGTGGTGGTTTTTGCTTCCCAACTCTGGCAACGCCACCGTCCATCACCCACCAAGCTTTGTGAAGTCCACCATCGCCAATGTGTACCAGCCTCTGCCCCCCCCCCCCCCGTTCTGTGTACAAACTGCTCATTTGCTAGGCCCCAACCGGACCAGACCATACATTCATTGGGTTCCACGTTACGGATTTCAGAAGCCACCCACACACCATTGTAGGGTTATATGAAAACCCGACCAAAAATGGGGTTGATTTGCTGGGCATCCGGCATTGTCTGAAGACCGACACCCACTCTACGATGCCAGACAACGTGGTATGTTCCTTTTTTTTTTGCCCATGATAGGAATGGCTTTTCAATCGCCGTCAGAATGGACCCACTTCGGTCTACTTTTCCCACCAACCAGCACAGGGCCTGCGTGGTGCTCGCACATCAGTCTCCAATTCCTGCTAATCGGTGTCCTAGCCAAAAGTGCACTAGAACCTCCTGGAGGCCTATTTTGACAGCTCGTTTAAAGATCGGGTGAATTTGTGTCTTTTCCGTCACATAAAGTCAGAAAAAAACAACATGAATCAAAATTAACATGTATTTATACTAAAGTAATACAAACAGGACTACAAAATATTTAGAAGTGAGTAGTTTTTCGAGATTTACGATTATACTGTAAATCACTTTCACGAATCGGCCCCAAATGTAGTCTTCCATCATGTTCTCGTTATACTGTCCTTGGTAGCGGCGTTCAAAGTCCAGTATATCCTGGTGGAAGCGCTCGCCTTGCTCCTCCGAGTACGCTCCCATGTTCTCCTTGAATTGATCAAGGATATGGACTTTGAGGGACATCCTACAGCCCATTGTGCCATAGTTCTTTGCCAGAATCTCAACCAGCTCCACGTAGTTTTCGACCTCGTGATTGCCCAGGAAGCCACGAACCACTGCGACAAAGCTGTCCCAAGCCACTTTCTCCTTACTAGGGAGCTTCCTGGGGAATTAATTGCACTCCAGGATCTTTATCTGTGGTTCGACAAAGACACACCGGCTTTGACTTTTGCCTCGGACAGTTTAGGGAGGACGTCTTGAAGGTACTTGAAGGCTGCCGACTCCTTATTTACAGCTCTGACAAATTGTTTCATAAGGCCAAATTTGGTGTGCAGTGGTGGAATTGGCACCTTCCGGGGATCCACCAGTGGCTCCCACTTGACGTTGTTCCTCCCCACAGAACTCGGTCCGCTGTGGCCAGTCCCGCCTGTGGTAGTGCGCCTTGGTGTCTAAATCTTTACTAGTCATTTTTGTATTACTTTAGTATAAATACATGTAAATTTTGATTCGTATATTCTTTTTCCTGACTTTAAGTGAACGAAAAGACACACATTCACCCGTTTTCTCATTGAAAATAGGTAATTTCTCAATATCACTGTCCTGGTCACAAAAGCAAAGGTTTGTGGGGAATAATAGCCATTTTCTGTACTTTTGAGACAGCAATTAGGAAATAACACTTACTAACCAGGAACATTTTTTTTTGTTACACAGTGTAATTGTACCCGTGGTTAAATCATGAGCCTGTGTGCTAAAATTAGGTTTTAGAATTGCGTTAGTTACTTACTTACTTGCTTTCAGCTCTGTGCAGCGCCTTGCGACCTCTGGGTGAAACTTTCTTTATAAGTGTACATTTTTATTAATAAAGACGCACCTGGCTCTCTGTAGCATATGGGAACTTAAGAAACCATTTGGCACAGCTACACAGTGCACAATTATACACGTGGTTAATCACAGGTGAGCTCACACTGCCTACACATGGTATGCGCTGTGCCTGTAGACTACAATATTACATCGCAAAATAGTAAATATTTCACCGCGTACATTCCTGGTTAAAAAAAAAAATTCTCTAAATAATTTAAGAGGAAATATGTTACTGAATTCATCAATAACGTCTATGCGAAACAACGCAAAATATGACAACTTAACAGCGGGGGATTCCTGCAATGCAATTTGATATTTGAAAGGTTATTTTTTTTTTACATAGGTACATAGGAAGTACTCTTGACAACCATCACCGTAATATTTTCTGATAAAAAGGAACACTTTCAACAGTATACATAATTCTACTCAATTCCCCTGCCTAGTATTAGATTAATTAGAGTTAGCGCAGTTTAATAGTTGACGGGTTCTTTAGAGCTTTAAGCCGTGGGCCTAACGGGAGACTTGGCATATGGAGTATGTGTAATATCCACGTTGTGTTTGACACGGTGTAGGGGTGACGGGCTACCGAGTGCGTGGAACGCCGCTGCACGGCCAGCGCGGCCACTCGGTGGACGAGCTGGTGAGGCCTGATCAGACGTCGGTCACCGTGGAGGGGCTCACGCCCGGTGTTGAGTACAACATCACCGTCACGGCCGTCAAGAACGGTCAGGAGGGCAAACCTTCGTCCACCATCGTTTCAAATGGTGAGGCTCCTTGGCTTGGTAACGCACCTGAATGGTCTATCTGATGTTTCGCAATGAAAACAACAGACTAGCACAGCTTATGCGAGCCTTGTAAGGTACTTTGTATTTGACCAACCTGGTCTGTTTAAGTATGTGTAATATGGCTAATTTGGACTTTGACTGTTTTCTGAAAACACGCTATTTCGGTATTTGATCATTCGTAATTGGGGATAATTCGGCACGGCTGCGCTTTCTGCATATATAGGGTATATTAGTAAGGTACATTAGTAATTCACCGTGAGCCGAATTGCCATACCGAATGGTCCAATATTGGCATACACGTGGGGCGACGCCACGCGCCACGACCAAAACAACGACTCGGTCTGGTGGCGGCGTGCGTGGTGAGCGTCAGTGCAGACCCGTCGCTTTGGACTTGACTTTGTTTATGCACTCTGTGCAAGCCAACCCTCTCAGAAATGTTGTCTACACCCACATCAAGAATAGAAAGGGACTGAAGTAAAAATCGCTTGGTCTAAAGTTTTGGATATGATTGATGCAGGTGTGTTCATGCATATGGTGTGTGAAGGGTTTGGAAAATACATTTGGAAAAACAATTTTATTGGGGCAGGAGGCACTGGGGCAGTACCATTGTACATAATTCAGAATATTGGATAATTTGGCAAGGCCAGAGACCCATATGTGTTGAATTAACAAGGGTTTACTGTCTTGATCTTTAATCTTGCTGAAAACGTATTTTTGTTCTACTTCCAGCTGTTCAAATGATTAACGTTGTGGCAAATCACATTTTGCTATTGCCATCTACCGTAGTGGATTTATGATTTAATCTGTTCTGAAGCTTCAGTTGCTAATACACCACCAATGCAAATGTGTTACAATATGTGAACTGAAAGATACCGTTTTATGATTATTTTTTAAATAATGCTTGCTTGAATATTTTTAATATTAAAATGGCATTATACTCTTGTAGCTCGCAGTTAAAATGCCACACTGTTATATTCTTTAAGGTGAGCAAACGAGAGATGTTCACCATCAACAGATTTCCCAGGAAAGATATCTGAACTTCTTTATCAAACTCTCATTTTGATCAATGCTGACACTTTTAATCTGCCAATAAAATGTGTGGCTGCAGCGGCGCGTACGTGTGTATTTAATTCGCCTCTAAAATAAATCGGGAGTATAAATGTTTTGTGTTTGTGTGTGCGAGAGATGTGCGGTCACACACAGGCTATGGAATTACAACTGTGGTGTTGATATTCTAATACTATTCACCCTGATCCGATATTGAATGCTTATATGCCATGTATATATGTTGAACATCTTTCGCACCGTACGTAGCCAACCGTGCTAATCGGAGGTGCGGGGGAAGGACAACGAACTAAACACAAAGCAGTTCTAAAGAAAATAAAAAACGTAACATGCTATAAGTTAATGTGGCAAAAGCTGAATATGTGCATTGTATCATTTAATGGTGAAACAATACAATCAGGCTTGAAGTGCATCTGATTTAACCGTGCCCGCGAGCCTCACTCTCTGTTTCGTTTTGAAGCTGCCGGCCGGCTGGTCATAGTCACCCCTCGGCCGTCTGATCTCCACTTCACCGACGTGAGCGACACCTCTCTGGTGCTGCGCTGGACCCCGCTTTCCCTGCCTGGCATCACGGGCTATCGCGTGACGGTGTCTCTGCCGGGCGACTCCTCGCCCGTCCAGGAGGCCGTCGTGGGGCCTCGCACGGGGGTCTATACCGTTGAACGCCTCCGGCCCGGCGTGGTTTATGATTTTGGGGTCTCCACGCTGACGAAGGACGGGGAGAGTGAACCTGCACGGCGCTCGCAGACAACTGGTGAAATCCACAACCATTTGTCTCATCTGTCGTTCAGTTTAATGTAATTTTGGCCAGTTTAGCTTTATTTAACACGTAGGCTTTTGCAACCAATATTATTCATTATAAAGGTTTCTTTGGGTTAAATTACGTAAATATGAATGTGTCATGGGACCATTTTTGGCAGTATCAAAGTAAGAAAAATAAGACTAGGTTTTATTCTTTCTGGCAATATATAGCTGCTCACCCCAAGCTATAAATGCTCTAATACGTGCCTTGTCTTTGTACTGTTCACCTTTTGGCATTCTCTGGTCTGACACTGGTGAGATGAGACCCATGAAGAAGGCTGTCTCAAGTGTCGGCCAATCGGTTTCGAAGACAATGCTATTATTAATAGAGCATGTTTAGTTTGCATGTTCTCCACAAATATGTGGTGGTTAATGCAGACCTGATTCCTTGCAAAAGGTATCTATTTGGTGTTTAAGCATCTTAACACCTCCTGTTTTTTTTGCCAGAAAGGGTAAATACAGCCTATTCTTACTTTTCATAAATGTGTCGTATACCCACCACCATCCGACGCAGCCAATTAGCAAGGCTTGTCACGTGAACCTAACGTGCCAATTAATTTTTACGACATTGCCAGCAATAGCTAATTGGCATATTCTGTTCACGTGGAAAACCTTACTTATTGGCTGTGTCGGGTGGTGGTGGGTTAGAGAAACGTGTATTTATGCGAGCTAACCCACAAAATCTTTATTATGAAGAGTTTATCTTTACCTCGCACCACTCCTAGCCTCGCATTGCACCATCAGTGCTCAACTTTTTTTCTGCATTCATAAACGTTGGGGAGGGTTGGCCTTGAAACATAACCAGTGGTACTGTTATTCACATTACAAGTGTCAAGTCATCATCATGCGAGTTCACAGATTTAAAGTCGTCTTCTCTCCCCTCTCTCCGCTCCAGCACCGGGCTCCCCGCAGGACGTGCACGTGACCCTCAACTCTGACACCGGCGTTTTGACCATCAGCTGGCAGAAGGTTGCCACTCCAGGTGCAGTGATGTTTCATAACAGTGTTTGTGCGGGGGTACCCAATGTTCTAAACGCATCGTTTGTCAGCCGCCTAGTATTTATCGCATACACACATAGCAAAAGAGTGTAGCTGTGTATTACCAGCTCAATTAAAGGGGGAGGGTGTGGCTGGTGGCACCAAGCATTGTTAGCAATCGCATGCATATATATAAGCACACTTGAGAAAATACGTTGCGTAAATCTGTCTTGCGTGAAGCAAAGTTTACTCATCGGCAGTCCTGCTTGGAGCTTTCCTTGATGCTCCGTTTTAATTCGCAAGCGACGTGTGCTCGGTAGCTCGACAGGCTGGATTACACGAGCGGAGCACTCGGGGCTTGCCTGATGCAAAAGCTGTGTTGTGCATTCTGGGAAAACATCTTTGAGGGTTTCTCTACTTCGGACACTGCAAAATCTTGAGTTGGATAGTCATCCTTCGATCTGCCCTGGTCCTGAAACGAGGCCTTTCTGGTCATTTGCTGAATGAAAAAAGCACTCGGAAACTGAGCTAGAGGTGAACCCGCTGCACACGAAGTCGCCACATAATTACACTATTTTTTTTTTACCAGGTAAGGCCCACTGAGCTGCATATAGCTCTTTTTCAGATGCGATCTGACCATCACAAATGATCGCTCAACAAAGTAGCTTATCGTCATGTGGAAATGTATCGTGGCTATATACTCTAAACACACGTTGATTCTAAATGTGGAGGGAAAGCAAGAGAGGACCCGGAGAAAAATCCACGCAACCACGGGGAGAACTTGCAAACTCTAAATCTACAGGCATCAAGGTTGAGATCGAACCCACGACCCCCTGTATACACCCGGCAAGGTAGTTAACATCTCGCCACCGTGGCGCCCCATTTGGTTTTAAAGAGCAGATGCCACCAGACCTAATGGTCAATCGATTCCACAATAAACAAATGTGTGGTTACTTGGAGTTGACCTTCCATATGTCCCATCGTAACATAGGTATATTGCCAATACATTTGACAACTATCACAATATTATTTTCTGAAAAAAGCACATGTTCAACAGTCTACATTTTTTTCTCAAATGACCTGCCTTGTATTAGAGGAATTAAAGTTAGTGCATTTAGACAGTATATGGAGTGTTTAACACAGGCTTTCGCGACCAATATTATGTATAAGAGGTTTTTTTGGGTTTAATTGCGTAAATATTAATGTGTCGTTAAATCCACCACCCACAACATTTACAATTCGAATACGATGTTTTGCCGGTAATTACAACCAGCGTCATCAGAAGATTTGTGGTGAAACGTTGTACTCTAATTGTAAATGTTGTGGGTTTACTCTCCAACAAACCGGTATGCTGAACTAGTAACTATTTTGCATGTTTTGTTTTTGCGACAAACCTTACAAATTGACTGTCGGGTGGTGGCGGTTTTTAATGACACATTTACGCGATCTAACCCAAAAAATATCTTTGGAGCATATGGAGTATGTGTAATATCCATGTTGTGTTTCACACTGTGTAGAGTTGACGGGCTACCGAGTGCGTGGAACGCCCCTGCATGGCCAGCGCGGCCACTTGGTGGACGAGCTGGTGAGGCCTGATCAGACGTCGGTTAACGTGCAGAGACTCACGCCCGGTGTTGAGTACAACATCACCGTCACGGCCGTCAAGAACGGTCAGGAGGGCAAACCTTCGTCCACCATCATTTCCACTGGTGAGATTCCTTGGCTTGGTAACGCACATAAATGGTGCATCCGATGTTTAGCAATGAAGATGGCCTGGCACAACTTATGTGAGCCTTGTAAGATATTTAGAAATTGGCCGACCTGCTCCAGCCAAGGAAAATTTTGTAATAAAAAAATTTGCTTGGGTCTGGCTAGCTGGGCTTTGACTGGACATTGAAAACTAATTTTTGAACTTTACTCTGGCTGGAAACTTTTCTCTTATTTTTTGCTTTGGGTTGCTTTTGCCAATTTAAGTGACTTGGGTTTGTGGCAATCAGGATTTCACTATTTAGTAAATCCTGTACATCAAGACACACCAAAAAAAAAGCATGGAACTTAAAAGTATTATTACACATGACTTAAAAAAGACATTTCTGCCAACTGTCGTAGGAAATTTATAATTAAAATTTCCATAACATCAAATCTGTTACTACAAAGCTTAAGCTCGTTGACCGTAAACCAAAAGTGTAATTGTGCAATAGTATCTCCCCCAAAGCCTGCCCTCCCCATGTAACGAGCTCGATACTGTCTTATCAGCTGTGCTGTGCAGCCCCTGCAAAACCCTCCCATCCTATGTAATGTGCTCGTTGGTTTTGGCCTGGTCACCTTTGAAAAGAAGTTTCTTAGCTCAATGGGCCTGACATGTAGACAAACTGACTGGCTGATATGTAAAACAATACTTGAAAAAAAAATACGTTTTCAAAGAATACGTTGTTGAACAACTTGGAGTACTTAAATATTATAATGGAATATTAGTGAGTTGCATTTATTGTAGTGAGCAGTTAACATGCCGCAGTGTTGTATGAAAATTTCAGGCGAGCAAACTTGACAACCTTTCACATTATGTTCAATCTGAAGGGATTAGTTAACTTGGCAAACGTGTGTATTTCAGTTCCCTCAAAAAAATGTATAGTTCAAATATATTCTACTGCCATTCAACATGATCCAAGATCTAATGCTTAATGTCCTAACATGCGGAAGTTAATGTGGCAATGACTGAATATGTGCATTTATTAATTCATGTTGAACACTGCAACCAAGCTTGAACTGTATCTGATTTAACTGTGCTCACTAACCTCACTCTGCATTTGGCTTTGAAGCTGGTGACCGGGTGGTCGTAGTCACCCCACGGCCGTCTGATCTCAGCGTCACCGACGTGAGCGACACCTCTCTGGTGCTGCGCTGGACCCTGCTGTCTGTGCCTGGCATCGCGGGCTATCGCGTGACGGTGTCTCTGCCGGGCGACTCCGTGCCCCTCCTGGACGACACCGTGGGGCCTCAAACGGAGGTCTATGCCGTCGAAGGCCTCCGGCCCGGCGTGGTTTATGATATTGGGGTCTCCACGCTGACAGAGGACGGGGAGAGTGAACCTGCACGGCGCTCGCAGACCACTGGTGAATTCCACAACTATTTGTCTCATCTGTCGTTCAATTTAACATCATGTTGGCCAGTTCAGCTTCATCTCTCATTACTGGGAGCACCATCTCTGCTCAACTTGAGGTCTGAGTTCAGAAGTATTGGGAGAGTTAACCTGGAAATGTAACCCCGTCAAGTGTCAAGTTATTGTAATGCGAGTTCACAGATGTTAAGTCGTCTTCTCTCTCCTGTCTCCACCGCAGCACCGGGCTCCCCGCGTGACGTGCAAGTGAGCCTGAACTCGGATACCGGAGAGTTGACCATCACCTGGCAGAAGGTTCCTACTCCAGGTGCAGTGTTTCATAACATTGTGAAGAGTTACCTCGTGTTCAAGTTTTTCAGCTGCCTAATATTTCACGTGACAAAGTTGGAAAGTCGATTTAAGATTAACACGTGTATGATTCATGTGCATGGTGGTGGAAGGTTCAGACAGACTTTTAGTTTTATTAAATGATTACATGGCCTAACCCAAATAACAATCAAGTTTACCTTTTTAGTTACTGTGTCAGCTCAAGTAGTTGGAATGAGGCATTGGCTCATACTTGGTAGTAAAATTAAACCATGGTAAACAACACCCGCTGAGATTGGCAACATTTAACATAGAAATTTTGAGTAATATAATATAGATTCAAATTACAAATGAACCTTGTTTTGCCTAGTTTAGATGCAAATTACCAATTGCTTTGAGATGTGTTCTTTCGATACAGTTGAGCATTTATTGAGATCACGTATTTATATGGAATGTAAGTTAGACAATTCACAGTAAAGCTTTTTGGGTTGGATCGTGTAAATAATAAATGTGCCGTTAACCAAGAACCACCCGACACAGCCAATTAGTAAGGTTTGTCACGTGAACAAAATGTACTCATCAGTTACTACTTCAGCACACCGGTTTGTTGGAGAGTAAAACCCACACATTGTAAATATGTGCTGAAGTAGTAACTAATTGTCTACGTTTTGTTCACGTGACAAACCTTACTAATTGGCCATGTCGGGAGGTGGTGGCGGTGGGTTAACGACACATTTATATTTACGCGATCTATCCCAAAAACCTTTTATTGTGACTAACATTCTTCGTGTAAGCCCTACCACTACTGAGTGTTAAATCAAATTAGACAATGCCCACCTCGTTCTCACAAGGCACGGCCAGATGTGCGTGGGTGCTCAACATGCACTTGTGAATGTGTCTAAGTACTTGTGTGCAAGTACGTGTGCATGTCTACATCTTCATGCTTCAGTGATCTGCATAGTATTAGAGGATTTAAGTTCGGTTTAGTAGCTATTTGACGTGTACTTTTTAGTTAAGCCATAAGACTAATGGCAGACTTAGCATATGGATTATGTGTAAAATCCATGTTGTGTTTGACCCTGTGTAGGGGTGACGGGCTACCGAGTGCGTGGAACGCCCCTGCACGGCCAGCGCGGCCACTCGGTGGACGAGCTGGTGAGGCCTGATCAGACGTCGGTCACCGTGCAGAGACTCACGCCCGGTGTTGAGTACAACATCACCGTCACGGCCGTCAAGAACGGTCAGGAGGGCAAACCTTCGTCCACCATCATTTCAACTGGTGAGGGCTCCTTGGCTTGCCCATGAATGGTGCATCTGATGTTTCACAATTAAGATGGCCTGGCACAGCTTATAAGAGATTTTGAAATTGGCCGACCTAGTCCAGCCAAGTGAAATTTTGTAATACAAAAATTATCTGGGGTCTGGCTTTACTCTTGCGGCAAGCTTCTCTATTTGTATTGCTTCTGATTGCTTTTGTCAGTTAAAATTATTTGGGTTTGTGACGATTGGCATTTCACTATTTAGTAAAAACCTGTACATCGAGACACACTTAAAGTAAAGCGTGGAGCTTAAAAGTATTTTTTCACGTTACTGAAAATATAGATTTCTGCCAATGTTGTAGGAAATCTAAAATACATGAGCGGGAAGTACCGGGCATTGCCTTGGGGAAAAAATATTTAAAAACTTATACACAAGTACTAAGTTATTGTGAAAGCCCGGCGTTCCGTTTGTCTGTCCATTTGTCCATCAACACAATTATTCGAGGTTTGCAGAAGTCATAAAAGTTATAGCAAGTGGGGTGTAAATAGTTGATCTAAAATGTTTTCCGAAAATTGTCGATCCCCCCCCCCCTCAATTCTTTTTTTACTCCCACGTCAGCTATATACCTACACATCCTGCATACAATAGAGTGAGTAGTATCTACCGCCTCAATAGTAGTATCTGCCGCCTCCTATAGTAGTATCAACCAATTCTATAGTAGAAATACTGACTCTACAGTAGTATCTAATGGCTATAGTAGTATCTACATAATCTACAGTATCTATTGACTATATAGTAGTATCCACTGACTATAGTAGTAACTACTAACTCTATAGTAGTATCTGCAGTATCTACTGACTGCAGCAGTATATACTGACTATAGTGGTAGCTCCTGACTGTCGTATTATCTACTGACTCTATAGTAGTAACTACTGACTTGATAGTAGTATCCACTGACTTGATAGTAGTAACTAACTCTTTAGTAGTAACTTCTAACTATAGCAGTATCTGCAGACTCTTTAGTAGTATCTGCAGTATCTACTGACTTTACAGTAGCATCTACCGACTCTGCAGTAGTAGCTCCCGACTCTACAGTAGTATCTACCTACTCTATAGCCGTATATATACCGACTCTATAATAGTATTTATCGACACTATAGTACTAACTACTAACTTAACAGTGCCGTGGTGAGGCCTATTCCCGTGCAGAATCCCCGGCCTCGCCTAGTTTGCTCAGCTGGCCGAGGTGGCACCTTGGCAGGCTGGGGCTGGGCCGCTAACCCCACTCCCACCATCCCCCCCCGCCCACACTACAGTAGTATCTATGGACTATAGTCGTAGTATCTACCGACTCTATAGTAGTAACTGCACACATTGGGGTGGTGGGGGGAGAAGAGGACATTGGTGGGAAAACTTTTGCTCAGTCCTGTGTATTTTGTTGCATTTTGAACACGAATAAAAAAATTCCCCCCTCTCCCCACCGATCGTGTGTGTGTGTTGCTAGGGCAACCACGGGTCAACTTTCTCGCGCATGCGCAGACGCGTGCTTTGGCATGCGCTTAGCGTAGTAATATAATAATAAATAGTACTACATTGTTATTTTAGCTACTTTACAGTTGACGGATGGGAAATACGAATAGCGCTGGCTCACCTTATCATGCGGTATCTGGGTACTTTTTTAAAACCTAAACCCCACCGTTTGTGAGTTCAAACCGTTGCAAGTTGCATCCACAGACAGAGACAGACAGACAAAAAATACTTATTTAGGTAAGATTTTTCCGTAATATAAAATCTGTGATTTCAAAGCTTAAGCTAGTTGGCATTAAACCAACAGTGTAATCGTGTAACAGTATTCCTCCAAAGCCCACCCTTCACATGTAACACACTTACTACCGTTGCATTAGCCGTACTGTGCAGCCCCTCTAAACCCTCCCTTCCCATGGAACGTGCTTGCTATCTTCGTTACCAGCCATTCTCTGCAGCCCCTGTGAACCCTCCCATCCTATGTAATGTGCTCGGCTGTTTTGGCCTGGTCGCCTTTGAAAAGAAGCTTCTTAGCTTAATGGGCTTGACCCGGTACAAACTGGCTGATATGTCAAGGGAAAACAATATTTTTAAAACAGAAATAACATTTCCAAAGAATATGTTTTTGAACAACTTGGAGTACTTAAATATTACAATGGCATATTAGTGAGTTGCATTGGTTGTAGCAAGCAGTTAACATGCCGCAGTGTTGTATTAAAATTGCAGGTGAGCATACTTGACAACCTTTCAAACTATGTTCAATCTCAAGGAATAAGTCAGCTTGGCACATGTGTGTATTTCACTTGCCTTACATAAATGTGGAGTTCAAATATATTCTACTGTCATTCACCATGATCCAATATTTAATGCTTCCTGTCCTAACATGCGGATGTTGATGTGGCAACGACTGAATGTGTATTTATGAATTTAATGGGTTTTGAACACTGCAATCAAGCTTGAACTGCATCTGATTTAACTGTGCTCGCTAACCTTACTTTGCATTTTCCTTTGAAGCTGGTGACCGGGTGGTCGTAGTCACCCCACGGCCGTCTGATCTCAGCTTCACCGACGTGAGCGACACCTCTCTGGTGCTGCGCTGGACCCCGCTGACCGTGCCTGGCATCACGGGCTATCGCGTGACGGTGTCTCTGCCGGGCGACTCCGTGCCCCTCCTGGACGACACCGTGGGGCCTCAAACGGGGGTCTATGCCGTCGAAGGCCTCCGGTCCGGCGTGGTTTATGATATTGGGGTCTCCACGCTGACAGAGGACGGGGAGAGTGAACCTGCACGGCGCTCGCATACCACTGGTGAATTCCACAACCATTTGTCTCAGTTGTCGTTCAATTTAACATCATCTTGACCAGTTCAGCTTCATTTCGCATTACTGGAAGCCTCACTTTGCACCATATCTTCTCAACTTGAGATCTGAGTTCAGAAGTATGGGGAGAGTTAACCTTGAAATGTAACTACGTCAAGTGTCAAGTTATTGTAATGCGAGTTCACAGATGTTAAGTCGTCTTCTCTCTCCTGTCTCCACCGCAGCACCGGGCTCCCCGCGTGACGTGCAAGTGAGCCTGAACTCGGATACCGGAGAGCTGACCATCACCTGGCAGAAGGTTCCTACTCCAGGTGCAGTGTTTTATAACATTGTGGAGAGTTACCTCGTGTTCAAATGTCTAGTTTTTCAGCTGCCTAATATTTCACGTGACAAAGTTGGAAAGTCGATTTAAGATTAACACAGTATGATTCATGTGCATGGTGGTGGAAGGTTCAGACAGACTTTTAGTTTTATTAAATGATTACATGGCCTAACCCAAATAACAATCAAGTTTACCTTTTTAGTTACTGTGTCAGCTCAAGTAGTTGGAATGAGGCATTGGCTCATACTTGGTAGTAAAATGAAACCATGGTAAACAACACCCGCTGAGATTGGCAACATTTAACATAGAAATTTTGAGTAATATAATATAGATTCAAATTACAAATGAACCTTGTTTTGCCTAGTTTAGATGCAAATTACCAATTGCTTTGAGATGTGTTCTTTCGATACAGTTGAGCATTTATTGAGATCACGTATTTATATGGAATGTAAGTTAGACAATTCACAGTAAAGCTTTTTGGGTTGGATCGTGTAAATAATAAATGTGCCGTTAACCAAGAACCACCCGACACAGCCAATTAGTAAGGTTTGTCACGTGAACAAAATGTACTCATCAGTTACTACTTCAGCACACCGGTTTGTTGGAGAGTAAAACCCACACATTGTAAATATGTGCTGAAGTAGTAACTAATTGTCTACGTTTTGTTCACTTGACAAACCTTACTAATTGGCCATGTCGGGAGGTGGTGGCGGTGGGTTAACGACACATTTATATTTACGCGATCTATCCCAAAAACCTTTTATTGTGACTAACATTCTTCGTGTAAGCCCTACCACTACTGAGTGTTAAATCAAATTAGACAATGCCCACCTCGTTCTCACAAGGCACGGCCAGATGTGCGTGGGTGCTCAACATGCACTTGTGAATGTGTCTAAGTACTTGTGTGCAAGTACGTGTGCATGTCTACATCTTCATGCTTCAGTGATCTGCATAGTATTAGAGGATTTAAGTTCGGTTTAGTAGCTATTTGACGTGTACTTTTTAGTTAAGCCATAAGACTAATGGCAGACTTAGCATATGGATTATGTGTAAAATCCATGTTGTGTTTGACCCTGTGTAGGGGTGACGGGCTACCGAGTGCGTGGAACGCCCCTGCACGGCCAGCGCGGCCACTCGGTGGACGAGCTGGTGAGGCCTGATCAGACGTCGGTCACCGTGCAGAGACTCACGCCCGGTGTTGAGTACAACATCACCGTCACGGCCGTCAAGAACGGTCAGGAGGGCAAACCTTCGTCCACCATCATTTCAACTGGTGAGGGCTCCTTGGCTTGCCCATGAATGGTGCATCTGATGTTTCACAATTAAGATGGCCTGGCACAGCTTATAAGAGATTTTGAAATTGGCCGACCTAGTCCAGCCAAGTGAAATTTTGTAATACAAAAATTATCTGGGGTCTGGCTTTACTCTTGCGGCAAGCTTCTCTATTTGTATTGCTTCTGATTGCTTTTGTCAGTTAAAATTATTTGGGTTTGTGACGATTGGCATTTCACTATTTAGTAAAAACCTGTACATCGAGACACACTTAAAGTAAAGCGTGGAGCTTAAAAGTATTTTTTCACGTTACTGAAAATAGAGATTTCTGCCAATTGTTGTAGGAAATCTAAAATACATGAGCGGGAAGTACCGGGCATTGCCTTGGGGAAAAAATATTTAAAAACTTATACACAAGTACTAAGTTATTGTGAAAGCCCGGCGTTCCGTTTGTCTGTCCATTTGTCCATCAACACAATTATTCGAGGTTTGCAGAAGTCCTAAAAGTTATAGCAAGTGGGGTGTAAATAGTTGATCTAAAATGTTTTCCGAAAATTGTCGATCCCCCCCCCCCTCAATTCTTTTTTTACTCCCACGTCAGCTATATACCTACACATCCTGCATACAATAGAGTGAGTAGTATCTACCGCCTCAATAGTAGTATCTGCCGCCTCCTATAGTAGTATCAACCAATTCTATAGTAGAAATACTGACTCTACAGTAGTATCTAATGGCTATAGTAGTATCTACAGAATCTACAGTATCTATTGACTATATAGTAGTATCCACTGACTATAGTAGTAACTACTAACTCTATAGTAGTATCTGCAGTATCTACTGACTGCAGCAGTATATACTGACTATAGTGGTAGCTCCTGACTGTCGTATTATCTACTGACTCTATAGTAGTAACTACTGACTTGATAGTAGTATCCACTGACTTGATAGTAGTAACTAACTCTTTAGTAGTAACTTCTAATTATAGCAGTATCTGCAGACTCTTTAGTAGTATCTGCAGTATCTACTGACTTTACAGTAGCATCTACCGACTCTGCAGTAGTAGCTCCCGACTCTACAGTAGTATCTACCTACTCTATAGCCGTATATATACCGACTCTATAATAGTATTTATCGACACTATAGTACTAACTACTAACTTAACAGTGCCGTGGTGAGGCCTATTCCCGTGCAGAATCCCCGGCCTCGCCTAGTTTGCTCAGCTGGCCGAGGTGGCACCTTGGCAGGCTAAGGCTGGGCCGCTAACCCCACTCCCACCATCCCCCCCCGCCCACACTACAGTAGTATCTATGGACTATAGTCGTAGTATCTACCGACTCTATAGTAGTAACTGCACACATTGGGGTGGTGGGGGGAGAAGAGGACATTGGTGGGAAAACTTTTGCTCAGTCCTGTGTATTTTGTTGCATTTTGAACACGAATAAAAAATTCCCCCCTCCCCCCACCGATCGTGTGTGTGTGTGTTGCTAGGGCAACCACGGGTCAACTTTCTCGCGCATGCGCAGACGCGTGCTTTGGCATGCGCTTAGCGTAGTAATATAATAATAAATAGTACTAAATTGTTATTTTAGCTACTTTACAGTTGACGGATGGGAAATACGAATAGCGCTGGCTCACCTTATCATGCGGTATCTGGGTACTTTTTTAAAACCTAAACCCCACCGTTTGTGAGTTCAAACCGTTGCAAGTTGCATCCACAGACAGAGACAGACAGACAAAAAATACTTATTTAGGTAAGATTTTTCCGTAATATAAAATCTGTGATTTCAAAGCTTAAGCTAGTTGGCATTAAACCAACAGTGTAATCGTGTAACAGTATTCCTCCAAAGCCCACCCTTCACATGTAACACACTTACTACCGTTGCATTAGCCGTACTGTGCAGCCCCTCTAAACCCTCCCTTCCCATGGAACGTGCTTGCTATCTTCGTTACCAGCCATTCTCTGCAGCCCCTGTGAACCCTCCCATCCTATGTAATGTGCTCGGCTGTTTTGGCCTGGTCGCCTTTGAAAAGAAGCTTCTTAGCTTAATGGGCTTGACCCGGTACAAACTGGCTGATATGTCAAGGGAAAACAATATTTTTAAAACAGAAATAACATTTCCAAAGAATATGTTTTTGAACAACTTGGAGTACTTAAATATTACAATGGCATATTAGTGAGTTGCATTGGTTGTAGCAAGCAGTTAACATGCCGCAGTGTTGTATTAAAATTGCAGGTGAGCATACTTGACAACCTTTCAAACTATGTTCAATCTCAAGGAATAAGTCAGCTTGGCACATGTGTGTATTTCACTTGCCTTACATAAATGTGGAGTTCAAATATATTCTACTGTCATTCACCATGATCCAATATTTAATGCTTCCTGTCCTAACATGCGGATGTTGATGTGGCAACGACTGAATGTGTATTTATGAATTTAATGGGTTTTGAACACTGCAATCAAGCTTGAACTGCATCTGATTTAACTGTGCTCGCTAACCTTACTTTGCATTTTCCTTTGAAGCTGGTGACCGGGTGGTCGTAGTCACCCCACGGCCGTCTGATCTCAGCTTCACCGACGTGAGCGACACCTCTCTGGTGCTGCGCTGGACCCCGCTGACCGTGCCTGGCATCACGGGCTATCGCGTGACGGTGTCTCTGCCGGGCGACTCCGTGCCCCTCCTGGACGACACCGTGGGGCCTCAAACGGGGGTCTATGCCGTCGAAGGCCTCCGGTCCGGCGTGGTTTATGATATTGGGGTCTCCACGCTGACAGAGGACGGGGAGAGTGAACCTGCACGGCGCTCGCATACCACTGGTGAATTCCACAACCATTTGTCTCAGTTGTCGTTCAATTTAACATCATCTTGACCAGTTCAGCTTCATTTCGCATTACTGGAAGCCTCACTTTGCACCATATCTTCTCAACTTGAGATCTGAGTTCAGAAGTATGGGGAGAGTTAACCTTGAAATGTAACTACGTCAAGTGTCAAGTTATTGTAATGCGAGTTCACAGATGTTAAGTCGTCTTCTCTCTCCTGTCTCCACCGCAGCACCGGGCTCCCCGCGTGACGTGCAAGTGAGCCTGACTCGGATACCGGAGAGCTGACCATCACCTGGCAGAAGGTTCCTACTCCAGGTGCAGTGTTGTATAACATTGTGGAGAGTTACCTCGTGTTCAAATGTCTAGTTTTTCAGCTGCCTAATATTTCACGTGACAAAGTTGGAAAGTCGATTTAAGATTAACACATATGATTCATGTGCATGATGGTGGAGGGTTCAGAAAGACTTTTAGTTTTATTAAATGATTACATGGCCTAACCCAAACAACAATCAAGTTTACCTTTTTAGTTACTGTGTCAGCTCAAGTAGGTGGAATGAGGCATTGGCTCTTACTTGGTAGTAACATGAAACCATGGTAAACAACACCCGCTGAGATGGGCAACATTTAACATATAAATTTTGAGTAATTTCATATAGATACAAATTACAAATGAACCTTGTTTTGCCTAGTTTAGATGCAAATTACCAATTACTTTGAGATGTGTTCTTTCGATACAGTTGAGAATTTATTGAGATCACGTATTTATATGGGATGTAAGTTAGACAATTCACAGTAAAGGTTTTTGGGTTGGATCGTGTAAATAATAAATGTCCCATTAACCAACAACCACCCGACACAGCCAATTAGTAAGGTTTGTCACGTGAACAAAATGTGCTCATCAGTTACTACTTCAGCACACCGGTTTGTTGGAGAGTAAAACCCACACATTGTAAATATGTGCTGAAGTAGTAACTAATTGTCTACGTTTTGTTCACGTGACAAACCTTACTAATTGGCCATGTCGGGAGGTGGTGGCGGTGGGTTAACGACACATTTATATTTACGCGCTCTATCCCAAAAACGTTTTATTGTGACTAATATTCTTCGTGTAAGCCCTACCACTACTGAGTGTTAAATCAAATTCGACAATGCCCACCTCTTTCTCACAAGGCACGGCCAGATGTGCGTGGGTGCTAACATGCACTTGTGAATGTGTCTAAGTACTTGTGCGCAAGTACGTGTGCGCGTCTACAACTTCATGCTTCAGTGATCTGCATAGTATTAGAGGATTTAAGTTCGGATTAGTAGCTATTTGACAAGTACTTTTAAGTTAAGCCATTAGCCTAAAGGCAGACTTGGAATATGGAGTATGTGTAACATCCATGTTGTGTTTGATCCTGTGTAGGGGTGACGGGCTACCGAGTGCGTGGAACGCCCCTGCACGGCCAGCGCGGCCACTCGGTAGACGAGCTGGTGAGGCCTGATCAGACGTCGGTCACCGTGCAGAGACTCACGCCCGGTGTTGAGTACAACATCACCGTCACGGCCGTCAAGAACGGTCAGGAGGGCAAACCTTCGTCCACCATCATTTCAACTGGTGAGGGCTCCTTGGCTTGCACATGAATGGTGCATCTGATGTTTCACAATTAAGATGGCCTGGCACAGCTTGTAAGAGATTTTGAAATGGCTGACCTAATCCAGCCAAGTTAAATTTTGTAATACAAAAATTATCTGGGGTCTGGCTAGCTGCGCTTTGACTGAACACTGAAAACGATTTTATTTTTAGCTTTACTCTTGCGGCAAGCTTCTCTATTTTTAAATCCTTTATATTATGTTCGCTTGCTTGCTTGCTTGCTTACGACCGTGCACATTTTTCGGTCGTTTTTTAACCCACTTCCCGTGATCCAATCGAGCTGACATTTTGCATACAGACTCGTTGTGCGTGACAATGTATTTTCGTGAACATTTTTTTCCCAAAATGTTACACTTTTTAGGAAAAAATAAATTCTATTTAATTACCAATTGCTTAATGGTGGCAGCCATTCATCTGACCCATAGGTGGCAGCCATCTCAAGCCAGAGGACGAGAGGACTCTAGCCGCCACGCATATAAATAATATATAGTGAAAAACTTTGTTTTTACGGGTAAATTTTTTATTGCTTCGGGTTGCTTTTGTCAATTAAAATTATTTGGGTTTGTGGAAATTGGCATTTCACTATTTAGTAAAACCTGTACATCGAGACACACTAAAGTAAAGCGTGGAACTTAAAAGTGTTATTTCACGTTACTAAAATAGACATTTCTGTCCAACTGTTGTAGGAAATTTACAATACACGGGCGGGAAGTACCCGGCATTGCCTTGGGGGGAAAAAAATATTTAAAAACTTATACACAAGTACTAAGCTATTGTGAAAGCCTGGCATTCCGTTTGTCTGTCCATTTGTCCATCACAATTATTCGAGGTTTGCAGAAGTCCAAAAAGTTATATAGCAAGTGGTGGGTAAAATGGTTGATCTAAAATGTTTTCCGAAAATTGTCGACCCCCCCCCCCCCCTCAATATTTTTTTTACTCCCACGTCAGCTATATACCTACACACCCTGCATACAATAGAGCGAGTAGTATCTACCGATTCAATAGTAGTATCTGCCGCCTCCTATAGTAGTATCAACCAACTCTATAGTAGAAATACTGACTCTACAGTAGTTTCTAATGACTATAGTAGTATCTACAGAATCTACAGTCATATCTATTGACTATATAGTAGTATCCACTGACAATAGTAGTAACTACTAACTCTATAGTAGTAACTGACTCTTTAGTAGTAACTTCTAACTATAGCAGTATCTGCAGACTCTTTAGTAGTATCTGCAGATTGTATAGCAGTATCTACTGACTTTACAGTAGCATCTGCCGACTCTACAGTAGTATCTACCTACTCTATAGCCGTATATGCCGACTCTATAATAGTATCTATCGACACTATAGTACTAACTACTAACTTAACAGTGCCGTGGTGAGGCCTATTCCCGTGCAGAATCGCCGGCCTTGCCTAGTTTGCTCAGCTGGCCGAGGTGGCACCTTGGCAGGCTGGGGCTGGGCCGCTAACCCCACTCTCATCCATCCCCCCTGCCCGCACTACAGTAGTATCTACGGACTATAGTCGTAGTATCTACCGACTCTATAATTTTGCTACTTTACAGTTGACGGATGTTAAATACGAATCGCGCTGGCTCACCCCGGGGCTTATGTGGTATCTGGGTACTTGTTAAAATATCTAAACGCTACAGTTTGTGAGTTCAAACCGTTGCAAGTTGCATCCACAGACAGAGACAGACAGACAAAATTTGACTTATTTAGATTTTTCCATAATATAAAATCTGTTATTTCAAAGCTTAAGCTAGTTTGCATTAAACCAACAGTGTAATCGTGCAACAGTATTCCTCCAAAGCCCACCCTTCACATGTAACACGCTTGCTACCGTTGCATTAGCCGTACTGTGCAGCCCCCCTAAACCCACCCTTCCCACGTAACATGTTTCCTATCTTCGTACCAGCCATTCTCTGCAGCCCCTGTGAACCCTCCCATCCTATGTAACATGCTCAGCTGTTTTGGCCTGGTCACCATTGAAAAGAAGCTTCTTAGCTTAATGGGCTTGACCCTGGTACAAACTGGCTGATATGTCAAGGGAAAACAATATTTTTAAAACAGAAATTAAAATTTCAAAGAATACGTTTTTGAACAACTTTGAGTACTTAAATATTACAATGGCATATTAGTGAGTTGCATTGGTTGTAGCGAGCAGTTAACATGCCGCAGTGTTGTATTAAAATTGCAGGTGAGCAAACTTGACAACCTTTCAAACTATGTTCAATCTCAAGGAATAAGTCAACTTGGCACACGTGTATATTTCACTTGCCTTACATAAATGTGGAGTTCAAATATATTCTTACTGCCATTCACCATGATCCAAGAGCTAATGCTTTCATGTTCTAACATGCGGACGTTGATGTGGCAACGACTAAATATGTGCATTTATGAATTTAATGGGTTTTGAACACTGTAACCAAGCTTGAACTGCATCTGATTTAACTGTGCTCGCTAACCTAAATGCATTTGCCTTTGAAGCTGGTGACCGGGTGGTCGTAGTCACTCCACGGCCGTCTGATCTCCGCTTCACCGACGTGAGCGACACCTCTCTGGTGCTGCGCTGGACCCCGCTGACCGTGCCTGGCATCACGGGCTATCGCGTGACGGTGTCTCTGCCGGGCGACTCCTCGAACCTCCTGGAGGACACCGTGGGGCCTCGCACGGGGGTCTATGCCGTCGAAGGCCTCCGGCCCGGCGTGGTTTATGATATTGGGGTCTCCACGCTGACAGAGGACGGGGAGAGTGAACCTGCACGGCGCTCGCAGACCACTGGTGAATTCCACAGCCATTTGTCTCATCTGTCGTTCAATTTAACATCATGTTGGCCAGTTCAGCTTCATCTCGCATTACTGGGAGCCTCACTTTGCACCATCTCTGCTCAACTCGAGGTCTGAGTTCAGAAGTATGGGGAGAGTTAACCTTGAAATGTAACTACGTCAAGTGTCAAGTTATTGTAATGCGAGTTCACAGATGTTAAGTCGTCTTCTCTCTCCTGTCTCCACCGCAGCACCGGGCTCCCCGCGTGACGTGCAAGTGAGCCTGAACTCGGATACCGGAGAGTTGACCATCACCTGGCAGAAGGTTCCCACTCCAGGTGCAGTGTTTTATAACATTGTGGAGAGTTATCTCGTGTTCAAATGTCTAGTTTTTCAGCTGCCTAATATTTCACGTGACAAAGTTGGAAAGTCGATTTAAGATTAACACATATGATTCATGTGCATGATGGTGGAGGGTTCAGAAAGACTTTTAGTTTTATTAAATGATTACATGGCCTAACCCAAACAACAATCAAGTTTACCTTTTTAGTTACTGTCAGCTCAAGTAGGTGGAATGAGGCATTGGCTCTTACTTGGTAGTAACATGAAACCATGGTAAACAACACCCGCTGAGATGGGCAACATTTAACATAGAAATTTTTAGTAATTTAATATAGATACAAAGTAACCTTTTTTCGCCTTGTTTAGATGCAAATTACGAATTATATTTCTTTTACTTTTTGGTTCTTTCGGTAAATTCACGTAAAAAGAAAATAAATTAAATAATAGAATCCGTTTCGAGTGCAACACAAGCAATCATCATCAGGTACGAATTAATGAGAAAACAAACGTAGTAAACTTAGAGCTTTTCGATTTAAAGCTTTCGTGACTGCAGGGATTCATCTTCTTGGTTCTTTCGGTAAAGTCACCACGTAGAAGGGAAGTAATAAAATAATACAAATAAAACATAATAAAATAATTCTCACGACGTTTCGGCCACAACGCAAGCAGCCGTCCTCAGGTGAAACCAGGTCTGTCGAGGCGACAGCGTCTGAATGAAACAGCACACGTGCTTGGAGCATATATATAAGCTGGGTTGGAAGGGGGGGGGGGAAAGGGCGTCTTGACAAAATAATTTGCATATCAAGAGGAATTTAGCATATTTATGGGATGCTGCTAATCCTGCATAATGCACGGACATAAGTAGTACTAATCACATACCTGCATTTCCCATAAATATGCTAAATTCCTCTTGATATGCAAATTATTTTGTCAAGACGCCCTTCCCCCCCCCCCCTTCCAACCCAGCTTATATACATGCTCCAAGCGCGTGTGCTGTTACATTCAGACGCTGTCGCCTCGACAGACCTGGTTTCACCTGAGAACGGCTGCTTGCGTTGTGGCCGAAACGTCGTGAGAATTATTTTATTATGTTTTATTTTTATTATTGTATTACTTCCCTTCTACGTGACTTTACCGAAAGAACCAAGAAGATAAACTTAGAGCTATAACGCAATACAACACAGAGTGTCGGCTAACACAACAGAGTCAACACCCTACCTGGTTGATAACGTTCTTAGAAAACAAACCTAAATTTGAGAGAGAGACAAGACACAGACACGGAGACACAAAGACAAACACACAGAGAGACAACACAGAGACACACACATAGAGAGAAAACAAACTTAAATCTTCCCCGTAGAGGTGGTTCATTCATTTTTACCTGATGACGATTGTTTGTGTTGAAATCTAAATGTTGTATTCTATTCTTTAATTTATTTTCTTTCTATGTGACTTTACTGAAAGAACCAAAAAGTAATTCCTGTAGTCACGAAAGCTCCAAATCAAGTTTTTACCAATTATATTCTTTGGGTCTTTTGGTAATTGGCCGTGTCAGGAGGTGGTGGTGGGGGGTTAACGACACATTTATATTTACGCGATCTATCACAAAAACCTTTTATTGTGACTAATATTTGTCGTGTAAGCTCTACTACGACTGAGTGTTAAATCAAATTAGACAATGCCCACCTCTTTCTCACAAGACGTGGCCAGATGTGCGTGGGTGCTCAACATGCACTTGTGAATGTGTCTGTAAGTACTTGTGTGCAAGTACGTGTGCATGTCTACATCTTCATGCTTCAGTGATCTGCATAGTATTAGAGGATTTAAGTTTGGTTTAGTAGCTATTTGACGGGTACTTTTTAGTTAAGCCATAAGCCTAATGGCAGACTTAGCATATGGATTATGTGTAAAATCCATGTTGTGTTTGACCCTGTGTAGGGGTGACGGGCTACCGAGTGCGTGGAACGCCCCTGCACGGCCAGCGCGGCCACTCGGTGGACGAGCTGGTGAGGCCTGATCAGACGTCGGTCACCGTGCAGAGACTCGCGCCCGGTGTTGAGTACAACATCACCGTCACGGCCGTCAAGAACGGTCAGGAGGGCAAACCTTCGTCCACCATCATTTCAACTGGTGAGGGCTCCTTGGCTTGCCCATGAATGGTGCATCTGATGTTTCACAATTAAGATGGCCTGGCACAGCTTATAAGAGATTTTGAAATTGGCCGACCTAGTCCAGCCAAGTGAAATTTTGTAATACAAAAATTATCTGGGGTCTGGCTTTACTCTTGCGGCAAGCTTCTCTATTTTTATTGCTTCGGGTTTGTTTTGGTCAATAAAAATTATTTAGATTTGTGGTAATTGGCATTTCACTATTTAGTAAAACCTGTACATCGAGACACACTTAAAGTAAAGCGTGGAACTTAAAAATATTATTACACGTTACTAAAAATAGACATTTCTATCAACTGTTGGAGGAAATTATCAATACAAAAAATCCATAATATAAAATCTTATTTCAAATTTTAAGCTAGTTGGCATAAAACCTACAGTGTAATCGTGCAATAGTATTCCTCCAAAGCCCACCCTTCCCATGGAACGTGCTTGCTATCTTCGTACCAGCCATTCTCTGCAGCCCCTGTGAACCCTCCCATCCTATGAAACGTGCTCAGCTGTTTTGGCCTGGTCGCCTTTGAAAAGAAACTTCTTAGCTCAATGGGCTTGACCCGATACAAACTGACTGGCTGATATGTCAAGGTAAAACAATGTTTTTAAAACGGAAAAAAAATTTCAAAGCGTACTTTCTTGAACAACTTGGAGTACTTAAATATTACAATGGCATATTAGTGAGTTGCATTTATTGTAGCGAGCAGTTAACATGCCGCAGTGTTGTATTAAAATTTCAGGCGAGCAAACTTGACAACCTTTCACACTATGTTCAATCTGAAGGGATAAGTCAGCTTGGCACACGTGTGTATTTCAGTTCCCTCAAATAAATGTGGAGTTCAAATATATTCTAATGCCATTCACCGTAACCCAAGATCTAATGCTTTCATGTCCTAACATGCAGAAGTTAATGTGGCAATGACTGAATATGTGCATTTATTCATTAATGTTGAACACTGCAACCAAGCTTGAACTGTATCTGATTTAACTGTGCTCGCTAACCTCACTCTGCATTTGGCTTTGAAGCTGGTGACCGGGTGGTCGTAGTCACCCCACGGCCGTCTGATCTCAGCTTCACCGACGTGAGCGACACCTCTCTGGTGCTGCGCTGGACCCCGCTGACCGTGCCTGGCATCACGGGCTATCGCGTGACGGTGTCTCTGCCGGGCGACTCCGTGCCCCTCCTGGAGGACAGCGTGGGGCCTCAAACGGGGGTCTATGCCGTCGAAGGCCTCCGGCCCGGCGTGGTTTATGATATTGGGGTCTCAACGCTGACGGAGGACGGGGAGAGTGAACCTGCACGGCGCTCGCATACCACTGGTGAATTCCACAGTCATTTGTCTCATCTGTCGTTCAATTTAACATCATGTTGGCCAGTTCAGCTTCATCCCGCATTACTGGGAGCCTCACTTTGCACCATCTCTGCTCAACTTGAGGTCTGAGTTCAGAAGTATGGGGAGAGTTAACCTTGAAATGTAACTACGTTAAGTGTCAAGTTATTGTAATGCGAGTTCACAGATTTAAAGTCGTCTTTCTCTCCTGTCTCCACCACAGCACCGGGTTCCCCGCATGACGTGCAAGTGAGCCTGAACTCGGATACCGGAGCACTGACCATCACCTGGCAGAAGGTTCCCACTCCAGGTGCAGTGATGTTCTCTAGGCACAAATTACAAATGTATCGTTTGTCAGCTGCCTAGTATTTCACGTGACAAAGTAATTTTCAAAGAAGATCAACACGGATGATACATGTGCAGGGAGGTGAAAGGTTGAGTGACACTTTATTTTTCAAATGATTGTGGCCTAACCCAAACAACAATCAAGTTTACCTTTTTTGTTACTGTGTCAGCTCAAGTAGGTGGAATGAGGCATTCTCTTACTTGGTAGTAAAATGAAACCATGGTAAATAACACCTACAGAGATGGACAACATTTTACATATAAATTTTGAGTAATCTAATATAGACGAGTTACAAATTAACCTCGTTTCGCCTAGTTTAGATGCACATTACCAATTACTTTGAGGTGTGTTCTTTAGATGCAGTTTACAAAATAATTGAGATTATGTATTTCTATTGGATGTAAGTTAGATGACACTGGTCAACACACTTTTTCTGGCATAAGGTTTTAAGGGTGCTGATTTCAAATCTGGCATCAGTTTTTGCCTATCACATCAAGTTTTTGAGATATCAAATATTGCATTTTCAATAAAAACTGCAGAAGAAAAATATTAAATAAATGTGGATATCTACATAAAATGATATTTTAAACACACTATCCTAGAAATACAGCACCATATGTTTACACTAAAGCAGTCACTGACTTGCAACAACTTGCAATCATAAGTGACAGAGTTAATTTCGGGTAAAATCAATGAAAATAGGGTATGCCGATAGCATAAAATGAGATGTGATAGAGCAATTCTGAGATCAGATTTGGAATCGGCACCCTGAAATTAGTCTAAAACAGCTGCAAAAGTCCAGGCCAGAAAAAAGGTTTTTTTTGTTGACCTGTGTAATTCACAATTAAGGTTTTTGGGTTAGATTGTGTAAATAATAAATGTGCCAAGTTCGTGTGCGCATCTATAACTTCATGTTCCAGTGATCCACATTGTATTAGAGCATTCAAGTTCGAATTTGTAGCTATTTGAAGGGTACATTTTAGTTCAGCCATGGGCCTAATGGGAGATTTGGCATATGGAGTATGTGTAATATCCAAGTTGTGTTTGACCCTGTGTAGGGGTGACGGGCTACCGAGTGCGTGGAACGCCCCTGCACGGCCAGCGCGGCCACTCGGTCGACGAGCTGGTGAGGCCTGATCAGACGTCGGTCACCGTGGAGGGGCTCACGCCCGGTGTTGAGTACAACATCACCGTCACGGCCGTCAAGAACGGTCAGGAGGGCAAACCTTCGTCCACCATTGTTTCAACTGGTGAGGTTCCTTGGCTTAGCTGGATTTTGATTGTTTTCTGAAAACAATATTTTTTTTGCGTCCAATGTTGTTTTTCCTTCCAGCTGTTTTGCCAGTTTAAACTATTGTCTGGGGCATTGTGCATTGTGTGCGATTTCCAAATGTTATTACACATTGCAATTCGACTAAAAATAAATGTCTGCCATCTGCATTTGTAGATTTATTTGTATATTCTGACATTGAAAATACTCTTCATAAAACCAAAAATAGCAAAGCTTAAGTGGCTGGCGGTAAACCAACACTCTTCACGTGACAATGAATAAAAACACTATTAACATATATTTTTTATTATAATTGCTTTTATTAAAATGGGGTGATGTTAGTGAGTTGCACAGTTTATAACCAATTGTTTACATGCCCCAATGTCATATATTGAAAGTGAGCAAACTGGACACACTTACAAATGAGATATTCCTTGTCAAGAGATTATCATGAATTATATTTAAATTAATAAATAAGTCTGACTTTAATCTGGCAAGACAATTATTGACTGCAGCTGAGCATGCAAGTGTGTTTCAGTCACTTCTCAGTTAAAGGTTAATACCAATGTAATGTGAGAGAATTGCAATCCTGCATATATGCTACAGATATACAAACGTATTTATATTCTATGGTTATTCACCATAATCCAAAATCCTAATGCCTTTGTCCTAGCATGTGGAGGTTCATGTGGCTAAGGCTGAATGTGTTTTATTTTCTTTAAAGAATGTTGAACAATGCAATCAAGCTTAAAGTGCATCTGATTTAACCATGCTCGCTAACCTCACTCTTCGTTTGGATTTTAAGCTGCCGACCGGGTGGTCGTAGTCACCCCTCAGCCATCCGATCTCAGCTTCACCAACGTGAGCGACACCTCTCTGGTGCTGCGCTGGACCCCGCTCTCTCTGCCTGGCATCACGGGCTATCGCGTGACGGTGTCTCTGCCGGGCGACTCCTCGCCCCTCCTGGAGGACGTCGTGGGGCCTCGCACGGGGGTCTATGCCGTCGAAGGCCTCCGGCCCGGCGTGATTTATGATATCGGGGTCTCCACGCTGGCGAAGGACGGGGAGAGTGAACCTGCACGGCGCTCGCAGACCACCGGTGAATGCCACAACCATTTGCTTCATCTTTCGTTCAATTTGATATCACATTGTGCCAGTTTATCTTTGTCTTGCACCATTCCTAGCCTCGCATTGCACCATCATTGCTCAACTTTATTTCTGCATTAAGAACCGTTGGGAGTTGTTAACCTCGAAACGTAACCAGCCTTACTTTTATACGCGTTACAAGTGTCAAGTTATTGTCACGCGAGTTCACAGATTTAAAGTCGTCTTCTCTCTCCTGTCTCCACTGCAGCACCGGGCTCCCCGCAGGACGTGCACGTGAACCTGAACTCGGATACCGGAGCGTTGACCATCACCTGGCAGAAGGTTCCTACTCCAGGTGCAGTTTATATTTGACGTCGATGTGGAGAGTTGCCTTCTATTTAATTTCAGCGTTTGTCAGTTGCTGACTATTTCACGTGCCCGTATCAAGTATGTCCTTCTTTTATGTGTATTGGCAAAGTTGCTCAATTGGGATTGCATGCTGCAGTCATTGGCCCCCTACTGGCTGACTATGTTCTTGCAGACCAGCTGCTTGAGTCACCTTGTGCCGCATGGCGACTAGTTATGCACGTGTTATCATGAGGGCCTGCCAAGTGTTTTTCGAGTGCGGGGCGATAATTGCTTCATAGATTCAAAAAGAGTATTTTTTTGGGAGTAAATTTTAAAAATTCGGACCGTGATGCTGGGACCCAGAGGACATCTGTGAAAAAGATCTTCATAGCTCATTGGATTCCTCCGGCATAAATACAAATTCTCATTCTGCACTGTTTTCCGGATGGCCTCGCGTGAGCTTTAAAACGCCCACTGTGAAGCAGATGGAACGTTGTATTTTACGGTTAATACACCCGCAGTATTTATCGGAACGGCCGCTCAATTTGAAAATCTGATCCTATGACAAGTGGCGTACGCATAACTGCTCGGCCATGTCACTACCCCAGGTCGTTCCAGAGGGAGGTGACCTTTCAAATGTTCTAGATGAGATGTACGTTGCTTGTCGTGTGTAAAGCGAGATGCCCTGGCGTAAAAGAGGCACTCTTATCAAAAACAAATTGGTCATTCTATTCTTGATTGTGATATATCCGGAAGCTAAATGCCAACGTTGGGGGGTCTGCTGGCCACAATTAGAGGGCTTCAGGCGAGAGTTTTGTGTAGTGTTGTTGTTGTTGTTCCTCCTCCATTGAGGCAGCACAGATCGCCGTGGCTTCCTATACGGCCCATAGTTTGGGTTGCATGGCCACCACAACCGCACTGCTGTGGCTTTTCTTTAAATTTCCATTCATGACGGAAATGAGCACATAGTCGTGTTGTTGTTCTGATGCAGTTATTGGTTACACCGGTGTCTGCGAGGAGGAATGTCAGAGGCAGGAGGTGCGATGTTTTGTGGTCTCGATTGAGATGTAATTTTTTAAGTTACATTTTGGTACCCGTAAAGTCTGTGAAAGGAAGGAGGCTTGATGTGTCTCTTGATTTTAAGCGAGTTTCAGCGATGGTAAATAACATCCTTCACGAAGCCTGGCTACGGGTGTGGATATAGACACGGGCTTGTGTGCATGTGAGCATGTGTGTGTGTGTGTGCGTGTACATTTTGGGGAGCGGTGGCACAGTGGTTAGCACGCTGCGCTCTGAAACCGGTGACCCGGGTCCAATTTACGTTATGGCCAACACCAGTGGCTGATCTGAACCAGTCCTGGGTCTCCCCATAGGTCGACTTTGCCTTAAGTACCTGGTGCGGTGTGTAAACATCACGATTTGGGTAACAAAGGTAGCTGGGCATGGTGCTGGCCACCCTCCCCCTCGTCTGCCATGCTGGGCTTCATAGGGGCTCTCTTAACAACACTTGCCCCAACAGTCTGTTAAGGGGGTCTTTGTGCATCTGCATTTGCACATGTATGTCCGTTTGTGTGTGATGATGGGGCAGTGTCCCCATTGTTCTTTGTGTCTCTGAAACGTAGTTGAATTCATCCTTAAGAATGTAAGGAGAGTAATTTTACTTCAAATCAAAACCGTGGTCTCCCTGTGCCATGCTCGCCTCCTTCAGCAGTGGAGCAAACTCGTCATTGCTCTGGCAGGGGCCAGTCTCTTCAAATGATAACCTCTCCTTCCACAGTGATGCTCATTTTAACAAATCCTGAAGGATTGCAGAATTGATTCATGACACTTATTAGAATATTTAAACTTAAGATTGAGAGTTCAAGTGCACTGTCCAGCCAGATTAAAATATGTATATCTATGTGTCAAATATTTAATGTTACCGTAAAGTGCATTGTTTATATTTTTGGTTTTATTTTTCCATTTAATGCAATTATACCTTCACAATTTGTATTCATATCGCACTTTTATAAAAACCGCTTTCCCAAAACGTTCACGAATAACAACAACAATCGGGGAAATGAAAGAGAACCGTTTCAGTCCCTCACTAGAAATCGATTTCTACCTCCTTAATGTTATAAAACAGGTCCCCTTAACGATTTGTCTCTTTCGCATTTTCAGTTGTGCGGGAGACGAATTACCAACTTGGCTTATTTCGTAACTTTATATTCTCCGCAACGATGCAATTGATCATTGTCTTTGTGATTTCAATATCGAAGTGGGATCCATGTCCAACAGAGGGAGGGGGGGGGGGTCCTTGCCCATAGACATTGTGCAGTTCACGAGCATTGGTAGAGGCAACCCTAACTGCTGATGAGACGCTGAATGTTGAAACCCGTCCAGAGGTTTTTCTTGCGTTGAAGTGATGCTGCCGAAATGTTAGTGCAGTTTGATATTGGATATTTGACAGGTTATTTTTAGTTTTAAGCTGGGAGACGGCATATGGAGTATGTGTAATATCCACGTTGTGTTTGACCCTGTGTAGGGGTGACGGGCTACCGAGTGCGTGGAACGCCCCTGCACGGCCAGCGCGGCCACTTGGTGGACGAGCTGGTGAGGCCTGATCAGACGTCGGTCACCGTGGAGGGGCTCACGCCCGGTGTTGAGTACAACATCACCGTCACGGCCGTCAAGAACGGTCAGGAGGGCAAACCTTCGTCCACCATACATTCAACTGGTGAGGGCTCCTTGGCTTGGTAACGCACCTCAATGGTCTATCTGATGTTTTGCAATGAAAATTGCTTGGCACGGCTTATGCGAGCCTAGTAAGGCACTTTGAAATTGCTGACTGGTTTGCTGCGCGCTCTCTGACCCTGGCATCTTCTTATTCATGCAATGATGCACCCTCTTTGCCATGTGATGAATGTTCACAATTTGGCTCATGATTGGGTTAAGTGATTTAATCTTTTTCTCAATATTGCATACCTGCCAACCCATACGGTTTACCCGTATTCTTTCCATTGAAATTGAGTTTTCAGGTTCATACGGTGTACGGCCGTTTCAATAGGGCAAAAAATATATATTTGTTTGTGTTTCTCCCTTGTGATGGGACTTTGTAGGATGAATGTTCAGATTTATAAGGGCACGGGGTGACCATTAAGGTCTGAATTGGTCTGTAATAAGGTAGGCACTTATAAGGGGTTGACAGGTATGACATTGTGTTTAAATTTACTGCCTCTGGCAGCTGCAGGGTGTCGTATGCACTTGTTGTATAGAACATTGAGAAACAGTTGCATTTTGACCTGCAGATTATTTAAATATATTTTAAACTTTACAAGTAAGAACATGATCCAAAACGCTTATTTGAGCATGCTAGCCCGCAGCTCATTGTAAACTGCTGTGCTCTTGCAGCAGTAATCCATTATCATTAATGCTACGCTTATCTAATCGGCAAAACGTTGCTTGAAAGCTTTCTCAGCTGACTGCACTGAAGCCTACGCTTGCTGACAACTCTGTCCACTGTGCTTTCACGCTGCTGCCGGCCGGCTGGCCATAGCCGTCCCCCAGCCGTCCGATCTCAGCTTCGCCAACGTGAGCGACACCTCTCTGGTGCTGCGCTGGACCCCGCTGTCCCTGCCTGGCATCACGGGCTATCGCGTGACGGTGTCTCTGCCGGGCGACTCCTCGCCCCTCCTGGAGGCCGTCGTGGGGCCTCGCACGGGGGTCTATGCCGTCGAAGGCCTCCGGCCCGGCGTGGTTTATGATATTGGGGTCTCCACCCTCGTGGAGGACGGGGAGAGTGAACCTGCACGGAGCTCGCAGAGTACTGGTGAATGTCACAGCCATTTGTCCATACCTCCCGATTAGCACGGTTGGCTACGTACGGTGCGAAAGAAGTTCAACATACAGACATAATTATTCTTTGTTTTTTTCGGTAAAGTCACGTATAAAGATAAAATAATAAATTAAATAATAGCATACGACGTTTCGATTGCAACACAAGCAATCATCATCTGTCTATTTAAGGCCACCCCACAGAGACGATCACCCCTCTCTGTACCTGGGTTGCTCTCTCTATGTATCTTGGTGATATCTGTCTGCTTATATGTCTGTCAATAGTTTTCTGGTTAGATTCTATGTCGCTATTTCATTATACCTGATGATGATTGCTTGTGTTGCAATCGAAACGTCGTATGCTATTATTTAATTTATTATTTTATCTTTATACGTGACTTTACCGAAAAAACCAAAGAATAATTCCTGCAGTCACGAAAGCTCCAAAATTAAGATACAGACATAAGTTTAATCTTTTTTTTATGACTACTCTCGTTTACCAAGAAAACATTGCTGGATCTATTTCATGAGGGTGCTTCCAAGGTTGCATGTGGGAGTATTTTGTGCAAGTGAGCCTTTTTCATTGTGCATACGTTGGGGATCATTTGTCCCATAGATATAAATATATCTGCTCACCCGAGCTCTAAATTCCTCAATGTTTGCATTGCCTTCGTATTGTTTGCATTTTGGCATTCTCTGGTCTAACGCCGGTGAGACAGATCCATAAAGAAGGCTGTCCCTGGTGTCGGCCAATCAGTTTCAAAGACAATGCATACATTTTTCTTTGAGTCTTTCGGTAAAGCCACGTAGATAGAACAAACATGGGTGGCTTTCCTGTAGAGAGTGTCCCATTGAGCCATCGGGTTTCTTTTCGATTACAATATTACGACGTTTCGATCGCAACACAAGCAATCGTCATCAGGTGAAAAATATAGCAGGGAGAGCTGCTGAGAATATATGGTGGGAGCGCTGCTAAGGCGGGAAGTTTTAAAGGTTTGAGATGGGTGTAGCCCAAGGGTCAGTGGGCGGTGCTAGAGATGAAATTTGCATGTTAATGTAAGATCGGAGAAATGTTGACAAACGAAGCTGTGGGATGGTCATTGAATTGTTAGAGATTAACATGTCAATGTAAGAAATTTGCTTGTAAATGTAAGCTCGGAAAGAGCCATTGCAACATGTAACTCAGAGAGTCGAAAATAACTGCTCTGTTGCTCTGATTGATGACAATCTTGTCACCATCTAACTTTTTAATGTATGGATCCGGCTTCTTCTTTCCATCTCCGTGTTGCGATGGCTCTTTCCGAGCTCTCTCCGAGCTTACATTTACAAGCAAATGCCTTGACATGCTAATCTCTCACAATGCAATGGCCACCCCCAAAGCTTCGTTTGTCAAGACTTCTCTGATCTTACATTTACATGCAAAATTCATCTCTAGCCCTGCCCACTGACCCTTGGGCTACACCCATCTCAAACCTTTATAACTCCCTGCCTTAGCAGAGCTCCCACCATGATGTATTCTCAGCAGCTCTCCCGCTGTATTTTTCACCTGATGACGATTGCTTGTGTTGTGATCGAAACATCGTGATATTGTAATCGAAAAGAGACCTGATGGCTCAATGGGACACTGTCTACAGGAAAGCCACCCATATTTGTTCCATCTACGTGGCTTTACTGAAAGACCCAAAGAATATGAATTCCTGCAGTCACGAAAGATTTAAGTAAAGATTTAATGTATACATTACATCACATTTGTTTGCATGTTTAATGCAGACTTGATGACGCCTTGCAATGGGTGTCTATTTGGTGTTTGAACATCTTACCACTTTCTGTGTTATTGCCAGAAAGAGTAAAGCCTATTATTTTTCATCACCTACCCCGTGATCCAGTTATTTTGCAAAAGATTGCAAATAACAGAAATAATAGCACAACTTATCTGTTTTAAATGTGAATAATAGGAATAAAAGTAAAGTTTGTATTGCCTTTGCGCACTGTTTATACAGTGTTATAGTTATACGTGAATTTGCGCATGAGTGAGACCTGGTGTCTCAAGTTGAATCCTAGAACAGCTCGATCTCACGGCTAAGACAGGGCAAGCAACATTCACCAGTGGTGTTACCCGTCGCCCCTGTGGACTTCTCAATTATCTTGTGAACATGCTTGTACCGTACGTGTGCATATTTATAAAAATGGCATGCGAGTTTTTACGTCATGAACATGTTAGTACTTTACGTGTGTACGTTTTAAGAAATCGTAAAATGTGCGCACGGGTGTTTGCGTCACAGTTGTTGGACCGCCGAAGGATGTGCACGTGGACTTGAGCCCGGACTCCGGGGCGCTGACGATCACGTGGCAGCGAGTGACGGCTCCAGGTACTGCCTCGGGAGGAGAAGTCGGTTGTTGTGTTATCGAGTTCCTTTCCCAGATACCCACGTCTCCAATTAGCATAGTTTTGGCAACATAAGGTGCGAAAGAAGTTCAGCAGATACACTCGGGAGGGTGGAAAGCACAGATGACCAAATATACGATGAACAGTGGGGGGGGGGGGGGGGTATAAGTTTCGGAGGGCGTTGGGCACAGGCGCTGAAAGAGAGGCCTGCCAATAATTGCCCGGAATGAGCGTTTGCTCGCGGAGGAGGCCGCATTCATCCGAGCGGAGTCTGTGACACTGAGAGAGAAACGTTATATTAGCCATGTGAATGTGAATTACAATACCAGGGCAAGGCCTACTTAGCTCCATATCACTTTTAGATAGCTCAACGAAGTGGTCTATGTGGAAATTTCTAGCAACCAGACTGTCTAAATGCATGCAATGGCATCGTGTAAACTGATTCAAATGTCAACTGTCACCCCCTCCCTCTTTGTTTAATTATAATGTTTCACGATTCCCCCCTTGTCATCACACAAAAATAAAAACATACTCAAAACATACATGGTAAATAAATAGAAATTGGGACGTAACTAAAATCTTTTACACTTTTTTTAAATTGTATTTATCAATGAATAATGATGATGAAGAAGGTGAAGATGTTGGTGTGGTTGTTGGAAGGGGCTTCCGTGGTGTAGGACTGTGTACGAGATGCTGGTCACTCGTGGGGCTAGAGAGCACCGCGTGAGTGTTGGGGAGGGGAGATGGTGACGAGACATTCATCTACTGTACTGTACAGTAGAGTGGCCCATCCCCTACTTGTCGATGCGGAGTTGAGAATCTTAGCAACGTTCTTAAAAATAAGTAAACCGTTTGTAGCCGATAATAAAGGGGGAGGGTGGGTTTTTGTTAAAGTGCGTAAATATAAATGGGTCGTTAAACCCGCCACTACCTGACACAGCCAATTGGTAAGGTTTGTCACTTAAACAGGACGTGCCAGTTAGTTACTACTTCAGCACACCGGTGTGTGGGAGAGTAAACCCACGACATTTACAATTCGAGCGACGTTTTGCTGGTGATTACAACCAGCTTGGCAGAATTGTGATTAATTATAGATAATATTGGTCGCAAAATCCAACGTGTTTAAATGTGTATAGCCGAAAGACTCGTTCGATAAAACAGCGTTGGGCGAGGTGCGACCGACCGTCTTGCGAAATGCGCGGCATGGGGTGCGTGGATCGTTGGCCGTGTGTTATATTTTTTTCCGTCGCTAGGCCTGACCGGGTACCGCGTGCGCGGGACGCCACTCCACGGGCAGCGAGGCAACTCGGTGGATGAGCTCGTGGCGCCGGACCAGACTTCGTTTTCCCTGGACGCCCTCACGCCTGGCGTTTCGTACAACATCACCATCACCGCCGTCAGCAATGGCCGCGAGAGTACACCCTACTCCACCACAATCTCCACCGGTATTTTGCCCTCTTTTAACCCCCGTTCCCGTTCCATGACGTCTGAAGATGTGGGGTGGAACGGTGTCTTTCTACCGCTGAATCTCAGAACGAGCGAGCGGCTCGGCATGAATTTTGTTCAGAGAGGCACGTAGTGGCACCATTGTTTTTGAAAACCTTGTACTCGTCCGCAGAGAATCGTAGCGACACTGACCGCACTCTACAATAGTTGGTGCTACACTGTGCCACACGCCCTCCCGCATGGCCTTGTGGGAGCCTCGGTACCGATCAAGTTATTTTATTTTAGTTTTTCTTCCGGTTTAATTTTGATCTACACTTCCGTCATAACGGAATCGAAAGTAAAACTGATGATGTGCACATACCGTCATCCCGAATGGAAAAGGGTTAAAGTGCCCTCTCAGGCGCACAAATAATGTACATGACATGACGAGTTAACGTGGTGTGAAGGCAGCCATTACATGTACACAAATGTAATTACAAACACGTATCAGTTATTTGAATAATAATAAACGTAATTTAAATCGCGCACATCTTTTGCGAATCGGTTGCATTGTTCTAAATGGGTTAATGGTTACACTCAAGTTAATGTAGTGTTGTGCGCGAAGCTATAATTTCCCAAAATATTTCAAATTACCAACTTGCTACCTGGCCTCTTATGTTTTTTTCTCTCTGGATACTGTGGTGTGCTAGCACATGCAAAGTTGTTGAGGAATTGTTCTAAAGGTTTCATGCAGAACCCTTCTGAAAATGACATGGTGGGGATTTCCTAAATACATTTTCTGAAATGTTGATTTGAAGCCATGCGAGGTAGGTGAGAGATTAAATTCACTGTAGATTAAAATGTATGCACGTTGAACTTCTTTCGCACCGTACGTAGCCAACCATGTTAATCGGAGGTGCGGGGGAAGGACAACAAACTAAACACAAAAACACGTATAAAACACTTACATTTACAAAACATTGCTTGATTCTACGGATCTACAAATACTCAGCCTTTAATACTTTACATTAGTTCCTGAAATATTTATTATTTTATTTTGGAGATTGAATTCAAGTGGTCCTCTCAAGAATGTGACATATCCCCCGTTTTTCTTCTGTTTGGCTGTAGACATTCCCCAGCCGTCTGATCTCGGCTTCACCAACGTGAGCGACACCTCTCTGGTGCTGCGCTGGACCCCGCTCGCCCTGCCTGGCATCACGGGCTATCGCGTGACGGTGTCTCTGCCGGGCGACTCCTCGCCCCTCCTGGAGGACGTCGTGGGGCCTCGCACGGCGATCTACGCCATCGAAGGCCTCCAGCCTGGCGTGGTTTATGATATCAGCGTCTCCACTCTTGTGGAGGATGGGGAGAGTGAACCTGCACGGCGCTCGCAGACAACAAGTAAAGAATATAAATCCTTTCTCTCAATTCTTCTTCCTCGTGCCAATTTAATTTTTTCTAAAACTCACAAAGACATTGACGATCGGCGTACGATATTAGTGCGCACCTCCGATTTAGCACGGTTGGCTATGTACGGTGCGAAAGAAGTTCAACATTTTTTTAAATCAACAATATCAATGGATTTCTAACGAGCTGTCCGCATGTACTTGCAGTTCTCATGCCACCACAGGACGCGCAAGTGGATTTCAACTCTCCCAGTGGAGTTCTCACCATCTCCTGGCAGAGAGTCGCCGTGCCCGGTGAGCCTTTGAAACATCAACGTGTTTTATCGTTAAGGAAGCCAATCGGCCACGTCATCGTGCACCTAACCAGATCTCTTCCCCAGCCCTCCGCCGTGCTCCTCAATCAGCCCAACTATCCGGCCACCAGACCTCTTTCCCTACCATCCTTCACCTACCCTCATCCATGCCCAGCAACAGCGCCTATCTATCTTATCACTTCACGCATGTGCCCCGCTGTCTCATCCATTTTGCACCCATCTGTCACCCTCCTTCACCATCACACTCCACCTTATTCCTCCTTCCCTACCCTTACAAAATCAGGTCCATTCCCAGCCCCTGTCCCTCCGTCCGTTCCATCACCTCCCTCATTGACAGCCATTCCACCCCACGCGTTCATCCTCTTCTGCCCCGTTGTGTATCGCTGTTGGTTTGCTTTGTAAAGCGCCCTGGAAAGGGCGCTATATTAGTTCTAAATAGAATAGAATTGTTATTTACAGGAAATATGATGTCCATCTGTCTAAACACTTCACATGTTATCGCTGTGTGAGGCTATAGACCATGGCTTGCCAATTCATACCAATGCCTACATCCAGGTCCTATTTTTGGCGAGATGGACAATTGAAAATATGAATTCCCGCTGTTAAACCTATAGACACGAGAGCAAAGCAAGGAAACTCGCAACCCTGAAAGATAAAATGGTACAAAAGCTGAAAAGTACGCGAATAAATGTGGAGCTGTGCACGTTTAGAACAACAGAGAGAGCAACTCGTGCATTAAGAAGCTAATATAGAATGTAATTTTATATTTACACGGAGCCTTCCATCATGGGCTTAACATAGTTAAAAAAAAACCATGGCAGAATAGAATGATTTAGATGGCAGGGTTCATGCTACAAGGAATGAGGAATGAGTGACCGCTATGGAGGATACTTGGGGATCACGAAAGAGTTCGGGGAGGCACGGGAAAGTGGAGGGGCGAGGGAAGAGGACTAGAATGCACATTAGAGAAGATGTCATCTTCATACTAACTGAACAAACCTCATGCTATTTGTAAAAACAAAAAACCCATTGGTTAATGGGCTTGGACAAGACTGGAAGGGATGGATGAGAATGGTAGCCACGGGAGAGAGTGCACCTGAGATGAGCCATTCACCACGGAGAACGGAAGCCATTGGGCCATGTCGATACGCTTCAACTAAGAAAGTGGTGGTTTCACCGGTTCTCGTGCCGGCTGTACGTTCTGCGGCTCTGGGCGCGCGCCGTGCGCTATCCGCTGACCCTTTTGCCGGTTTCCCACCCCCCTCCCGCCGCTTGCAGGGCTGACGGGGATACCGGGTGCGCGGGGTCCCCCTGCGTGGGCAGCGTGGAAACTCACTCGACGAGCTACTGAGGCCCGACCAGACGTCCTTCGCGTTGGACGGCCTCACGCCCGGCGTGGAGTACAACATCACGGTCGCCACAGTCAAGGGCGTCCTGGAAAGCAAACCCTTCTCCACCACGCTCACCACCGGTAAAGTCCGCTCGCGAGCCAGCGTTCTGTTCAATTGTTTGTTTTCATCCGAGACGCTCGCGCTGAATTTTTTGCTGCCGCTGGAAGAGAGACACCAGGAAAAACGACCGTTCGCATTTTAAACACTTCACCGGGCGCCCAGATGAAGGGCGCAGCGTCACTGCTGTCCAGGGGTGCGCTCTGCGTGACGCTGCAGCGTAAAGCGTGAGCGAGCGACGGTTTGCTGCTTCGTTGCTGCCCTGCTTTTTCGGCGGCTTCAGCAGGCTGCTGGCGCTGCCGTTGCACCTAGCTGGCTCTGACGCAGCATTAACGACTCTGCGAATGGTGCTGCTCAACGCTGCTCTTGCAAATTCGTTTTTTGTTTAAACGCTTTTCTCTTCCATTGCTTCGTCTGTTGCCGGTTTTGTACGTTCATAATTTGAAAGTGTTGCGAATTCAAAGCTTTTGGAGCTTACGATATTTATCCTTGTATTCTGTACCAAAAAGATACTTGACCATGGGTACAGGTACTGTTAGCATCTAACAACCACCGCCAGAAGTGCGGAGGTGCAGTGAACTATAGGTCCATGCTGCACCCTAACTCCATGGGGGATGGGGTGCAGTGAAAAAAATCATTTAGCTCGATAAAGAACCCGGATAACTGGAAGAGCGATCTGTGATCTGCCAACCCCAGGTTAACCACACCACGGATAAACCATCCCCAGGATAACCAGACCACGGATAACTGGAGTTCTACTGTATATATGAATACGTATTTACATTTGTGCATAAAATCCACTACATTAGTGATCATTTGATAAAAATTAGTTTTGCATCCATTTAATTCCAAAAGCTTTGCATTACATTTTTTGGAGTCTCATTGAAAGCCCAAACGTCCTCCCCATTTAACATCACTATCGCAAGGCCTGTATTTACGTGTGGTGGTTAAAACAACCGTTGTTCTCAGTGAGTTTTATACTAAACCATTACCAACAAAACCACGTGTTGCTTCGAAATGCTTGACCAAATGATGCACGTTTGTTAATTGTCACCATCGGCTTTGCGCTTGGAAATAATGTTGCTGTCCTTCGCTCGTCTAACTCGGCTGCATTTAATCTGCGCTTGCTGATCCTTAATTTCGCTTTGCTGCTGCGGCCGGCTGGCTGGCCGTAGACCTGCCTGAGCCGTTCGATCTCAGCTTCGCCAACGTGAGCGACACCTCTCTGGTGCTGCGCTGGACCCCGCTCGCCCTGCCTGGCATCACGGGCTATCGCGTGACGGTGTCTCTGCCGGGCGACTCCTCGCCCCTCCTGGAGGCCGTCGTGGGGCCTCGCACGGGGGTCTACGCCGTCGAAGGCCTCCGGCCCGGCGTGGTTTATGATATTGGAGTCTCCACCCTGGTGGAGGACGGGGAGAGTGATCCTGCACGGCGCTCGCACACCACTGGTGATTGTGGACACTCTCAGATGGGGAAAACGCACCAATGGGGATTTTTTTCTATACAATCGCAGTGTTCTTGTAATGGTTCTGTAATGCACGTACAACAACCGCGGGGGTTACGTTCCTGAAAACCGCCGTGGTTGGTTCTACGAAGGCCTTGTGGGAAATGGGGGGTTAGGGGCAACCGCGTCCGTGGTGGTCACACTAGTAATGTTGCACGTTACGTCACTAAACACAAATAAAATAGACACCAACGTAATACAAAACAATAAATGTTCAAATAAAATGATTAAAAACAATACAATCATGTTATTTAACTTTTAAGACTAAGGGTTGAAGTCCATGTTGATGAATGTGATGAGGTAATGGGGTTGTTAGAAGGAAGAGGAGGAGGGGCTTTGCCCACCCTGCACCTGGTGGTGGTGGGAAGAGAGCTGTGGTGGGAGCTGGGAGATAGACGATGCACGGAGAGAACGTCAATGCGGGGTCATTTAAGATTGCAAGTGCCGGTTGCCGTGCTAAACCGCGGAGACGCAAAACTCCATACCGCGGTGAGAACATTGGTATGCCGAAGGAAAACCGTTGATGCGAAACTAAACAATTGAACTAAACTAAACAATTTTTATTTTACCAGATAAAGCTCACTGAGCTATGTAGCTCTTTTATAGAAGCAACCTGGCCACAAGCGATAACTCAACAAAGTGGCTTATGTGGAAATGTATAGCAGACAAATACTCTAAATGCATGTTAATAAATGCAGATGGTAAAACCGGAGGACCTATAGAAAAATCCACTCGACCACGGGGAGAACACGCACACTCCAAATATACAGCAGGCGTCGGGGTCGGGATCGAACCCGCGACCTCCTGTATGCCGGGCGAGGTAGTTAATATCTCGCCACCTCAGCTGTTGGTCAGGGATTGCTGTATTACATAGTACATATACAGGACCTCCTTTACCCATGTTTCCAACAAGAGGACTCTTCACCCTTCCGAGTCTGGCCCGTTGTGCGTGTGCCGAGGTCGCGTCTCTGGACGACGACGATGATGGGTGACCACCTGGCCTCTCCTCACCTGGCCCCGGGTTGTGGAATTCACTGTCACTGGACGCTCGATCTGCTGACCCCCCCCCCCCCTCCACATGTTTTTGGGGTTAGATTTTATTCGTGTAAGCCTGCACGTGTGTGTGTGCATGTTTTGTGCAGGGGAGCGGTAGTGTAGTGGTTAGCTCGCTGCGTTAGGAACCCACCAGTGACAGTTATCTGAACCGGTCCTGGGCCTCCCCTAGGTCGACTCGCCCTCAAATGATTTCCTGGCGTGGTGTGTAAATATCACCACTGGGGAGACGAAGGCGACTGGGCGTGGCGTTGGCCACCCACCCCCTCGTGTGCCGTTCCGGCCCTCGTAGGTGCTCGCTAACAGCACTTGCCCCAACAGTCTGTTCAGGCTTCACGGGGAAATCTTTGCCTTTGTGTGTACAGTGCCTTGTGACCTCCAGGTGAAAGGTGCTCGAGGAGTGTAAATTATTATTATTATTACTTTATTGGTTTAATATCAATCTTTCGGTAAAGTCACGTATTAATATATTGTAGACATAATTGTTCACACATTATTGTGGATGTTAAGGGATTCTGGCGCGGTGGTGTAACTGGAAATGCAATCCCCAGAGATCACCGCTTTGATTCGATCTCCCGGTGTGGCTATCAAAACAATGGACCCATCTCCTTAAATCCCGCCCTCTCATCTCTTGACTACCCAGTGGTGTAAATGGAGGTGGGGGGGATATCACGTGAGGTGGGGTAAAGTGTGAGTACCCCCACCTCTTGAAAGGCGTCTGGCTAGCGTGGAAGGGTAGACCCAAAAACCACCCTCCTTGAGCTCACGCGAGATGAGGTCATACGGTCATCGGGATCGTCGGCAAGCATTTCCAGGGCTCCACCCTTACCGCTCATTGTAAAGAAGCCAAAACGCTGCTGTGCTTTTATCGGGGCGCATGCCGCGGAGCACACGGGCAAAATGCTCTCGCGCCTTCATCCACGAACGTGTGCGTCTGTCAACAGAGCTGGGCCCTCCCAGGGATGTGAAGGTGGAATCGAACGATGAAACCGGCGAACTCACCATTACGTGGCAGAGAGTTTCATCGCCAGGTGAGAGTTTTAATAAAAAAAAGACTTATCTGCCATTTACATCCGGGCGCCTTTTTGAGTGCTGTGCATGCGATTAAACGGCTCGCGTCTCGTCTGAGACGTTTGAAATGAGGCTCCGCCAGCGGCAGCTGTTCCCGTGCGGCAAAACGTTGCTTAGTACAGAACCTGACCTGCAAGCGGGTGTTAGTCTGCCGGTAATGGACGGTGGGTGCCATTGGTTTCCTGATGGAGGAATTTGCAGGTAATTTTTCGAATTTGACAAATTTGGACCATGATGCAGCACACACCATATGCCTATTCTATTTGAACAACGCCACGTGATCTTTAACTGCAAAGCAGGTGGCGCATAGGTCCTTGGTTAATGCATCCACAGTATTAACAAACGGTGATCCTCTGCAACAAGTACCGAACGTGCTACTGCTAGGCCATGTCATGTGTGCACATCCTTTGGAATACGTAGCTCTCAATTGATTATCCAAATGGTCATGTCTTTGATGAATTCCCCAACTTTTGTAACTTATTTACATCTGAAATTGATGGAACTATATTAAAATGTAAACCAACATAAGGCTGTGCTTTTATTTAAATCAAACTTTCTTATCGATCTAATGAAGCACGTCTTCGCAAGTACATTCTGTCATCAAAGTGGGATATACTGATAGTAGTACCCTTAGCGAGAGACCGCTTGTGTCTCCCGAGTTGCGTGTCGTACAACCAGTGCACATCTTTCCAATCGATGAAACGATAACGATAGGTTTTACCATTTTCTGGATAGGAAAGCAGGTATTAAAATGTTCAAGCACCCGATACGTTTTGCAAGGAATAAAGTCTGCATTAACCACACATACTTGTGGTATGCAACACAAACGTGCTCTGATATCTGCATCGTCTTTGAAACTGTTTGGCCTACGCCAGAGAGACAGCCTTCTTTATGGGTCTTCTCTCGCCACCAGTGTCGGACCAGAGAACGCCAAAAGGTGAACAGTACATAGACAATGCACTATCAGAGCATTTACAACTCGGGATGAGCAGTTTATATCTATGGTGACATTTTTTTGCCAGTGTTTCACCTGTTTTATTGCCAGAAAGGGGGTAAAACCTATTCTTGCCGTGTGTCATCAATTTTATACTAGCAAAGAAAATATCCCACACGCGCCTTCCCTAATCATTTTTGTCTTTCCAGGCCTCACGGGGTACCGCGTACGCGGAGTGCCGCTCCACGGGCAGCAGGGCAACTGGCTGGACGAGCTGGTGAGGTACGACCAGACGTCGCTCGTGCTGGACAGCCTCACGCCCGGAGTACAGTACAACATCACCATCGCCTCCGTCAAGGACGACTTGGAGAGCAATCCCTTCTCAACAACTCTTACCGCAGGTATTTGCTATGGTGTTGTTGTTGTTTCATTATTATTATTGAGCAATGTAGTGGACGAACATGCCCTTGATCACTGTTTTTTGTGTCATAGCTTGCGGGAATGTTAGTTTATAAATTAAATGCGTATAATATATTACGATAGAATATAAATGTGTTGGCGACGCTGTGGTGGCAGTGGTGCACAAGCACTATTAAAACTAAAACTATAAAACTCAACTATTTTTTATATTACCAGGTAAGGCCCACCGAGCTGTATAGCTCTTTTTCAAAAGCGATCTGGCCACAAAATGATATCTCAACGAAGTGGCTTATCGCGTGCAAATTTATAGCAGCGAAATACTCAAAACGCATGTTCTGAACGTGGAGGGATAAACCGGAGGAACCAGATCAAAATCGATATGACCACGGGGTAAACATGCAAACTCCAAATATACAGGTGTCAGGGTTGGGATCAAACCCACGACCTTCTGTATACAAGGCGAGATAGTTAACATCTCGCCACCATGATGCCCATTTGCTAAAAATGTGATATGCTGTGAAGAACGGCCATTGCCCGAATGTCAACAGTTTTATATACATATTTTTTATTTTAAGGCAGTGTTGTTGATGAATGCGATTTTGATTTTAGTATTGCATGACAATGCAAACCTCGAGGCACATCAGTAAATGTTGAGATACATTAAGTAACCCAATCTGTACTAATGTTTTGTTATCATCATCACGATCCATGGGCGGATAGCCCGTAGATGTCCACTGCACATTTTGTCACTGGTTTCCACTTCCCTCTGTCTTGTGCAAATATGCTCAAGTAGTGCCACATCTTTCTGGCACCAATCTCTGATGATGTCATTGTTAAGCCATTCTCTGCGAGGTCTTCCTCTATTTTCGGTTCCTTGCATTTTTCCAAACAACACACTTTTACATTTTCCTGTTGCTCTCCATCCTACGCGTGTGTCCACGCATTGCCAGTTTTTGTACGCCGCATAAACGATGGTCACTCGGGATTCACGAGCGCTGCCACCCCTTGCTCTCCGCAGACGTCCCCAAGCCCCAGGACGTGCAGACCGAGGACACGAGCGAAACGTCCATCGTGCTGCGCTGGACCCCGCTGCACCGCGACGGCATCACGGGCTATCGCGTGTCCATCTCGCTGCCCGGCGAGTCCCAGGCCCTCTCCGAGGAAACCGTGGGGCCCCACACGGGCGTCTACACCTTCTCGGGGCTGCAGCCCGGCGTGAGGTACAACGTGGGAGTCACCACGCTGGCGGGAGACGGAGAGAGCCAGCCCACCCACCACACGCAGAGCACCGGTGAGGATGGCCTGACACGAGTGACAGTCTGACACTTGGGCTCACAGTGCAGTTGTAATTGCCTCTGGCCATGGTTCTCCGTTCAGTTTTGCAGTTAAATTTTTTATGAGAACCACTCTCTCCATCAGTGTGACCTCAGAAATCTGCCTGGGGGCTAGCTTCCCGTTGTGAATAGAGGTCTGTGCACTGGTATAAATGTATCTTTAAGACACTTATGAAGTCTTTCTGGTTTATCAATTCCACATGCAATTTTCAGACGGGTCTCGGTGTTTTTGTGGTAAATTTCCAGAGTCTGCGCTGTTTTTAGAAATGTTCCTCTTTGCCCTGACATGTCTTGCACATGGAATAACTTCACTTTCTTTATGCCTAACAACTGTTCTTTAATTCACTCACGGACGATGTGGATTCATTACTTTGTCGTTGTGTTTTTGAACTATACCTTGTACTATAATTAAAACTTTCCTTAATGAAAATTAAGTTGTATCTTTAAACTTTACAATGTTGTTTTGGTCATGGCTCTTGCCTCTTTGGTTTTGAGCTTGAGTTATATCATCTATACGACAGATCTTTTTCCATGTTTGCTGTTGCTCTGTCACCCACTTTCTTGAACAAGTTAATTGTGTTTTCATTGGGCTTTGACTTGGTTTACATGATGATGATGACGATTCCAACTTCATGTTTGAGCAGGTACTCACATTTGGTTCCATACTTAAAATGGTCTTGGGCTACGTGTTGGACCTGTAGAGTTTTGTGTCTTAGTAAATCCTCTTCATCCCCCACAAGGCCGCAATGTTCCCTCCACCTCTTCCTGTCCTTGGCAACATGTTGAGCCTTGCCCCGAGAGAGGTTCATCGCTGCTGCCAGCTCATCCTTCACGGTCTTGCGCCAGGTGGTCTTGGGTCTCCCAGGTTTCCTTTTTCCCGGTGATATCCATCTTTTGCCAATTTTTGGTATACGGTCCTGATCAATTCTGAGTACATGTCTGAGTCGCCATCTCTTGATGTCTCGTGTGGTAGGACAACCGGTCTTCTTGTACAGTTCGGTGTTGTGGATTTTGTTTGGCCAGAAGATGCAGCAGATGCTCAGCAGGCATCTTTTATGGACGGACTCCATCCTCTTCGTGTTGTTCTTGGCAACGGAGTTTTGTCACCCAATGTCACCTGGATCCGTTCCATGACCTCCTGCCAGCAACATGCCTTCGACATGCCACGTTCCCTCAGAGTACACGTGGCCTGCACAAGCGCCGTGGTGACATCTTCACTACCGAGTGGCGAATGGCATCTGTTGTTGTTGGTGGTGGTGTGTGATTCTTAAACACGTCTTGTCTTGCTTTGTTTTTCACGTTAAGCTATAAATCCACCAAAGGATTTTGAAGTGGACACTGGATCGGGGACTGGAGAAGTGACTGTCACATGGAACAGAGTGACGATACCAGGTAAAGCCTTTTGAAATATTTCCGTCTGTGTATCCATTTGCAAATAAGAGTAGTTCAATGCTGTTATATGTTGGCGAGCCTTTGTTATTGGTAGGAATTACTCATTCCTCTGGCAGGGAGTGGTCTCTCCATGCGAGAGCCACTTTTTATTTTGCACAAAATAGTACAGTAGTCCTTCGGTTAACAGTGACATCAGTTCACGGTTTTTTGGTTAATGTTTCGCCTCCCATAGTGACCCCATGGTTTAAATTACGTTAACATTCTGACTAACGATTTGTTTATATTATGCACGCGGGCGCCAATTTTGGCCAATCAGAGCGCTTGTAAGTGGGGCCAAGCCATGCCCTCGGCCAATCAGCGACACCCATTCATGAGTGTTAAGACCTCGACTGGCTTTGTTTACATTACGTTCTCTCTTGCAGACTCAAGTGATTTTTACTTTTTTAACTTATAAGCGAATTCGATCAACAGTTATTTCGGTTTACAGTAGTTTTCATGGAACGGATTAATAGCATTAACAGAGGGACTAATGTATGCATGATGATTGGCTAAGAGAGTCCTCAAATGATTTGGGGCATCCATCCTTCCAACCAAGATCGTACTGTATCGCCACAGCATCACTCAGCCGCTGCATTATTACAACATCTCTGTTATTTTACGTGGTCGTTTAAAAACATAGCTGTGCTGGCATATGCCAAGCGCTATCAATGGATGGGTTAAAACACATTCTTGAGTCTAGGCTACATATGTTAAAATCTTAAATGAGAATAATTTTTTTACAAAATAGCAAAAATCGGTTATGACTTACCAAGATGAAATGGGGAAAGGTTCTAAGGCGAGATGTGACAATACTCTGAGAATTTTTTGCTTTTTGGTTTTTATCCAGTCATAAGCAGCACTAGCTACCAATGTATTAGAATAGATTCCCTCTGAAGTCTAAACAATCCTTTTTTTTAAAACAGCAATAATAAATAATCCCTAAGCAGTGTACTTATGGATTATTAATTTCTTACACAACCCATCGGCCGCACTGCCTTCTGGGAGTACGTAATTTCAGCAGCATTGATTGACGGCAAGCAAACTCTGGACCGGTTTCGACATTAAGTGTCTCATCAGCAAAGTCGGCCTCGCTTGAATCAATACTGCTGAACTGCCGATCATACCGGCAGGAGGGGGGGAATGCCCTCTTTTCCGATAAGGGAGATCCTGCATCAACACTAAATTAAATAGCGATATGTAACTCAAAATAATCGCTCGCGTTGTTGTGGAGAATGTAAATAGCAATATAATAAAGCAGAAATATGTAAAGGATGATCTGATTGTTTATTTTGACATCTATATTCCACAGCAATGGCGCTCGATATTTTGAATTAATGTTTGTAACAAATACACATTTTAACTTTTTAGAGTAACCCTTTTTCATTGCTAATTTTAAGTTGAATTGTATTTTATGGTCCGGTAAGGTATTACTGATGTTCATTTGTCACCTTTTAAACGATGTTTCACATCACTTTCACGTGGGATAATTTCACAGGTATCTTGTCTCATATTATTTTCACAATTTTGCTAACTGATGGTTTATATACGTTGAAAAGTCCAGTTTCAAGCTCACAGTAAATATACTTCACCAGCAATTACAAACTTTAATTGTACCTATCTCAAAGAGAAAGTAGAACAATGTTGTAGTGCAAGATCCTCTAATAATTGTGACTTTATTTACCTGTTTTTGCTGATATTGTCGCCACCCAGTTATACGCAGTACAACCGCCGCTAACACCTCCCAAAAGCTGGTTTCTGAACAAAGCGAAACGTCTTTAAAAAAAAAAAGAGTAAAACTCACTGATACCGTGAATGTTTGTTTACTTCTCCAGGCCTGACCGGGTACCGAGTGCGTGGGTCGCCCCTCCACGGGCAGCGAGGCCACCACCTGGACGAGCTCGTGAGGCCCGACCAGACGTCCTTCACCTCCGAGAGCCTCACTCCCGGCGTGGAGTACAACATCACCATCACGGCCGTCGTAGATGACCAGGAGAGTCCTCCGGTGTCAACAACGATCACCACAGGTTCGGGAGCTTTGCGCGTTAACAAAACTTGACACCATATCATGGGACTTTTTTTCCAGTATCAAAATTTGATGAAAAATAAGAATAGGTTGTATACTTTCTGGCAATAAAAAAGGTGTTAAGATATCTTGACTTAGATGTTCGAATGCCAAATAGATACCTGTTTAAAGGAATCAAGTCTGCATTAACCACACGTACTTGGTGGTGGAACATCTTAAACACCTGTTTTATTGCCATAAAGGGTAAAACCTATTCTTCAAACTTTGCACCGCTTGCAACTTCGTTCATTTAGCCAAGAGAGACCGGGGAAACGTAGACTCATCATTGTTCCTCTGCTAGACTCGCTTTTTTCCCCCAATGGTGAAGCTACGATTTTGTAAACAAAAAGGGGCATTTATATCTACGGGGCCTTTTTGGCGGTATTAAAATGATGAAACGTAAGAATAGATTTTACCCTTTCTTGGAATAAAGCAGGTGGTTAAGATGTTCAAACACCAAATCGATACTTTTTTTGCAAGGCATCGTCAGAGCATTGTGCGATAACTCTCTCTCTCTAGCGTATGGCAAGTATGTGGAAATCACACGTACAAGTTTTAAGTCTGTGAGCTATGCGATAGCTTCGGGAGTTGCGCGACTAATACTGCTCAGTCCGCCGGAGAGCTGGCGTAGGATGCCGTTATTCGAGATACGGGTCCCATTGCCTGGTTCGGGTGGTTGTTCGCAGTCACACCGTAGGTTGTCTTTAATTCTCCACTTGTGGAGGAGGTGTTTGGCTCAGCGACCATTTGCTCTTCTGAAGCGGTTGATGGAGCTCCGTAATTTTCTTGGCAGATCAATGTCGTGTGGCGCAATGATGGGGTCGTCGATGTGTGATAACTGTAGAACATGTTTAGCCCCATAGTCAACCCACTGCTGGATGAGGCTCTCCCCGTGCCATACAGGTGATGGGGATTGTTGAACCATGGTTCACCCATCCTGGCCCGTGTGGGTTTGTGAAGGTGGATTCCCCTCATTTCCCCTCCCCCTTTCGTGTGGTTCCGTCGCGACCTCAACATGGGTGGAGGAATCGGTTGAGCGAAGTTCACGGCAACGGCAGCCGAGGCGGCAGCGGTAGACGAGTGACAATACGGAGGCGAGTGGCCCAAGACGAGAGCTATTATTATTATTATTTAGTAACTATGCGTGCACTCTAACGCGCGCGATGGTTTTTTCCCAACCTCCTTTTTTGTTTCGACACGCCAGACATCCCAAAACCCAAGGACGTGCACGCCGACGAAGCAATCGACACGTCCATCGTGCTGCGCTGGACCCCGCTGCGCCGCGACGGCATCACGGGCTACCGCGTGTCCATCTCGCTGCCCGGCGAGTCCCAGGCCCTCTCCGAGGACACGGTGGGGCCCCACACGGGCGTCTACACCTTCTCGGGGCTGCAGCCCGGCGTGCAGTACGACTTTGGCGTCACCACGCTGGCGGGAGACGGAGAGAGCCAGCCGACCCACCACACGCACAGCACCGGTGAGCTCCCTACAGATTATTTTTCATTTATTTCAATTTCGATAGATTATCTAATTGGTCTTAGCTAGTAGTAGCTAGTTTTTCACAGAACTTCAACATTATCAATATCAATTGAGTTTTCTTGTTGGCATGCGTGGTCACCACATCTACGCCTCTATATAAGGAACGAAACAGGTGGACTTCTCCACAAAATTGGCTGTCGCCTGATGAAGCTAGTTGTAATTACTGGCGAAACGTTGTACTCAGTTTGTAAATGATGTGGCTTGGCTCTCCAACACACCGGTGTGCTGTACTAGTGACGAATTGGCACGTTCTGTTTACATGACAACCCTTACGAGTTGGCTGTGTCGGGTGGTGGCGGGTTTTAATGACACATTTATATATTTACGCGATCTAACCCAAAAACCTCTATTATGGATCCAAATGCATGATGCTTTTGAAAGTCCTAACCGTGCTCTTTTCCAGTTGTTTAGCAAGACAAAATATTGAAATAAAGAATGGGTTCTTGACTATCTCTTTTCTTGTCATGCCCAGCTGTGACCCCTCCAAAGGACCTGCAAGTGGACTCGAGCTCCGAGAGCGGAGAAGTGACCATCACATGGGAGAGAGTCTCCATTCCAGGTAGCACCTGCCGCTCTAACCAGTCCACATCAAGCTGAACGTGCATGTGAGCTACATCCTGTGTAGAACTTATGTGTAGATGTATATACGTATATACAGGCAGGCCGTGACTTATGAACGGGTTGCGATTTGTTGGTACCTCGGAATTTATATTTAATTGTACATACGGTGAGTGGTGATAAAATGTGTTATGGTTCAACAAAAAAGGGAAGCATTGTTGAACTCAAAAATAAGAAAACATATTGTACACTTGCATTTAATACTGTAATAAATACTGTATAGTAAATAAAAAATAAAACAAAAGAGAGTAACATGAAAAGGGAAAAAAAATAGTTTTGTTTTCACTTCCGTTGAGTTGAACTGTCGTGTATCACGCGGGATGCTGGGACTGTTTACATCTCGCGGAGGATCGCTCCGCCGAACAAAATAGTTCGGCGGTTCAGGTTCGCAAGTTACAACCAAACGTTCACATTTTGCATGGTTAAAAATAATAACGTCTCGTGGCGGTTTGTTCGCGAGTGCGGATAATCGTAAGTCAGACATTCGTATCTCGGGGACTGGCCGTATACGCTGCTCATTGGGCCAACACATCTTGTTTAAGAGGGTTAACGTTGATGGTTAACTTATCGTGGCTCTAAATATTCAAAGCAATTTTTTTCTGAATTACTCATTGAAAGTGAAATTCAACCGTTGCTGTTCGATAATTGCTTCATGATACAATTCAACTGCATTTTTAAAAGCATTGCCCCCTTGAGCCAATTGTTCACCAATATTATTTCTCTCTCCTTGCCGTGTCTCCCCCCCCCCCCCCCCCCCCACCAGGCCTGACCGGGTACCGCGTGCGTGGGACGCCCCTCCACGGGCAGCGAGGCCACTCCCTGGATGAAGTCGTGAGGCCCGACCAGACGTCCCTCACCTTGGAGAGCCTCACCCCCGGCGTGGAGTACAACATCACAATCACGGCCGTGAAGGGCGTTGCAGAGAGCACTGCTGTTTCCACTACCCTCACAACAGGTAATGACCATTCGCCGCCGTACATCTCTGCCTTTGGCAACGGCAACTGCGACTGAGCGTTAATGCAAAGGAGGCCTCGGGGTTTTTTAAATCTGAAGTGGAAACTGGGTGGAGCGGTGGCACCTGCGTTTAGCGTGCTGTGACGTTAATTCGGCGATCTGAGTTCGACGACACGCCACGATTAACATTCATGGTGAGCGGTATTTAAACAGCCATCCCTTTCAAAATCAACCCCACCACCGACACGGTGTGATGAGGCCTTCATTCGGCAGTGGATTGACAAAGGGCAACATATTAACTTCACTTGTCGATTCCTCCACCAATGCTAAGCACTCAATTTACCAGACGAATTGTTTGGTCTCATTCATATTGTGTACAACCACCACACTGCAGGTCACAACAACTCAGTTCACCCACTCGGTTCACCCACTCAGTCACCACACAGTCATCTTCACTGAAGAATCATCTTCACCAACCTGCTTCTGTTCCTCCATTAAACACCCATCTCTTATCCTGGGCACGTCCTACTGCAACTCCTTGCCCCCACCCACCAGCTACGACTAGGCCTATACGCCAACCCCTATCACTACCCCGACTGCTCCCTAACCACTTCCACCTGTTCTCCTAACTGTTATCATAACTACACCACCACTGTTAATAAGCCCACTCTTTATCTCAACCGCTATCATCTAATGTACACTTTTACATTTGTAAAGCGCCTTGGACTAAGGCGCTATATATTCATCCCATTGTCTCCTTTCCCCCGCTCTTATAACGTTACTCAATTCAATAAATGTGTATTATCTCTTAATCTATTACAACAGCGGTAGTGATGTCTGTTGCTGACCACTCGCCATTCTGAGCCTTTGTGCCCTTGCTTGATAACTATATATTAAAACAATCTACCTCCCTATTGTGTGAATTTGAGCTTTCATGTTCTTCATTTCGTTGTGTGGGGTCCCCCTTCCACGTCATCAAAGCAGCATTGTTAACTTTTTTTGCCACTGATCAAAAATAATTGTAATGTTATCTGAAACTTGCCACTGGTGTATTAATTGTGTTCTTTCCTTGTAACCTTTTTCCTAACTTTTTGTTTTTATTTTGGCAAAACGAGAGCCCGATAACATCGCACTGAAAAATTCCGGTAACGGGGGGCGGGGGGTACAGAAAAATCTGCGGTAATCCATTCCGGCGCGACGGAACCGCACGAAAGGGGGACGAAATGAGGGGAATCGGGGCCCCTGCTTGTTTCATAACTCTTTATAATTTCACCGATCTGTGCATTTGTCTTTGCAGCTGTGCCTCCGCCAACAGACCTGCGTTTCACGCAAGTAGAGCTGGACAGCTTCCGTGTGAGCTGGAGTGCGCCTCCAATCTCCACGACGGAATCTTTTCTCATCCGCTACTCGCCGCTGCGCCACGAAGATTTGCTGTCCGAAGTCAGCACCGCACCCGACGAGTTTGAGGTTATTTTGACAGGTAAAGCTGCAGCGCGTGGGTGGGTGGTCCCGTTCACCGAATCTCAGGACGCACAAGCGGTTCAGCATTCATTTTATTGAGAGGCCGTAGCACCGTTGTTTTTAAAGACATTGTACTCCCCGCAGAGAACTGTAGTGACATGACCACCGCACTCTACGATAGCTGGTGCTAAACTGTGCCACACCCTTCCCGCATGGCCTTGTGGGAGCCTCGGTACCAATAAATTTATCGGAATGGAATCGGAAGAAAACTGATGACGTACACTTACGTCATCGGAACGGGAAAGGGTTAAAGTGCCCTCTCATAGGCGCACAAATAATATACTCGAAATGATGAGTGAACGTGGTGTGAAGACGGCCATTACATGTATACATGCCCTCCCACATGGCCTTGTGGGAGCCTCTGTACATCTTCTGACCTGAAGACGTACCGATAAAGTAATTTTACATGTACGCCATTGGAACGGAATCGAGATGAGTGATTTAGACGTATGTCATCAGAATGGGAAGGGTTAAGAACTCCTTTGTATTCCTTCAAAAAGTAAATTCCTATCCACATCCTGGCCACGAGTGAGTGCCAATTTGAAAAGGACATGGAGGGATTTTTACCATGCCATGACAAAATAAACCTGTGCTGCTCATTGTACCAATTATTACAATTCACCAAAAATGTACAAGGACGTTTTACTGCCACACTTTTTTCCCTCGCCAAAAAAAATTGTGCATTTTCACCTTTGTGCCAATGTGCTCCTGTCATGCTTTTTTTACGGTGTCCAGGTCTCCTGCCAGGCACCGTGTACGGTGTCAGTGTGCACACGGTCATTCGCGGACACGAGAGCGTGGGTCTCTCTGGAACTCAGGGCACAGGTACCGCGGCCCTTGTACCTGCACGGCATCGCCTGGCTAACCATCGATCAAAGAACGAAAGCCATTGGAGCTATGCACTTTTAAATATCGATGAGAAGCTCATTTCTTTGTAACTACTTTTTGGTTTATTTTCTTGTCTTTCCCCTGCACCTCTGGTTAACACAGTTGGCTATGTACGGAGCGAAAAAAGTTGTGTGTACACATGCATACATGTGTACACACCACTTGTACACCACTTTTGATTACGACCAATCTAAGTCCCTAACTGCAACAACTCTGTACTAAAGTGCGAGTCATATCGGATGGTTTTTATGAGGGTTATATAGTTCCCCCCCATTATGGACAATTGGATAGAGCTAACGCCTTAACGCTTTCAACCTTAATATTAAAAATTGATATTTGGGTTAGGCCATATCATCATCTGGACATTTTTATTATAAGGTCCTCCACCACCCGACAAGACACATCATTAAATTGTCAAGTGGTGTGCAATCGTTTAACGCGGCAATTGTTATTCTTCCAGCTCACCTGTAAGTTAAAGAACAATTCTCACAGCCAAGTTTAGAAATTAGAAATCTAGGAACTCAGAATAAAATCCATGAAGTCAACAATAATTGGCTAGTTAACCGCTTGTAACGTGACAACGTAATATGTCTGGCTACGTGGTGTGGTGGAGAGTCTTGTGACTGGAATTTGACCAGATTAATATGTGGCCTTACCCAAATATCTATTATTAATCGTAATTATTGACTTCCAAAATCTACTTGTTCAGCTCTCAATCTGTGTTCAAAGAGTATGTATGTGTGTGTGCATTCCACACGTAGCCATTATGCTGCATGTAATGGGGAGCGGTAGTGTAGCGGTTAGCGCGCTGCGCTCCGAACCCGGCGACCCGAGTTCGATTCCCGCTCATGGCCAACACTAGTGACGATTATCTGAACTGGTCATTGGCTTCCCCAAGGTCGACTCCGCCTCAAATGAGTCCCTGGTGCGGTGTGTAAACATCGCCACTAGGGAGACAAAGATGGCCAGGCATGGTGTTGGCCAACCCACCCCCTCGTGTGCCGTGTTGGCCTTCATAGGTGCTCACTAATAGCACTTGCCCCAACAGTCTGTTAAGGCTATACGGGGGATCTTTGTCTTTGATGTCAGTGGGGAGTGGTAGTGTTTTTCGTTAGTGCTCTGCGCTACAAACCTCCAGTCTTGAGTTCAAATGTCGGCCAAGGCTAACACCATTGCTGGTAAGGTCGACTCCGTCTTTAATGAGTCTCTGGTGGGGTACGTCAACATTGACACTGGGGAGATAGACGGCCGGGTGTGCTGCTGGCCACATCGCCCCTCCTTACGCCACGCTCGCTAACGGCACTCACGCCTCCAGTCTACACGGGGGATCTTTGTCTTCGTTAATTAATTCGTCTCCGTTAAATCCCGTGCAGAAATCGACGCTCCGACAGACATGGAGTTCTTGGATGTGACGGACTCGACCTTCACGGTCTACTGGACGCCGTCGAACGCGCCCGTGTCGGGCTACCGCGTGGCCTACGGCCCGCAGTTGCTGGGCCACGTGGCGGAGGACAGCGTGCCGCCCGAGCGCACCTCCATCGTGCTGGCGAGCCTGCAGGCCGGCACGGAGTACACGGTCAGCGTGTACGCCATCGGGCGCGACGTGCACCGCGAGAGCGGGCCCCTCGTCGGCTCCCAGGCCACCAGTGAGTGTCACCGGCGGCGGCGCATGCGCAGTCTTCACGACACCACGTCACATTGCATGGGGATGGTTGTGGTATGGCTGTTCTGTTTTTTTTTGTCCTAACATGAGCCTGGTACATAACACGAACATCAACATGGGGGAGGGGGCACACAAACTCCACGGACAGAACTCGCGGGCAGAGGAAATTGAGCTCGCTCCCTCGCTCCGGTGGGGGCCGCCAGCGGGAGCATGTACATTGATATGGGGAGGGGAAGACGAGGGAGGAAGAGGGCTAAAGTGAGGGGGTAAAGGGGATGGGAGAAGGAGGGGGGAGGGTGTCAATGGGGTAAAAAGGGTAGGAGAAGGAAGAGAGGAGAGGAGAACTTCAGCAAAGATAACTTAAACGCACCCAGCGAACTCCTCAACCAGTCACTCCCGCAGAGCAGTGGTGCGATGATGTTGTCACGAGTTGCCCCCCGCCTGGTCATGTTCAATGTTTGTTTTTTTCTTATTGAAGCCTGTTCACTCTAGATATTATCATCCTGTCTATTTATACTAGGCCATGCAAGAACTGATAATGTAACCACGGAGTCATAATTAAAACGTGTTAAATATATTTGCATGACAAATGAGAGAGGAATTTTGCCATCGGATTCATATGGTAAAATATATCGATTTTTTTTGGTTTAATGCTCTGGCAGCACCCAGAACTACAAATGCCATGAAGCTGTAGGTGAACAATTCTGCCTGTAGGTGATGTCAATGCCAACACACCCACACACACAATCATCTGTCCAGATGAGTTAAAATATTACATCGTTCACACTTGGTAGCTGGTGGACAGAAGCGGTAGTCTCGCTAGTTGGTGGTCGCTCGCCCCGTCACACGAGGATGGGTTTTCTCATAAAAAAACACAAATTTATTGATGCAGCTGAGTTACTGTGAGCGTCAACTACAGCAGAAACGAAGGCCAAATGGAGCGAGAAATGTCAGTGGCTGGTCTGCCACGCGATCAGGCAAGCACCCGTGCATTTTCTGTTTTATTTATATTTGTTGGGAGCGGTAGTGCAGTTGGTTTGAAGAACTATGCTGCAAAACTAGCGATCCGAGTTCAATTCCCGTTCACAGCCATATGTGAAGCAGTCCTGGACCTCCCCAAGGTCGACTCGGCTAAAAAATAATAATAATAACAAAGACAATTTATGACGAGAAACATATTTTGCGAGTCGGATGCAACGTTCGATCGAGAACTCGGTAGGTGCAGCGCCAGAGCTCAGAGTCCTTCTTAAAACCTGGTGCAGTGTGTCAACCTCAGCACTGGGGAGACAAAGGTGGTGCTGGCCAACAACCCTGTCGTTTGCGATGCCGGCCTTAATAGGTGCTGCTATGCGCTCACAGCACTTGCCCCAACAGCCTGTTTAACCCTTTCCCATTTCGATGACGTACGTGTACGTTTTCAGTTTTTCTTTTGAATTCGTTCCGATGTACATGAATCAGAAGTAACAGGCCATGTGGGAGGGCGTGTGGCACAGTTTGTTGGCGCCAGCTATCGTAGAGTGCGGTGGTGTCTACTTTTCTGTTCGGTGAGTGCAATGTCTTTAAAAACAGTGGCGCTATGCCTCTAAGTGAAATTAATGTTAACCGCTTGCACGTTCTGAGATTTAGCGGTGAACGGGGGACACCCACCCTGCAACTTGCAGTTGTCTCGAACAGGAAAGGGTTAAAGACTTTTATACGTGTGTCAGTGCTGCGTGTCCTCGGGGATTTTGTTTCTGGTGCGTCCTGCTGATGCGATTGGACGTCGTGTGTTGTAGACTCAAACGGCCCCACCGACCTCGTGATCACCCGCACGTCACCCACCACCTTTTCCGTGTCCTGGACGCCGCCTCCAATCAGCGTCCGCTACTATCGCCTGAGCTACGTGGAGACCGGTACAGCGCTCCACACCGTTTTATCCACACACGAGTGGGTGCCGTGCTAGTGTAGATGCCCCAACAAGCTTATTAATAAAAGGATTCATTAAAACATCCTGTAATAATATTCTTTGTGTCTTTCGGTAAAGCCACGTAGATAAAAAAATGCTAAAAATATCACGACGTTTCGATCGCAACACAAGCAATCCATCATCGGGTGAAAATTTTTTTTTTCACCTGATGACTGTTTTCACCTGATGATGATTGCTTGTGTTGCGATCGAAAGGTCGTGATATTTTTTATTATTTTTCTATCTACATGGTTTTACCGAAAGACCCAAAGAATATGAATTCCTGCAGTCAAAAAGCTGTAAGTCAAGATTTATCCTGTTATAAATAACCAGTTATTGTGAGCTTGAGCTGCGAGTTGGCCAGGAGATGGCAGGTACACCATTCGGTTGTTGAATCTGTCCGTGTGGAATGTGGCGTGGTACCCCCTCATACGAGTTAAATGTATTTGATTGCATGCTGTTGGTTATTTGTATAACTTTCAATCGTAATGTTATGCGTGAGCAATTTTGAGCAGGTCAAGCTTGGATGAACTGAAATAGATCTATTTAATGTCCTTGTGTGATCAATCGCCCACGCTACGTCCGGACTTGGTGTAGCGATGTCCCCGTGGTTGCCGTGGGGGGGAGAGAGGAGTCCTCCCGGTGCTTCCACAGTCGGCTCCTCGGTGACGTCGGTGTTTGTGTTGCCACGTCCGTCGCAGCCCACTAGTCTGTCTTTATGGTTGGCGGTGACTTTTTTGCTGTGGACCCTGCCCTGCCTGGCTGTGTAATGTAATGGCGCACGGTGGTTGAAGAACGCCCGTGCGTGTGTGCGTCCGTGCGTGTGTGGGCTTCAGGCAGCAGTGGGGAACAGCAGTGCAACGGTTAGCACGCCGCGCTACGAACCCGTTGACCCAAGTTTGATTCCTGCTCACGGCCACCAAAACCAGTGATGATTATTCTTTACCAATCCTAGGCCCTTCCCTAGGTGGTGCGATGTTTCAATATTGCTACTTATGGAGACAGTCGGCCGGGTGTGGTGCTTGGCCACCTACCCCCTCGTGTGCCGTGCCAGTAGCACCTTCATAGGTGCTACTCGCACTTGCTCCTACAGTCTGTTAAGGCTGTACTGTCGGGGGCGGGATCTTTGTTTATGCTACAGGCAGCAGGCGGCCCCCAGCAGAGCTCACCATCCCGGGCACGAGAAACTCGGCTGTGATCCTGGGCCTACAGCCCGGCACGGAGTACACGGTGTCGCTGTATGCCGTCACGGGCAGAGGAGACAGCCCCGCCACCAGCAAGCCCATCACCAAGACGGAGAGCACTCGTGAGTGGCCTTGCCAGTAGGGGCGGGGGGATGGGTGAGTGGGGGGGGTGCAAGTGCAACCCCCCCCCGCCCCTCCATTAATTTGATAGTTTTTGCCATTGTTGGCAGAAGAGCCTCAACTGCTCTTTTGTGTTTAGTTTGTTGTCCTGCCGCCGCACCTTTGATTTAGCACGGTTGGCTACATACGGTGCAAAAGAAGTTCTATATACATACAATTAGAAAGCCCCCCCTAGAAGGTATGTTGGCCTACTCTTCCTCCAAGCTGGCCCAGGCGGTGGTGATGCATGTCTGTAATCCAGCACGAGGGTTGGTGGATAGGACAATGTTTCCTCCCACACTCACTGTAATCTATACTCACTAATTGGCTGTAAACATCTGATTATATAGAGAACTACAAGCAATTGTTAGCTCTGGCTCGCCGCCTGGCAGTCTTCCAGCTTGTCTGTGGTTCCTCGGCGATTATGAGATGCAATTTGCATGAACGATGACGCTATGTAATATTAATTCTGAGGGTTTTTTTTTTCTGAGAGGTTGGAGCATTCCCACTTTACCGCCCCACCCACCCACCCCCCATGAACCATGAAAAATAAATTGCAGTCTCCTTAACATTTGACGTCAAAGATCCCGTGACGTCTTTCAAAACAAGGAGGCCATCGTGTGCCGACGTCGTGGCCCAATTTTGGCAAGTGAAAATATAACCCACGTGGTCGCTCAATTGGCATCGTACATGGCCCCACTCATCGCCCCCTTACTGGCAGATGAATGCCCGGTTGCAGAGCAGGTGCTCAATCATTTTGTGCCCACGGATAGCTGCCACTGTGGGTGCCCTTGGAAGCAATATATCCTCAGCAGCTCCCCCGTGAAATATTTGAAATAAGATGTTGCTTTGAGAAGCCCCGGTGAAAAGGGCTCTCGATCAAAAACGAATCATTGTTAATAAAAGTCTTGTCTTAATAAGAACGATATTTTATCTCACATGGATAAGCTTAACGCTGAAAGTTATTGAAATGCTTGGAGGTATATGCCACTTGGTGAATGTGTGTGTGTGTGTTCGATTCCTGCACACGGCAAACACCAGGTGACGATTATCTGAACCTGGTCCTGGGCCTCCCCTCGGTCAACTCGGCCTCAATTGAGTACCTGGTGCGGTGTGTAAACATCGCCACTAGGGAGACAAAGGCGGTCGGGTGTGGTGCTGGCCACCCACCCCCTCGTGTGCCATGCCGGCCTTCATAGGTGTTCGTTAACAGCACTTGTCCCAACACTATTAAAGGCTATATGGGGGATATTTGTGTGTGTGTGTGTGGTACGGCACCGGCTCCTGGCACAGAGGTGGACACTCCAAGTGGCCTGGAGGTCATGGAGGTGACCGATCGCACAATCCGCATTCGCTGGGCGCCTTCGAAAGCCCCCATCAATGGCTATCGTGTGACGTCCATCCCCAAGACAGGCCGCGGCACGCAGGACACGCGCGAGCTGCCATCGGGTAAGAGAGACGCAGTCGGACGCTCAAGTTCACTGAACGTGTAACGGATCGCGTATTTATATTGAAAGACATCCTTCCAAGTCAAGTTGGCTCGACTAACTGCCAGGCTCATTTGATATGTGAATGACACAATTTGTTGAACATACAGTTATGGCGAATACAGTTTTATTGTAATTAAGGCAATTTATGTTGAGGAGCTTGGTTGCAAATGGTGATCCGTCGAAAACGGTTCGGCAACCAAAATAACAAGATCATTTTTTTTCTAATTCGATAAAACACTATTGCAAGAGCTGCAATGCAATGTAAATATGATACAGTGGTGGTCCTTAATAAATAAAAGTCACGAAGCAGCAACAGTCCTTCAAGAGCCACTACACGTGGCTCCGGAAACGCAGGTTGCCGACCCCTGATCTAAAATAATCAGTGTGGGTTAAACTCAGTTTTTGCACATGGCCCATCCCTGTCAATCCACTGCTGGATGAGGGCCTTCCCCCATGCCTCGTGTCGGTCTCGCGGGTTACTTCACCAAAAATTCACGCAGTTTGTTGCGAGTTGAAGTTGGCAATTCGTCAATATCACCTGGAATATAAATAGCATTTGCAGGAGAATGCTACTTGCATATGAATAGTAATGTGGACTATCGATAATGCAGATTTTTAGTTTGTTTAATGACAGTTTTTAGGAGTCCTTACTTAAAGAGTACATAAAAGATAAATGGAAACGGAAAATATTTTATTGTCAAACTCGTACATTATGTTTACCCGAGGAAGCCTCACCGAGTCTCAAGACTCTTTTCATGAGAATCCTGCCACGTTTTTGCAGTTGCTGCTGCTGCGGCCGTAAGATACCACATGGAGTGAATGTGCGCTGGAACTTCACAGCATTGCCACGTCATTTGGCCAACAGCAGTTAACCCACAATGCTACTTTAAACAATCGCACAGCACGCCGTTGGTTTGATCTGGTTAACGTGCGCAATGCGAATACATTGCTGTGTCACGAACAGGGCAGCACTGCGAACGCTTGCCGCTCTTGCGCTGCAGTGGAGCGAGCTATGTGAGCGACGGTGGGCCCATGTCCCCCCCCCCCCCCCCCCCCCCCCCCCCCCAGGCCGTACGGACGTCACCATTGACGGGCTGCTGCCCACCCTGGAGTACGCCGTGAACGTGTACGCCTTGAGCGACCACGGGGAGAGCCTGCCCGCCTCGAAGAACGTGGTGACAGGTGAGTTTTGCCCGGGTTTGGTCGCTGTGAGTTTATCGTTAACAGACTTCTGTCTTTAGCCCGTCGAGTTAGGATTGGATATGTTTGTTGCATTCTGCATCTGCTGATTAATGCCATCTGTGGGACCAGATTCTCATACATTGTAAATTAACAGAGACGAGACACGCCTCCTTCCCGTGTTTGTTGCACCACAAAAACTTTTTTGTTTTCTACTTTCCATCAGCCCCACGCCATTTCTGGGAGTGCATAGTACCAGCATAATTATTTGACTACAAGCAAACTCTGTGCCAGTTTTGACATTCGTCGACACATCGGCAGGATCAGGCTTGCTTAAACCGAATGCTGGTGACCTGACAGTTGTTTATCGGAAAGGACCCCTCTGTTAGATACGGATCCTCAACGATATGACACCGTGGCTCAACGCAATAATTAGCGTTGTTGTGGAAAAGCGTGGATAGCAACGATTGTCCTGTTCCTCTTCGTCACTCGTCGATGGTCCCCAGGTATCGATGCCCCCAAGGGCCTGACCTTCACGGACGTGGACGTGGACTCCATGTCCATCTCATGGGACTCTCCGGAGGGCACGGTGACGGGCTACCGTGTGCTCTACGAGTCCTTGGAGGACAGCGTGCCGCAGACACTGTCGCCGGCGCCGGACGGCGACGCTGACACGGCCGTCATTTCCCAGCTGCAGCCCGGCTCGGACTACAAAGTCAGCGTGACGGCGCTCCACCACGGCACGGAGAGCCTCCCGCTCGTGGGCACGCAGGCCACCGGTGAGGCTTCGCGACCACGACTGCGCGCGCACCACAGACCCACGCGTCGGTACGACTACTGGGGCACGGCGGTTTATACGGACTACAGGGGGTGGCAATTTAGTGGTCCGTGGCAAAAGCTTGAGAGAAAAAATGCTCATTTCACGTGTCCCATTGTGGAAATCCATACTTGGACTCATCCAAAAACATTAAAATAATTCGCGTTTAAACGACCAAGTGTTTAGTTTTGCCGTTCGGCTTCACGCTGGGAAGCGAGCCAGTCGATGGCTCTCACCTGTTGCATAGCGTTGTAGCTCCTGTGTGTTTTTTTTGTGTTCCTTTTATTCGCCCAAGTGCAGGGTTGAGTGACCATGACCATTAGCGCGACGCACATGTGAAAATGTACAGGAGCTGCACTGCACCTCACACGTCTCACGTGCAGTGCATAATACTTGCCAGTCCCCGAGTGGTTTCATTTGGCACAGATTATTTTTCATAGATAAATATACTTTGGTCTCAGCGGGCTCTCTAGCTTGGTTATTAAGTTCACGTATGTTACGAGGTGATTGGCCCGCATCTCCGATTTGCACGGTTGGCTACGGTACGGTGTGAAAGAAGTTTAACATACCGTACATACATTGGTGCCACCAAAGTTGTCACCTCAGTTGGGTCTGTGCCGCTCGTCAAGGACATAATTTCGTTTTGTGCTGACGGCGAACACAAATGGAGCTTTAGTGCAAATGACTGTTAGTGGACAGAGTGCCGAAGCTTCCTGTCTCTGTGATGGAGGAACCCAGTGAGCCATGTCCCCCTCTAGCGGCACAGGTGAATCTATCAGAGTTAAATGACTGGAACCTGGAATCACCTTGGGACCAGCTATTTGGAGAGATTGCCTCGGCAGTGGTGCGCAAGCAACACCCAACAACCAACTCGGCGCATGTGTCAATAACACCGTGAGCCTTAAAAGTAAAATAATATTTATTTAGCAACATTGTGGGAAATGACGAAGCAACATTGATTCTTATCTCGCCTGTTAAGAAGGAGCATTGCATGAAACGTCTGGCATTACCTGTCCAGCATTTTCAAAGCATAGACTATGATAACCAAATTAAATGTGTTCCATATTTATATGTACATTTTTGTAATAGGGTTAATAGTTGATTATTAGGTTGGGCGATATAATGTGGCCAGACCCAAAAAAATCTGTAACAAATTATAATATTGGCTGCAAAAGCCAACTCGTCATCCGTTAAGGTCCATATTTATAGATTTCCCTCAAGACGTTTTTGGATTTGTATGTCTGGCACAATAAGTGGGACGATTAACGTTTGCTTCTAGGTTCATAAAAAGTTCCGATTTTATAAAAAGAACGAGACATTCTACCAAGGCAGAGCGTTCCGTACATCCACGCACCCAACACCGCCTCAAATCTCTCTCCAGAGCTCCCTCCCCACACACTGACCCCAGGCATCGCTGTCCGTGTCTCCCCCCCACACAGCCATCCCTCCACCCACGGCACTGAAGCTTGTGCAGGCCACCTCCACCAGCCTGTCCATCCAGTGGCAGCCGCCCTCGGCCGAAGTGAGCGGCTTCCGCGTGGTGGTGACGCCGCGGGAGAAGAGCGGACCGAGCCGGGACCACATGGTGCCTGCCGATGTCAATTCGTTCACGCTGCCCAGCCTCATGGTGAGCCCCTAGCGTGACGGTTGTGTCGTCGTCGTCTTATTCGCACCGTGTTCACGCACGCACACACCGTACTGCAGGTCACAGCGCTTATCTTTCTGCTTCTTCCCTCGCACCGCTCCACTTTAGAATTCCCTTCCTCCCATCGTCTCCTTTACTCAAGCTCTCGTAACCTAGCTCCACACGAGAAGCGAGTTAACTCTGATCTATTACAACTTCGAGACTGTTGCTTGTTGCTGGCCGCTTTGGCGTTTTTGGAGCCTTGGGGGCCTGTGAATGAGAACCGTGAAATCCTACGATTCCGTTTTGCGCTGGCACTGCGTTCAATTAACTATTTGGTGTTTGTTTGCAGGTGGCAACGCAGTACAACGTGTTCGTGTACGCGCTGAAGAATGGTCACACAAGCAAGCCGCTGCAGGATGTCTTCACAACGCTGGAGAGTGAGTTGACAGTTTCTATGCCGATCCCCTCCGTCTTAAACACTTCTACAGGCAGTGCGCATGGATTGTCCTGTCAAGTGATAGTCAACTCTGACATTCTATACAAGCTGCTGTATAGTTGTCAGCAGCTTAGCACGTGTGAGCTCACGCAACACGTTAAAAAAAGACACCCCATGATTCTGTACACATGCATCACCCTCACTGCCTTCCCGTTACAAGGAACGAATTTCCGGGCAGCAACCAACAGTTGGGTGGAATAAAACCTTTGTCTGTGGCACACTTTAGTTTGTTGGCCTTCCCCCACACCTCCGATTGTCTACCTACGGTGCAAAAGAAGTTCAATAGACATACACCGAGTTGATAGGGAGTAGAGAAATGCACTGTGCAAAGTTTCGGATGGCTTTTTCTTGTTTTTCTTCTAAAGGAAAGTTGTGCAAAAGGGGGCAGCAGTTGGGGGGGGGGGGGGGGGGGGAAGATGACCGGGAAAGGGAAGGGATTCCAGGATCCAAGTCCCCACGGCGGAGGGCACGGCTCCAGCAAGATGATCCGTGGAAGAAGGGAGGAGCTTTCGTGACTGCAGGGATTCATCTTCTTGGTTCTTTCGGTACGTGACTTTACCGAAAGAACCAAGAAGAAGGGAGGAGCTATGAGCAGGAAAGAGAAAAAGGGGAGACGGAATGACTGGGTCAAGATGTTGGGTATAAGAGGGGATGAGGATGATGATGAGGGGGGGAGGTAAGAGGTGGGGAGAGAAGGATGGAGTGGGCAGAAGTGAGAGCTGCCCAGAGCGCAGTGTGTTTTCTCAGGGGGTGGGGAGAGATTAAGTGGGAGTGACCACAGAAGTCACGTGATTCACAGGAGTCTTGAGCTGATGTATAGATGGCAAGGCCTTCATCTGACATTGGATAGACAATGGCTGTTGAACCTATAATGAGAAACAAATTCCCAAATGCATTCATTCAGTTTACACGATACATGTATTAATCTTCCCACAGGCGTTCCCAGGCAGATACACCAGTAATCGCATGCCAGTGACTTCCATTCCCTTCAGAGCCATCTCCACACTGACTTCTAATGCCTCATTTGGAGCGCACATCTGTGGTTGGCATCAATTTGAATAATATTTAGAATATTGGTTGTACATGCTGTTCTGTTGCTTTTAGTTCTAAATGCCTACCTTTTGTATTCACCTACCTGAAATAAAATTTCAAGAAATTATTCCGTCATCTTTTTTTCAATCTCACTACTCTCGACAGAGAAAGGTGTAATGCCTTACAATTTAGAAACCTTCCAGACAATTTTATAACTTGTGAACTCGGGGTCATCCTTACAGCTGCTTCTGGCTAGCCATAGAACAAAGACAGTCACTCTCATTTCTTGAAAACTGCTTTTTGTGTTTTAGTTTGTCCTTCCCCCACACCTGTGATTAGCACGGTTAGCTACTTTATGGTTCTCCATATATACAATCAATATTGAATATTTATCTGTGAGGTCATGTTCTTACTTGGAGGGTATATGTCTTCTCTCAAGCAGAATCCAAATCAGAATATTTATACTAGAGGAATCTGATGAGCTATAAAGCTCTTTTTTACAGATGTCCAGTAGGGGCAGGTAAGTGAATTCCTCTGCTGGATTTACCAAGTATCACGATACTTGGCTTTATTTCAGAAATGTATTTGCTTATTAGTTGTAATGTTAATAATTCACATTCCCCAACCCAAGTTAGTCTGGGGTTAGAAGTCCCTAAAGCTCAAACAATATTGAGTCGACTCACTCTTTGGATTATGTAACAGCATGCATTTGAATGTGGAGTTAACATTGGAGGCGAGGTCGCTTGGTTGCGGAGAATGTTTATCCGTTTTGTGTTCATCCTCGACCTGAGCAGACATCAGCCCTCCACGCAAGCCGCGCGTGGTGAACGTGACGGAGACTTCCATCACGGTGAACTGGCGGGCCAAGAGCGACACACTGTCCGGGTTTCTCATCTCCGTCGTGCCGTCCTCCACCGCTCCCAGCCTCGAGAAGACCCTCTCACCAGATGCACGCCAGTTCACCATCGCTGGTGGGGCATGCCTTCTGGGTGTCCGTGTGTGTGTCCATGTATGGGGAAAAAGCTGAGTGGACTTGCCTAAGACTGGTACCAACAGTGTCAAGATCGGCCTCTGTTGGGGAGGCTCGTGAAGGACGCTACTGGGCAGTTGGAGGCAGTCACCCTCTAACAACAGGGCAGAGGAGCGACGCTCACAATAACGTGTGGCGTGTCGGGCAGCTAAACCACAGCAAGTTGGCACAGGCGGGTGTTACAGCTGGTGCATCTGCCAGTCATCTCAGTCAGCCAACCCATGGCACCTGGGTCTGTCCCGTGACCTCCTGTTAGCGAGCCTTCGACACTTCATGTGGCCTCAGTGCACCTGGCCTGGCACAGGAGCTGTGGTGACGTCAACGTCACTTAGTGGAAAATGGTGGGTATTGGTATTGGGGAGTGAGCGATAGTGTTGCGGTTAGCGCGCCGCACTATGAACCCGGCTGTGCCCCGAATCCAATTCCCACTCACAGCCAACACCCATGACGATTATCTGAACCGCTCCTGGGCCTCCCCTAGGTCGAATCAGCTTTACATGAGTACCTGGTGCAGTGTGTAAACATCGCTCCTGCAATTTGGCTGCTGAAATGAAATCTACAACTGTTGACATCGAATGTGTGCCGTGTGTTATGGTTGAGTGTTGATTAACATAATTATATTCAGCTACCTTGTGGAGTTTATTTCAAAAGTAGTGTTTATTTATTTATACTCTCTTCAATGTTTGCATAACTAAATTAACATATTGAGCACGTGTGTGTGTATATATATATAACTCGATTCCCACTCACTGCCAACACCGGTGACGAATATTTGAACTGGTCCTGGTCTTCCCCGAGGTCAGGGGTCGGCGGCAGCTCTTTAAGGAACTTTCTTAATGACGTTATTTATTAAGGACCACCATCTCGTATTCAAATTGCATTGCGGTTCTTGAAATATTGAGTTTTTTTTTACCGAATTCGAAAAAAAATGTCTCTATTTGGTATTTTGCTTACCTACCCCCGGCCTAGGTCGACTCGGCCTCAAATGAGTACCTGGTGCGGTGTGAACATCGCCACGAGAGAGACAACGGCAGCCGGGCGTGGTGCCGGCCACTCACCCCCTCGTGTGCTGTGCAGGCCTTCACGGGTGTTCACTAACAGCACTTGCCCCTACAGTCTGTAAAGGCTATATGGGAGGAACCTTTGTCTTCTTTTATTGTATTTTAAGATGTGTGATATATCCATCTAAAGTGCATTTTTATTTATATTTTAGATCTGCTGCCAGGCATTCACTACACCATAAGCATCTATGCCGTCAGCGGAAACACAAGAAGTCAGCCTGCTACAGTGACCGCTACCACAGGTAATAATTGCATCCCCCAGCTATGCGGCCTTGCGTGTGTGTATATATAATGATTGAAGAGTGGTAGTGTAGCGGTTAGCTTGCTACGCTACGGACCCGTCGGCCCGAGTTTGATTCCCGCTCACGGCCAACACCAGTGATGATTATCTGAACCGGTCCTTTGCCTCCCCTAGGTCCACTCAGCCTCAAATGAGTACCCGGTGCGGTGTGTAAACATCACCACTAGGGAGACAATGGTGGCCGGGCGTAGTGCTGGTCACCCACCCCCTCGTGTGTTGTGCCAGCCTTCATAGGTGCTCGCTAACAGCACTTGCCCCAAAAGTCTCTTCAGGCTATAGGGGGGAGTCTTTGTCTGTTCTCCTATAACGCCGCGTGTTTTCATGAGGCAAATTGGATATAACGCGATGAATGTATAAGGGAACACATTTTTTATAACGCCGATGTGAATTGTATACAATGCGATTGAGTGAACGGAACTGCGTCGCGCGAGTAGGAATAAGGAGTTGTGCGGCTGCCTCGGCGAAGCATCGCACGAGGCATTGGGATGCTGCTGGATGCTTCTAGAGGCTACCCACGCGCCTCAGTCTGTTCACCCTGCGTACGCATCTCATGTGTTTGTCGCGGACTGTGCTTTACCCTATGTTATATACTATTTATTATAATGATAGTTTTCCATAGCGCGGTGTTCTTCCGGAACACAACCACCTCGTTGGCTGCTATAAATTTCCGCATGATGATAAGCCACTTCGCTGAGATAATTATTTACGATCGGCAGGTCGCTTCTGAAAAAAAGAAAGCTTCTACATCTCAGTGGGCTTCATCTGGTAAAATAAAAACAGTGTTGTAGCTTTAGTGATACCAACGGAGCCGTTTCACGGACAAGTACTTTCCTGCCCCCCCCCCCAGCCCTGGACGCACCGAAGGACCTCCGCTTCGACTCGGCCAGCCAGGACAGCATCACGTTCAGCTGGCAGCCGCCGCGCGCGCCCATCATGAGCTACGTCGTCACCTACTCGTCCGAAGTCGGCTCGCTCAACCGGCTCACGCCAGCTCCCGGGCCCAGGGACACCTCGGCCACCATTACAAGTAGAGTGAACAAAACGCTCGACACGTTCCATGATAACAACAACAGCAACACTGTGTGGCCATGAAAGGAATAATATATACAGTCTGTAACGCTACGTCTTATCATAATGCAAGTTGGGTATAACGCCCATAATAGAGGTTTTTAGGGTTGATCGCGTAAATATAAATGTGTCGTTAAACCCGCCACCACCCGACACAGCCAATTAGTCAGGTTTGTCACATAAACAGAACGTGGCCAATTCGTTACTAGTGTTGTGTGGTAGAAAAGGACGCTGAAGCCGGTCGTGTAGGGGCTGACACCAAACTATTTATTTAGGGCTTACGCCTAACTCGGGGGAAGGGGTTAACACAAGGGTTATTAACTAATCTCCCCAGGGGAAGGGTACTGGGAGTTCCCTACACCCCACCAGGCTATCGGGCTCTTCCCACAGCACTGACCGAGGGTTCGGCCAACTCGGCCAGCCGGGTAAAGCAGCCCTTTAGCCTGGCTCTCAATCCCTCTATCCCGGAGCCTCCTACTCCCCTAACACTCACTCTCTCGATTCCCGGCGAAGACCCCGTCCACGTCACGAGTCTCCCCTCAAATACCCCGGGGGGCATGACGTCACTTTACCCTGACGGCATTCCCCCGAGGCGAGTGTGACCGGACGTCAGCACTCCACTCCTCAACACTAGTACAGCACACCGGTGTTTTGGAGAGCAAATCCACAACATTTACACTCTGAGTACTGGATTTTCTTCCCGCGCCTCAGTCTTTGTTCAGCCTGCATTCGTATCTCACGCGGTATCGTGGACTACTTTACCCTATATCATATTTTATAACGCGATTTGTCCACAACGCGCTGTTCTTCAGGAATGCAACTCTTCTACTGCGTTATAGGAGAACAGACTGCAATAGGGGATGTTTCTGGTCATGGTCATACTTCATGGCACATAAATACCGAGGCCAGAGATGTTGTCGATGAGCATTGGAGACTCCACTGCACGCCATTGTGCCCGATGAGAGTTAAAGTTCATGAAAAAAATTCTGACAACAAGTTTTTGAATTGGCATATAAATAGTTACCTTAGGTAGATGTTTGGCAAGAGACAAGATCCAACTTGTCCGTCCAGTGCTCGCTAAGCTGCATTGGCTTCCGGTTGCCGAACGAATACGTTATCAGGTCGCGCTCATTGTACACAAAGCGTGTGCTACAAATGAACCACAATACCTCGCTGATTTTGTCAAGGAGCATAAACCATCACGCGAACTCAGGTCATCCTCGCAGTGACTGCCATACTATATTCAGGTGGATATGTAATGAAGTACTGTACAATATATTTTTATTGGGCCAAAGCACAAAGCCAAATTAATTGTGATGAGGTAAAGTGTGGGTACTACCTCTTCCAAAACATCTACCCAGTGTGGAAGAAGAGGCCAAATTAACCCTTTGAGGGGTTCTAGAACACTCTCTGACAGCAGTGACTTTCACAAGCAATTGCGGGGGCTGCTACACCTTTACCTGTTTTTGCACCACAAGATAATTCAAATGCAAATTGCTTTTGGCATCTATCTGCGTTTCTCGTACCTCCCCCCCCCCCCTTTTTTGTCGTTGGGCGAGAGGAAATGTTATAACTTACGTTTAACTTTGACTTTGGTAGACAAGAGTGAATGCTCGCCCACACACGGCTGATGTCGGCACCCCTCCCATTTCACAGATCTCCAGCCCAGCACGCGCTACACCATCGGCATCTACGCCGTGCAGAACAGCATGCGCAGCGCTCAGCTCACCGGAAAGCACCGCACAGGTACCGACGGCGAGTGGCCGGCGCCGCGACGCCACCGGCTGGCTCCTTGCCGTGTAACGGCGGCGTTTTGAGCCCGCCGGGGGCGAGGTGAAGTAGTGGCGGTGCAATGTGTCTCTGTGCGTATTAACCCGCTCGGTAAACCTTTTATAAACACTGGTAAAAGAAGGGCATAGCTCATGGTAGGCCATGTACTGCACCTTTCTCGGTACATTGCCTACCCGAGCAGAGTCCTTGAGACCTTTTTCCACCCACATCCCCGTTGAACATGTTTTAATATATTGAAATAGTTTGTTTTTTTATGGTTAAATGTCTCCCACTGCCAGTGTTTGTATGTTTATCTGTGGCGTTTTACTTTATCAGCTGGTACAACATCTACATATTAAAGCCCTAGTTTGTAATGTCTATTATCTTCAATTCATTGATGACCACAGGATGCAGGCCTGCACATATGCTGTATATTGAGGCCTGAAAAATACGTACCAGCCTTTTATTACCAGATCTGCTGTGGTCAGATCTACGTGGACTATATTTAACTTTGTCATTCTTGTCATCAATGGACATCGATGCAATTAATATTTCATGTGGAGATGTGTTGAATGAACTCAACATTTCTATATGTTTTCTGTTGCGATACAGCAAATACCTTATTGAAATTATGCCATGTAAATTAACGTGGTTAAAACTATATCATGAATATATACACAAACTTGGGCTTTAATAAAAGCTTAATGGTGCTTTATTAACGCGATCATGTAATCATTGATCACATGGTTATGCGTACACATGTGATCTGCTTGCTTTTTTGTTAACCCTCAAACCACATTCGCCCCTCTTCCCCATTCCCTTCTCCAATCCACATTGGGTTTTTTGTGCAGAACAAGAGCTGCAGCTTCCGCAGTTGGCTACTAGACCGCCAAACTTTCCCGCCCGATACATTCCCCCGTTTTTAGACATCCCTACGTCCTCCCAGCATTCGTCCACTGTCCTGGAGAGAGGCCCGAGCAGCGAATCGCGTAACCCGACATATCACACGCGACAAAGGCCTCTGAACAACAGGCAGAGTGGCAGGCCTCTGTCTGGGCAGAGAACTGTCGGCGATTTCCTCGCCGCGCTGACACCGAGGTTCGTAGACGCGACGGATGAGCACAAGCCTGCGAATGCGCAGTACAAGCCAGCAAACTCGCAGACGACCAGGCGTATCATTCCCGGGAGGTTCGTGAGACCCGACGAGTTGGCGGAGAGCGCAGTCACTCCGTCGTACGAACCGCAGGCACACCAACGGGGTCGGCCGCAGTTGGGGTCGCATCCAGAAGGACAGCAGCCAGTGTTCGGTAACTTCCGTCCTTTCAAAGCCAGAGTCGCTGCGATTGATAGCCACTCACCAGACCGGAGTGCGGCTGGCTTTACGCCATCTGAGGTGGTGTTCATGGACCGTGGCCTGGTACCAATCAAGACTGAGGACAGAATTCTGGGCCCCCAAGAAGCTGCAAAGACTCTGACCACTATCAGCTGGTCTCCGCAGCCACAGGCGTCTGAGTACCTATTGTCCTGCTACCCACTCAGCGGAGAGGGAGAAACAACACAGGTAATATGTTTGCTCTTTTGTGGTTTATATCAAACATAGCGCACTCTGCAAAAAAACAGCATTATCCTGCACTTAAATACACATTACGGCGTGTTGTATTCACATATTTTACACAAGCATAGCGTTGATACAAATGTATTGTGCTTGTATTTTTTTAATTGGTGTTTATTTTATTTTATCTGGCTTGACATGGTCAATGTAAGATTGTTCCTGTTCAACCTGGCCTCTGACGTCTAGTCAACCAAAAATGTATTCACAAAAATGTTTTTGGAAACGTGTGATAGTCTTTTTTCACATCTTATAGCATCGTTTTTTTACTACAGAGCGCGCAGTTCTATTCATTGAGTCATAAACTAGCTTGCGAGGAATCTCGCAAATATCAGCCACATTAGTGCATGTATCTCATGATAACATTCGGCTCTGGGAATCTATGCAATTAATGCACTAGCTTAAGTATCAATATTATTCAATCAATGCATTGTTCCTACCCTGGTATCCTGTATATTAGTTTCCTTCTTGAGATTATTCATCTCCTCGGTCTACTTCCGCCAACAATGAATCAACTATTCCTGCTTTAAACCAGTTGCATGTTATCTCTTTCAACATTTCCCCTTCTCCAATCTCCCCCTTGGTAACCATGCCAAGCATCTTCAACTTCCCTGAGTTTTGAATCTTCGTTTGTGCCTTTGGGGGAGCTTTTAAAATGTCCCTCTCTGTTTTATGATTTCAAATTTGCTACCTCCTGCAAAGGGCTTGCAATGCTTCTCTGAAACTTCAGTTGTACTTTTTTGAGTTTTACCATTTGTCAAAGTGTCGGCATCGGCAAGTTATTGCTAAAATTGCTCCTATCTCGACTTGTCTAAAATACGACATCGCCTCTGACAGCGTTGCTATTCTTAATTGTGATTCTGCGGTAATGAGGTTGTGATCTATTTCTGCAGCTCTCTTGAATTCTACTATTGAAAGCAGGACACCCTTGCACTCGCCCTTTGTAATCGGTGCTGGTGATGACCACGTCATGTTGTCACCATTCTTTTGGAACTGGTTACGACATAATTGCTGCCGGAAAAAAACTTTAGGCAGTCTATTTCCATAACGTTACTCTTCCTTTTTTCTGCTGCCCTCATGTGTCCCCATTATATATATATTGCAGCTGCTCAAAAGAAGGCCAGCAAAATTGTCTTGGCAGCAAATAGGCGTTGTGGTGAGAGGCATTCAGAGAATATGGCATTGGAACCAATTTATGGATAGAGGCGCCGTAGAACATTTAGCTGAAGTAGGATGTTTAGCACAAAATAAATTAATTACTGCATAAAATTTCGTCTTTCCTATATTTTTGGTAATTTTTTGGGCAAAAAAAGGTTTTCAAAGTCACCAATACTGTGAAATATGGGCACCACAGTGTCGAGATGTTAACTACCTCCCGCCTGATATACAGGAGCGCGTGGGTTCGATCCCGAAGCTGACGCCTGTTGTATATTTTAGTTTACGTGTCTCTCTCTCCCCATGGTTGCGTAGATATTTCTCCAGGTCCTCCAGTTTTTCCCTACACATTTAGAATCGACATGCATTTCGAGTATTTGGCTGCTATAAATTTCCACGTGATAAGCCACTTCATTGGACTATCATGTGTGGCCAGGTCGCTTCTGGAAAATAGCTATACAACTCCGTGGCCCTTACCTGGTAAAATTTAAATAGTTTAAATATAATATTTTTATTGATTCAAATATTTCGCTTGGAACATCTATTGTTCAGGGCATCAACTGACACAAATAGCCAATGTGATGACACCTCTACAAACATATTTAACCTATAACTTATAAAGTGTGGATTTATTCAACGAATATCACAGCCAGGCAAAACTTCAACCAATTCATACATAACACTGAACTAATGTTCTGCGTGTGAAGGGTTGACAATGCATGAAAGTTGCATTCGATGGGAGCGGACAATTGGGAATTATCCATTAAAGAGGTTTTGTTTTTGGGTTAGATCGTGTAAATATAAATGTGTCGTTAAACCCGCCAGCACCCTTGACGGCCAATAGTAAGGTTTGTAACTTAAACAAAACATGCCGATTTGTTATTACTTCAGCACACCGGTGTGTTGGAGTGTAAACCCACAACCTTTACCAATTTGAGTACCGTGAATTTCGCCGGTAATTACAACAACCAGCTTCACCAGCGAAATGTCGTTCTCAAATTGTAAATGGGGGTTTACTCTCCAACACCGGTGTGGTGTGACGTAGTAATGGTAACTACAAGCGGTCTCATCAGGCGACAGCCAGAATTGTGGAGAAGCCCTCCTTTTGTTTCGGTCTTAAATAGATGGGCGGGTGGTAAATGTGGTGTCGTCACTTGTGAGCCAGATCCGCGTGCCGGCTGGCACGTCGAGCGCCACGCTGGCGGGGCTGGCTGACGGCACGCAGTACAGCATCGTGGTGGAGGCCCTGCAGGGCACGCAGCGCTACCGCGTGCACGAGGAGGTGGTGACGGCGCGCGCCGTCAGCAGCACCCCTCACGACGGCGTAGGTACGGTACCGCAGCCAGGGACGCCTGTCTGTACGTGTGTACAGAGTCTGTTGTGGGGAGCGGTGGTGTAGTAGTTAGCACGCTGCGCTACAAACCCGGCGACTCGAGTTCAATTGCCGCTCACGGCCAAGACCGGTGACGATTATCTGAGCTCTTCCTGGGCCTCCTCTAGGTCGACTCGGCCTCAAATGAGTACCTGGTGTGGTGTATAAGCATCGCCACTGGGGAGACAAAGGCGACTGGGCATGGTGTTGGCCGCCCACCCCCTTGCTGTGGCAGCCTTCATAGGTGCTCACTATAACAACACTTTCCCCAACAGTCTCTTCAGGCTATAGGGGAGTCTTTGTCCCTTTTACTATAACGCTGCATTTTGTCATTAAGTGAATTGGATATAACGCGATGAATGTATAAGGGAACACATTTTTTATAACGCCGATGCAAAATTGGATATAACGCGATTGAGTGAACGGAACTACGTCGCGCGAGTAGGAATAAGAGGTCGTGCGGCTGCCTCGGCGAAGCATCGCCGAGGCATTGTGGGATGCTGCTGGATGCTTCTAGATGCTACCCACGTGCCTCAGTCTTTGTTCAGCCTGCGTACGCATCTCGCGTGTTATCGCGGACTGTGCCAGTTAGAAGAAGAGGTGCGAGTGGTTATGGAGGGGTTTGGGTAGGAATAGTGATGGGGTTTGGGGTAGTGATGGGGGTTTGGGTAGTGATGGGGGGTAGGCCTGGTTGTAGCTGTGGGGCAGGTTTAGGGAGTAGCAGTAGGATGGGCTCGGGAGAAGAGATGAGTTTTAAGGGGGCAATGGAAGCAGGTTATACAGTTGTCTATTTTTTTCTACTGCTGCTTAAAATAACGTGGCCACAATTTTGAGCAGTGTTCTAAAGCAAGGCTGTGTGCACATTACTTGTGCAGCATGGGCATGTCATGTTACACACATGGCTTGCTGGGAGGACTGAACTTAAGGTCGCAATGTCACCTTTTGTTGTCTACAAAATAACCATCTGTGTGTACAATTACCGACGTTTGTTTCCCGCCTGCACTCATTTTTTCTGTCTGAGACATTTCTCGTGGTTTACAGGAAGAGAGAGCGTTCGAGTCGGTTTAATGCGAGCACCACTTAGGCGTGGAGCCAATCCTCAAATTCCCCCTCTTGCACGATGTGCTGACCGTAGAAAAAAAATCGTCTAACAGTATTTAAAGGACTCCTATTGCCTTTCTGAATTTGACGTGTGGCGCAGGGGGCCAGGGTTCTATGACGGAGAGCGATGAAGACCTGTGCTTGGACACAGCCACAAGTATCTACTACTCGGTGGGCCAAGAGTGGGAGCGTCTTTCCGAGAACGGCTTCATGCTCTACTGCCGCTGCTTGGGCTTCGGCAATGGCCATTACCGCTGTGATTCGTCGCGTGAGTGAGCCCTCCCGCGCGGTGGTTCCCAAATGTGAACGCAGGGTCTGCCAGAACCGCACTGAACCTAATTGGTCAGCGTGTTCAGCTGAAGGTTTAACAAAGCTCTCGGTTATTCGACGTAGAGCCACGGAGGAAACTGGAGGGTACAGCGTGCCGAGTGTGTAGCTATTGTAGGGGCCCATTACTGAGCGTGACGATCGAGCAATACAAAGTTTAAATGACGTATTCGTTTACGACCAGGCCCTGTGGCAGGAAATATGCACGGGTAAAGATTCAGCTGCAATTGGCTCTTCAGTAACCAAGGCCCTCACCGCCTGTCAGCCTCCAGTCAGCCTCTAACAATGGATGCACTAAACCTATAAACGTTGAGTGAACTCTTTCAGCAAGTACCAACATTTGTAGAAATGAGTAACCGTTGCAAGATCAATATTTTACAGTAGCATTCGGCAGGTTGTCATTATTGTCAAGGCTAAACAGTAATATAACTATTTTGAGTACATGTTTTCCATTTGGCACCCATCCTAGCAGATGTCTTCAGGTCGGGAACGGTGACTGTAGACTCGGTCACGGGCGGACACAATAACAATCGAGTAGACCAATGGGGAACCGTGTTTAATGTTATATTGAGAGATTACGCTGCAACAGAATTTGGGAACCACTAACCTCTAACGGTGCTTGTCTAATGGGAGTCCGATCCCAGCTTGCCTGTCCTCACAGTGAACACAATGAGTCACATTGCGGTTCTGCAAAGCTTTGTTGGAGTCATTGCTCGCCCCAATGAGCCCATGTGTATACTTCCATGACCATATGCCTCCTTGAGATTCTTAGAGAGCCATATGGTTATCGCAGATATACATAATGCTCATTACTGATTTGTGGAGTGGAATTATAGTTACCGGGAACGTATCAAGTTTATGAGCACACTTATTTCTCGTTTTACTCATGATAGATTTTTTGTTATGTATTTTAGGTGACTTTTTTATTGTAGTTTTATTTAGGTAAAAGTGTTTGCATTGCTTGACTATGTCGGACATTTTCAGAAATCCTATTACGTAAAAATGTAACAATGTTTGCAATGGTATCCATATATATAGACACGGATACCACTTTGTGGGGAAATCAACAGTGGTTTTCCTACGCACAGACTTAGCCCCCACCATAGGAATGTGAAATTTCCACCACTGTCCCAGGGGGTTGTACACAAGAGATGAGCATGTACGCCTCGAAGCTCGTTACAGCAGGAACTCTCTGCGACATGTACGCACTCTGTAGCCAATAACCTCTGCCGTGTAAACAAGCGGCTCCCTTTGCTGGGCAAATGTGTGCCCCCCCCCGAACGTGTGCAGGTTGGTGCCACGACAGTGGTAAGAACTACAGGGAGGGCGAGACCTGGGACCGCCCGGCCGACAACGGGCAGATGCTGACGTGCACGTGTCTGGGCCGCGGCAAGGGGGAGTACAAGTGCGAGCCGCGTAAGTGCTGTGCCCGCTTCCTGTTTGCGAGCAGCATTTTAAACCCCCTGTCCCCGTTCAGGGTGGTGGGTGTCCCGTTCCACCGCTGAATCTCGGAACACATAAGCGGCTCTGCGTTAATTTTGTTAAGAGAGGCGTCGTGGTAGCGCCGTTATTTTTAAAAAACGTCCTCACCGCAGAGAACTATTGCGACAAGATCGCACTCTGTGATTAGCTGGTGCCAAACTGTGGCCACACACACTTGTGGAAGCCTTGGTACCAATAAAACATTTTATTTTAGTTTTTCTTCCGGGTTTGTTTTTAATAATGTACACATACGTTATCGTAACGGGAAAGGGTTAATTCGACTCCAGCCTTACGGCTGCGTAGGTGTTGCCGGATGCATCGTACCCCGTGCCGCCCAACTGTTTCGCTCCACGTGCTGGGAGCTTTTTAAGTCATGAACAAAATACTGCAGTGTCATTTGAACTTCTGATTTAAGAAACAAGATGCATCTTTAATCTTTTTTTGTTTCCCCCCCCCGCTCCCTTTCCTAAGTAATTTTTTTCCTCGCCTTCCCCCTCCTATATAAAAGTACACACGCCCCACTCGCGGGTCCCCACTCGGTGGGGCAGCAGCTCGCCCAGTCTCTGCCCCCTTCTCTCAACTCAGCAGCACAGCGTTTGGGACTTGTGTCTGCGAAGTTTCTGTAGCCCCCCCCCCTACGCTGCGGTTTGTGCTTTCTACCAGGCTCCTATTTATATGTAATACAAAACATTAAAAAAATCTATATTTTTTGTTGCTAATGCAGATGAGGCGTCGTGTTACGATGAAGGGAAGATGTACCAGGCCGGCGATCAGTGGCGCAAACTCTACCGTGGTGCAATGTGCACCTGCACCTGCCTGGGAGGGCAGCAGGCAAGGCCCCCACCACCAGCCTGCACTCACTGCGCACTGCCCTGCCACTTCTTCACATACAGCGACGTTCGAATCGAGCGCAACGCTTCGTCAATAAGACTGTGGCCTTAAAAGGGAAATATATCATAGGTGAAGTTTCGGGAAATGGCCCCCCGCAACTACGATTAGCATGGATGTTTACGCACGATCCGAAAGACATTCTACATACATAAATTAAACGTTACTATATATATGGTTTGAAGAAGGGAAATTGCCTGAATTTTCACCGGTTACATTTATTTTCCTTTTAAGGCCACTGTTTTTTGACGAACGTTTGACGTCTCTTGTTATTTGTGCTTGTGCACCACTGCCCAACGCGGCATCGCCAAACAATTTAACGTTCAAATGATTGTCAATTTGAGTGGCTTCCTTTTTTAATCGTGGCAAATTTGAATCGTACACTTAACGTGACTGAGAAAGCATGCCCCCCCCCCCCCCCCCCCGATACATTGTCCAACGTGCTTGTTGTTCTGGCAGGGTTGGCGATGTGAGGAGTGCCGTAGTCCCAGCGAGGAGGATGCAGGGAGCAGCCACACTGCTGCTGCAGCCTCCCACTCGTCTTCTGCTTCCCAGGGAGTCTTCTCCCAGTACATCCAGAGTGTGCGACGGAGCGCTGTGAGTCCTTCCCACGTGACTGTAGGACAAACACAAAACGCCATTTTTGTGAATTAGACTGTGGGCCAGTGCTCGTCAATCCTCTTCCGGTCTTTTTGTTTGTTCCTAAAAAGAAATACAACAAAAAATCTCTTAATTAAAATAAAGTCTACGGAGCTACCCCATGGTGTAATGAACTTGCCGTCCAGAGGTCACCGGTTCGATTCTACCTTCCGGCACAGCAGTTGCAATCATGGGGCTAGGTTATCAATCTGCCTCTGCCCCAGCCAGTAATATGAATGGGTCCACTGCAGTTAGTTGAATTGGCAGGTTGCGCATTGTGGGGTAAAGTGGGGGTAGAGTTGACCTAATACCTTTTGAGCGTGCTCCCTCTAGTAGAGGCCCAGATATGTCCCGGGGATGTCCAACACAAGCTTGAAGCTTCATTAAATTAGGAAAAACCTTTTTAGAATCGACAAGCGGTAAAGGTTGCAGCCCTGCAATTGGAAGGAGGCATTACCGTCTGCTAGTTTTTGTTAATAATTCTCCACAATGATGCAAATTATTTGGCTGTGAACCCCCCTTGTTGAATTTTGTTTCAACTGAGTTAATCCCCTTGCCTGGACCCAACATGATTCTGAGAAATTAACGTATGAATAATGAACATCCAATATTTAAACCTGTTGTCCATTTTGTGAGGTATCCAAACGAGCTAGTAACTACAGGCGAAATAACAACAACAAAAATCGACGGATGCTTTGCATGCGTAACATAATGTGTTTGCGCTAGCTGGTTACCCTTGGTAACCACTGTTTACGATCAGTGAGTTTAGAAAGATCTTTTATATCATTCTAGGTTGCCATATTGATTTAAATGTTCTCGTAGTACATTTTTTGGGAGATTCATACATGATTGTCAAAGCATGTTTTTTTTATGCATGTTCACTACAAGTACGTGTGGTTAATGCGGACTTGATTCCTTGCAAAAGGTTTCTCTTTGCACATTTTAACATCTGTTTTATTGCCAGAAAGGGTAAACCCTATTATTATTTTTCATACATGATTATTCACCAATAACTGTCATGTATGATGTAATTTCACACATTTATAAATCGCCTCGCGTAGCCCGTGGGACATTGCCACGTAGCCCTGGTTGAGAACCATTGGTTTAGAGGCCCCCTCTACAAGGTATTGGGGGCTACTTTTCCACGTCTTGGAAGAGGTTTTAAAATCCCGTGTAACTGTACTGCAATTGTTACCACTAGAATGTGTATGACTTGCAAGTCTGTCTCTAATTGCTAAAGATTCAAACTCGTGTTGAACAAACCCAGAGGGGTTAGGTTTTCATCTGGGCTGGCATTACCTTTTTACAATGGCTCGTAATTTGGTTCTTTGTATCATGTCCCTGCTGAAATGTGAATTTGGATGTCATAAAAAAAACTGCTCATGTTTCGTGAAGAAAGCGGTTGGCTTGCGACACTTTTCAGTATTTATTTTGTTTCTTTACAGGGAACCAACTGTGCCTTCAATTGCAGATGAGAAACATTTTGAGCAACAAGCCCCATCCCAAATCCCCTCGCCCATCCTCGCAACCGCGTCGTCCACACGTGGTTAAATAATGAAACCTACTCAAGCAAAAAAATAAATCGGATTAAGCTTCCACTTCCAATGTTTTTAATCGTTAAAAGGCAGGATTCAATGTGTAGGGCAAGTAGCGTTCTTGAAATAAGTCTGCAAGGATCCTTAAATCAGTGGCCATACCGAGGCTGATCTTTACTCGCTATGAAATTTAACAATTTTAAGAGCTGAGCTCTAAACCTGCCCATGGTATTAAGGCAGGGACACCGCAATAAATAATAGCAGTGTTTGAAAGTGCCTTTTTCCATTTTAATTTGTTATCTGCGCTGTGTCGTTTGTTGGAGATTGTTTTTCTATCAAAGAACAACATCCAATGATCATTGTGGTAACCATTGACAAGACAGTGCTGAAGTGATTTTGCAGTGAGTTACTTTTTAAGGATTTTTGCTGTAAGTATTAATCTCACGTGCTAGATATGATTCACTTGCTTATTTAACCAATTTAAGTGATTAGTTTCACCTGCAGTAGGCCTATGCCTTTTTTAGCTTTCGTGTATTTTGAATGTTTCTCTACAGTGAAAGGTAACGAGTACACCACCAACGGTAGATGTTAGAAATCCACGTGGAGCTTGCAAACTAAACACTGTTTACTAAAAACAAGTTTGATGTTTTAAATTACTTTTTTTAATGCCTTACATGTTACCTTTGTCTTTGCTTTTCGTATGGAAAAAAATAAATGTTTTTTCTACTTGTGTTTGAAGTGATATAAATTTTGTATTTTAGAAAAAATGCAGATTTTTACATTGTAAAATGAACGTAGCACGTGAGAATACAGTATGCATTTCCCCCTCACCAGTGTCAATTTGACGTAACGGTGAAGGGGTAAACCCTAGAGACGGGAACAGAAGTAAGCAGAGGAAATTCTGTTTTGAAGCCAATTATGGATCGCCATTGAAAAATAGCTTCTTGGCTGAAATGGGCCTTCCCTCAAATCCATGTATTGACTGCCTGAATTAAAATGGCAACATTTCAATATGTATTTTGTCACACTTTGGAGCTTCTGGTTATTTCCTTTAAACTACTTTTATTGTGTCTGTGTCAGTTCACATGAAAAATGTGTTTACAGACAAATCGATGCCACAATGAGAACGATCAGCATCACGCCTAAGAGTTCTCTCCAATAACCTGCCATAGAACATTAGGCAAGATGCCACTGCACTGCTAAAGTACAATAAGATCATGGCCAACACAACTACCAATACACCAGGACATCAGGATATTTGCCACCAAGCGGGGCAAAAGTCCTGCACACTATTCTGGAGTAATGCTGAGACGCTTGTAAAGAGCAAAAATGACATCCGCGATTGGTGGCGTGAAAGTTGGATGGCCTGCGATGTCCTGGACAAGCAACTTATTGGAGACCCGACACAGGAAGTACACCTAGCTTCAGCGTGCAGAGAGCGCAATGCACTGCTGCTCAATTGCATTCAAATGGCACATGGCAGGTGCGGCTACTTTCTACACATAATAAATGAGTCGCCCTATTCTAACTGTAATGAAGCATGTATGTTGAACTTCTTTTGCACTGTACATAGCCAACCGTGCTAATCAGAGGTGTGGGGAAGGACAACAATCTAAACGCCAAAAGCAGTTCTAAAGAAATGAGTTTTCATACTAGATTTAAAAGTGCATAACTCCAGTGGCTTTTTAATATCGGAAGGAAGAGCATTTTAGACGGCCACAGAAGTGCATATGAAAGCGCGCGATGCGGTGACCATCTTTGTTCATTGCATAGCCAAAAGCCGCTGCGAGGATGACCGGTATTCGCGTGATGGTTTATGCTCCTTGACGAGATCGGTGAAGTATTGTGGTTCATTTGTGGCGAGCACTTCGTGTGTAATGTGCGCGACCTTATAATGATGTATTTGTCCGGCAACCAAAAGCCAATGCAGCTCGCTAAGCACTGGACGGACATAGTCGGATCTTGCAGTACCCCATCACGACACGTGCCAGAGAATTTTGTAAACGCTGCAGCTTGGTAATGTTTTGCCATACGTCCCCTAGAGTAGTGAATTGCAATAATTGAGCCTTGTCGATACATTGCTGCACGCAACTGTGTTGGTTATGTATTTATACAAGTACAACCAACCACTTCCCATTACATGCTTATACAGGAGGTATTAACGCTACATATCAAGCAACTCCCGAAGCCATCAAATGCATTGCCAAACTCAAAACACAGTTGCAATGTTTTGTCAGTTGCTTTTCAAATGCCATACGAACAGACTACTCTTCAAAATTTATTCTACGTGTTTATACTTCAAAATAGGGCTTTAAAGTGAGTAATAAGCACAGCAAAGGAAAAGTTACTTCCTAATTTTATTCTGAAAGCTGAAGCCATGTGTGCAGTAGCAGTTGTCGTGTTGGAATGAGACGCCGGTCATTGCAGTTGATGGCCGTGCATTCCATCCTTTGTGGGCGATTCGCTCACAAACCACATTAACATTCTCAGCATTATAACATGTCACATACCTCTCGCAAAAATGCGTTGTTACCTGGTTTCTAAGCATTGTACACATTTACGGAGTCCACTTTGTGATGATGTGTAATTGGCAATCGACTCATTTGGCATACAACAAAATATTCTTTCAACTATTCAAGAAACGTTAACTTATAAAGGAACTAAATTAGCAATTATGAAGAAAAAACACCGTGCGCAATTATGTGCTAACGTTTAGACATTAATTATATTCGCTGCATTCTCAAAATTGTTCGACAGTTGGGATTAATATGTAAGTCTTTGTTAATTACACATGCTACCTTAATTTTTAAAACATCTGAAAAAAAACACTTTGCTAAGATGTTTAATGTTGCAATTTGCTAATATTTTTGTCAATTTAGGAGGACTATTAGAGAAGCACACTTTTTCTTTAACATTTTAGTTTATTTCTTTAGTGCTGACTGATGCAGCACAGTTGCAGATGTGCACTCCTTCCGTATGGCTGATGTAGACGCAGAGCAACAACTAGAATGTCCACATTCAGGTGGTTAGGCCAGATTAACCGCGTCAGGAACAGCGTAGTGTATCATCGCTGTGATGTCTCCTTCGTAGTTGTGGATCGGGGCATTGCGTCGTATGTTGTATGGGTCTGTTCTGGATGATTAGTCGCACACTGGAGAGTTTTTAATTTTCCATTTGTGCATCAGGTATCCGCATTACTGCCATGGTTTGTGCGATGCAGTTTAGGGTGGAACATGAGCTTCGCGGAAGAGCAAAACCAGGGATCTTCTGCACTCATTTGTATTAATAAATTAACATTGTGCAGATCTAACTCGTAGTATCTGTCAAAACAGTATAGAATATATGGGATAGTGCCATACATAATGGACCTAAGCCTACGGTGGTAGGTGCCATTACATATTAACTTTGTGACAATACAAATTAACCTTGAGTGCAGACCAGAATTTCAACCGGTGCAACAGGAATCCATGTTGCCATGTGGAAAACGTGTTGGGATGCCTCCATGTCTTGTGAAGGTTGCTCCACTCTACTCTCCCATGAGCACACACACACCTTCACTTATCCGACTGCAAGCAGCTACTCGGTATGGTACATCCCAAGCGAATGTACACCAATGCTGTGGCTTGACACACAAGCGTTGTCATGATGATGGTACACTTGCCTTGTCGAGGAGTGAGGCGGCTTTAACCCGACATTTAATATGAATCTCACACTGATGCAAGTGTAAGGGATAACGGAGAGTCTGAACCCTATTCGTAAATAAGTATACAATCGCTGGGTCTAGCGGCTCTCATGGGTTAGAATAGTGAGCTCGATTCTAATTGACTAGGAGTTCTCACAGGAGGGAGACGCCGACGTAGGGCACGCCCAATCGGATTCGAAGGTGGAAAACATTCAAATCGGATTGGTCGTCAGGGAACCTTAAATGGTAATGAGGGGGTCGGGTTGGGGGAGACCGTTGGGAGAAACGAATGGGATCTGTGGAGAGTCGTGGAAAGTTCCAGAAAAGAGGAAGGGAATATCGGCAGGGGTAGAAGGGGTTTCGGGCCGCCTGGACAGAGTGGTCCCCTGATGTTGTGACGTGCTGTGCGGAATGCGTAATAAAGACGAGGTTCAAGGCTCACCCGGGCTGGAACTCCTTTACCCAAGCATGCCATTTGGTTGACCTGTGTTGGGGTGCCTTGATGGCGAGATGTCAACTACCTTGCCTGGTATACAGGTCGTGGTTTCGATCCCAACCCTGACACCTGTATATTTGGAGTTTTCCTGTATCTCTCCCTGTGGTCGCTTGGATTTTTCTACGGGTCCTCTGGTTTTCCCCTCCACATTTAGAATCAACATGCGTTTAGAGTATTTGGCTGCTATACATTTTCCACAAGTTAAGCCACTTCTATGAGCCATCATTTGTGATAGCCAGGTCATGTCTGAAAAAGAGCTGTATAGCTCAGTGGGCCTTACCTGGTAAAATTTTAAATAGTTTAGTTTAGAATGCTGTCAGGAGCTCTAGCTGCATCTTCTCTGCAAAATGAATCTCCATCTTTTGCCCACCCCCCACCTTGCATTTATGGGTTTACTCCGAGTACTCCAGTTTCATCCCGCATGTATCAAAATTCAATCAGAGTTGTTAAAAGATTCCAATTTATTTATATATATTCTTTGGGTTTTTCAAAATAACAAAATAACAGAACTGACGTTTCGATCGCAACACAAGCGGTCATCATCAGGAAAAGGGGGGTTAGCTTCTAAAGACAACTGCTTATAAAGTTTTGATTTGAAGCTTTCGTGACTGCAGGATTCCATACTCTTTGGTTTTTTCGGTAAAGTCACGTAGTTAGAAAAATAAAATAAAATAAAAAATAATATATCACGACGTTTCGATAGCAACACAAGTGCTCGTCCTCGGGCGAAAAAAAAATAATCCAGCAGTGGAACTGCTGACGCAGCGAGGTTTGAAATGGGCGTAGCCCAAAAGTCAGCAGCCAATGCCAATGCAAGAGGTGGGCAGCGACCGCGACGGTGGTGGGCTTTCCACCAATCAAAGGGCTGCCAGGCGAAAATTTGCATGTCAATGCAAGATGGCCGAGCATCATTCACGGTGATTGCACCAAGGTGGCTATTTTAATGTGAGAGATTAGCATGTTAATGGCAGACCGTGAAGCAGCACCAGCCATCAAAATCACCATGGAGGTGGAAAAGGATGGCAAGTTACCATTCTTTAATGTTTTAATCGAAAAGAGACCAGATGGCTCAATGGGACACTGTCTACAGGAAAGCCACCCATACGGATGCCTACCTAAAACCTGACATCCACCAACCTTCCATCCCAGAAGAATTCCCTCATCAAAACTCTACACAATAGAGCTCGATGTATTTCTGACCATCACCACCTAGCCAGTGAACTGGAACACGTACACCAAGCTCTCAAGATGAATGGATATTCAAACTACACAATCTGTAAAGCCATTACCCCAACCAGTGGAAAAGACCCATCTGAGGACCCAATCAAAACCATCACCTTGCCATACATAGCAGGGGGTCACCAAAAAGATTTCCCAAATCATGAACAAACAAGATCCAGGTTCGATTCAATACAGTACATAAAATTTGTGATCTGATCCCATCTGTGAAGGATGTGATCCCTGACATGCAATACCCCGGCGTCTACAAACTAAGCTGTGTCTGCGGCAGTAGTTACATTGGGGAAACTAATCGACATGTCTCGGACCGTGTT